AAACGCTTTAAAACTATTTAAATTCTATCAAAACTTGCTTTAGTTAAACAACCCATAGGCAAAGAGTAAGAGTCTTTACTCTTTGCCGTAGGTTTCATTAATAAAAAGAATTTTATTTGATTTATCGTAACTTTTACAACATTGTGTTTTCGGTAAACATAGAGAAAAAAACCGATACGGTTTATCACACATATTTTCTTATTTTAAACGCGGTAATGATGCTACAACTAACTCAAACTTGACTAAAAACACCTAATAAAATGTTAAAGCCGAAATTAACAAGTTTACTTACCTAAAACAAAGAAAATTTGAATTATAAAACTTCGTACACACCACATCAACAACACTGTCGGCCATTTGTAATTTCTCAAACCGAACAAGTTGGAAAAGACCAATCACAACAAAGTAAGAATCACGTGGTTAATAACTGGGGTCTGTCAAAAACAACTTGGGTTTCAACGCACTCTAGATTTATTTTACTGTTGCCTGTTGTCAAATTCCCCTTATACCCCCCTGACGCAAACAGAACAGGGGGGTATAAGGGGAATTTGACAACAGGCAACAGTAAAATAAATCTAGAGTGCGTTGAAACCCAAGTTGTTTTTGACAGACCCCAGTTATTAACCACGTGATTCTTTTCCAACTTGTTCGGTTTGAGTCTCAAACTTTGAGAAATTACAAATGGCCGACAGCGTTGTTGATGTGGTGTGTACGAAGTTTTATAATCCAAATTTTCTTTGTTTTAGGTAAGTAAACTTGTTAATTTCGGCTTTAACATTTTATTAGGTGTTTTTAGTCAAGTTTGAGTTAGTTGTAGCATCATTACCGCGTTTAAAATAAGAAAATATGTGTGATAAACCGTATCGGTTTTTTTCTCTATGTTTACCGAAAACACAATGTTGTAAATGTTACGATAAATCAAATAAAATTCTTTTTATTAATGAAACCTACGGCGAAGAGTAAAGTCTCTTACTCTTTGCCTATGGGTTGTTTAACTAAAGCAAGTTTTGATAGAATTTAAATAGTTTTAAAGCGTTTTGATTCAAAACTTTCAATCAAAACAGTTTTTAACGTTTTTTTTTCTCGACACTAGTTATAGTTATACAAAATGTTAAATATACCTATAATCTTTGTCAGTGTATGTTTTTGTTAAAATTATTTGATGTAGCTACGCGAAAACTGGACCTGGGTCCAGGCATTTGGTGGAGCGGAGGTTATTGAACGAACAGCCCCCTCATCGGTGGATCGGACGTAAAGGGCCCAACAATTTGGCACTTCATGTATGGTCAACACATTCAACCGATCTCACAGTTTGCAACTTCTTTCTCTGGGGCATTATAAAAGATAACGTTTATGAGCCCCAAGATTTGTAAAAGCTAAAGACACGAATTGGAACTGCCGAGTATCTACAAGATGTTTGCAGCTGGAAGAGGTCATATTAAACACTTGTAAGCATACCGTTCAAAACTTGATTATATTACAAATGTTTGTGCTTTCCATGTTTTTTTACATAAATATAGCATTTTGAACTTTTGAACTACAGGGTGATAATCTTTTACAGTATTTTTATAATTATTTTATTTGAAGGGGTCAATGCAAGAAGTGCCTAAGTCACATTTTCAAATAAATTGTTATTGTGGCTTCATCTAAGAGTTTTCACGTAAGTTGAAAACCAGGCAAATCCCATTGAAGTAAATGCAAACTAAGGCACTTGGGCACATATTTCTGCCACTTTGAAAATACCACCTACTTAGATGAAGCCACAATGTAAATTTAATTGAAAATGTGACTTGGGCACTTCTTGCTTTAACCCCTTCATTTGTCCTATCTGAAAGTCTGACATTTTTAATGTACATAAATAACTAGACAATTCATAAGCAAACCTTATAAGGAATTATTTTTAAAGTTTTTAATTCAATTATTTTTTGCTACAATATAAATTGATTTTAATTTAATATAATTTATTTTAGCTTCTGCAATAATGGAACAATTAGACAAGATTTATCCTGCATGAAGAAAAAGAATGAAAGCTTTACTCGTCAATCCCAAACAGAAATATTTGACCAAATTTTTTTAATAATAGGTAGATATATATTTTTTTATTTAGAATACATTTTTAGTTACAATTGGTGGGTGAATATTTTTACCAAATAAATTAAGTAGTAATATTTAATTCAAACTTAAAATTAAATATTTAAACTACATAAATAGTTTGAATTATTTGAATAGTTAAATAATTACAATCATAATCTATTCAAATAAGTTAATTAAGGGTTAATGACAAGCAAATAACATTCTTTTTATTTAAAAATAAAATGTTCCATTTCTTCAATTACTATTGGAAAATTTTAATTTTCTAATTGAACCGTTTAAAAATTTGAAACATTCAAACTATTCAAATAATTCTTGAATTCAATATTCACACATCCATAGTTACAATCCAAATATAAAAAAAGTAAAAGCCTGACCATTAAAGAAAGTACACTTTTAGTATTTACTCCAAATATTATTAAATTGTTTATTGTTAAAACAAGCAATCTGACATTTTTATATTACATACACTTCTGCTTTAAATTATTATTTTTAGTCAGAAATATTTTATTTAGCAAGATACACATTAGGATATTAAAAAAGGATATTTTCATGTTAAAAAAGCCCAAGTTCACCATCATTAGTTTTTATAAGATTTTTAAATTAAAAAATAAACAAAATCATACTTAGTTAGTTACTTAGCTTGTTTTTACAATAAACCATTCAATTATTTTTATGCTGGTAAAACAATTACCTTAAGCATAAATAAGTAGCATAAATATTGATACTTTTGATATTGATATTGATATTTTTATTTAATTTTAAAAATTATTAGGTAATATCAATTGTTTTACAATTTAAATTGATTTTAAAATTGGTATTGATTTCAGGTTTGGGTTTGTGTTAATGGAAGAAGCAGACAGGACTTGAATTTATCAAACTTCTTTGCAAAAGAAAATAGAAAATATTAATTGCAGTTGAATATTCTTCATTGAATCAAGAAAAAGACGCAGGTTCAATCCATGAATCATGAACAAGATAAAAGACAATTAATACTTAATATTGACCATCATATTGATCATCATACATAAAGAATTTAATTTTGCCGAATACATAATTACAATATTATTAACATTGAGATTTAAGTGGTTCTATTGATTATTAATTTAAATTAAACCAATTTTACTAAAAATTAAAAATCCCAAAGAATGTAATTTAATTTTTGGATAAGTAGGAATTCCTTTTTGCCAAATATTCTATATTTTACAAAACTAAAGTATTGTGCTTATTTAAAAAAACAAATTATAATCATTATTCCTTTAATACTACATTAAGAAATCTGAATAGAATAAGTCAGTATGTAGGTATTACAATATTATTTATTTTTATGAATTACATATTCAAAGTTAAAATAATTTTAATTATATAATATACTCAAACTGTTTTAAAAGGTTGTTTTCTAATAAGGACCAATAAGTATTGAACTATTGTTTATCAAGAATTTATCAAATATTTTGATGGTTTGTAATATGTCTTAGAGTTAATTTGTTTAATAAACCTTTGCATTTTTATTAAGAAATATTAAAAAACCTATAAAAATTGTTAATATGTGACACAAAATTAAAATTTCTGAAAATTATCGCTGTAATCAAGATATAATTGTCTTGTAGGCATATATATCAATTTAATGTCATACTTTTTGATAAATTACACCTAAATAATTATAAATTATTATACATGTTTGATAAACCTTTTTTTAAATTTCACTAAAAGTTATAGAATAATTAACTTTGAATTTCTCCTCATTTAAATATTATTTGTTATACTTTAATTTAAAATTGAATTAAGTGTATATTTTGTTAAATATATTTATAAAAAACAAAAATGTGTGTTTTTCCACTTAATTAGTGGAAAATAACCGAAAATTGTCGAAATTTTATATTTTTTGATTTTTAATGGACAATATTACGTATATAATCCTTTTAAAATCAAAAAAATATAAAATTTAAACAATTTTCGGTTATATTTCTGTGTTTTAAATAAAAATTCAAATAGCCAAACATTCAAATTTCCCGCCGAAAAAAACAACTCGGTTTTCCAAGCCTGCTAGATTTAAAAATCAACCAATGCCTGTTGCCACTTTTGACTACAGCGCTTTTAATTCTCTTATGTTCTGTGAAACAGAACATACAAACTTTGTCATAAAAGCGCGGCATTCGGTCACACCCGCACGAGCACCTCCGATTCGGTGGCTCCGAATTTTGACGAGCGTTTGGCGCGAAATTTAAATATTTAACGGCAAATACATTTTATTATTTATTTACAAGTTTAATAAATACTTTGTAACTCCTAATATATTGAGTGTCTGGCAATAAGTAAATAATTGTTATAGTTTTGCTAATCAAAACACGAAATATTTTGTGTTCTGGTTAGTAAAACTAAAAAAATTATATACGATACGATCCATAATTATTATTATAAACTCCTTGTAAATTTTTCAGCTGCATTAAAGTGATGTAGGTACCTGTTGGTTTTAGGATAAGAAACAAAAGTCCACAATGTACGACATTAATTGCTAAAATTATTATTGTATCACTTTAGGTCGACGTTATGTCGACGTTGACAAAATGACGTATATGGTTGGTAAGGGTTGTGACGTCGTAGAGACGTCGATGTAAGGTCGTCGACGTCATTTACCAATATATACCAATAATCGACGTTTATATGACGTGACCATGTCAGCTGGGTAGTAACATACGTGACAATCACATAAGTTACTAGTATTCCTTTTTCCTCAAAAAATATGAAAAGTGTACGGCTCGCATTAGTAATTATTTAAGTAAGGTCTAATAGGTACATTACTATAAATTATGACTGTTTATAAAAAATAAATTTAAAAATATTTACTCTCAAAATTGCGATTTAAGACGGAATTACCCTTAGGTGTTTTTTTTAATGACCCATTTTAGTTGCGAAGCAATATCGGCCAGCGATTACGTGGAATTTTCAAACTTTTTGACAAGAGACAAAAAATATTCGCGCCACTGCGGCCAATCGAAAGAGTTCGACATCGAATCCGACAGGCAATTTTTTCGCGTGACCTTCAGATCCAACGATAGGCTGGATGCAATCGGTTTCAACGCCACCTATCACTTCATGAACGAAGTGGAAACCTACACGGGAAAGCCGGAAAAAACGGGCAGTTCCGATCGAGTCAAAGGTATGAAAATCGATCTTCTCTGTTTTTTTATTATTACACTATGATAGTTTTACAAACTTTTTTTCCTAACATTCAGCTTAGTTGAACTAATTTTGGGCCTAGAAAGTCTAGGATTTAAAATAATTTCGTAATAAAATGCTCTGCTCAATCACCTCAAAATGTAAGTTTTTTGTTGAATCTTCTTGAATGTACTAAGGTATACGGCAAATAGATTATATTTATCTTAACAATATGACATTTTAAATACTAAAACTAAAATTTTAATGTATTTTATGTAAAAAAACAACCATTATTTGACATTTTTTGTCGTTTATTTTAATTATTAAATTGAAAGGGCAACAAAGTAAACAAGTTTTAGTATTTTTTTATCCAAATTAAGCCCTAAAAATTTAATGCATTGCATAATTTTGCTTTTTTCTACCTTAAATTTATTAAATCGTATCAAATATCAAATTGGATTATAGTATTATTGTGCTTAATCCTCATCATCGTCGTACATCTTTTGCTGCAAATTCCAGCAAATGTCTCCTATGTAATGAATCCAACTTCTTTCCGCTATACCCATAGATATCTACCAATGCTCTAGATTTGCAGTTACTTGGTGAAATCGTTCTCCATGTTCATCAGTTCGGCAAATTTATCAGGATGAAAAAAAAAATGTATTTTAAATGACATATTAACGCTAATTCTTTGCAAAACGGAAAGCATTTTTTCAATGAATTGGCGCCAATTTTAGGCCCGATATGAACCAAGAACATTTTTAATGACAGCTTTAGCACTGCCATATGCGACAAGCTCGTCAACTTTGAGAGCATTTTTGAATGCTTGATCTTTCATTAAACGTCGACGTATATCAGGTCCATTTAATATTCCTGCAAAATTAAAGTAGTAAGTATATCTTATAAAATTTTGTAATGAAATATTGCGTTGGTTTTTCTTGGGCGTAAAGGTACCGCAACAAAAACAAAACAAATTTACAACGACGACATAAATGTTGTCTCCTTTCTCTTTCTCTGCCACGTCCATTACCACTTCCATTTCCTGCTCTTTTTTCATTTTTGGTTCTTAAAATCACTTTCAAGTAAAAATACAATTTAAAGTTTAAATTTTAAATGTCAATAATTAATAGATGCACTTTAGTGTGCTTGAACGATAAAGTAGATAAAGGCGCCTTTATACTTCAATTCGATATTAAATTTTGATAAGACTTAATAAATAAGATTGGAGATTGAATTTTTAGGTACTTTAGGCATGATGCTTATACCGAAACCCATTTACTTTGTTGCCTTTTCAATTTAAATAGTAATTAATTTAATTAGTAATTAAAAAAACGACACAAAAATTTAAAAAAATGAAACTTTTTGCAAAAAAAACATTATAATTTTAGTTTTGGTATTTAATAAAGCACTTCTCTGCAGAAAAACTTACATTTTGAGATAATTGAGCAGAGCATTTTATTACGCAATTATTTCGAATCCTAGACGTTCTGGAGCAAAACGAGTGGCATTTTTGAAATCAGCAGCCCAAAATTAGGTAAATCGAACTATCATAGTGTTATTAGATATGTAAGTAATTTAATAATACGTCCAAGTTTTTGTTTCAGGTTTATTCGGTCCAATTTTATTAACCTTTGTCACATTTATGATCAAAATAGCATAATCATGTTAAAAAAAACTTTTTAAATACAAAAAAAGTAAACCCAAGACTGTACCTACCTAAATTAATGACCTTTTATGTATACATATGTTAAGTTTTAGGTGGATATATTTATTTATAAATGTGCATTGTTTATTATATCATTAATACATGTTAATTGTTAGGTTAACAACATATCTCAGATATGGATCAGTAACTGAATTGGTAATAATTTTCGAAAAAAATTGACCAGAGATTTTCCTGCTTTACTCAATTTTTTTTTATCAAAATCACCTTGAATCAATAGGAATTCCACAACGCCATTTGTTAGACTTTTTTTTTAAGATAAACAATAAAAACTTTTTGTTGTCAAAAAGCGATAAAACGCTCTTTTGGTTACTTTGGCGCCCTCTACTTTTATAATTCCATTCCATTTTTGGTTCACAACTAATTTTTCCAAGACTTACCATTTTCGATAAAAATGAAATCCAGAAATTCAAAGAAACAATTTTTTTAAATACAATGCCGCGTTAAGACCATTTTTTGTTTATAATTTTATTTTTTTAAACCTACCGTTCTCGAGAAAAATAAGATAAAAAAAAACAACAAAATTAGTTTTTACCTTGATCCGCAAAGTTAAGCTTTTCTTATGAGCCACAAACGATTCATGCAAAAAAAATGTCCATGGTCAATTTTTTCTGACAGATTGACTACTAAAAACCAACTAAAATAGTTTTTGTATCTTTAAATTTGGATATTAAATATTTAAATTTAAAAATACAAAAACTGCTCTAACTGAATGGTGTTTCTACTTAAAAAGGACAACGTAATAAAGGTTGTAGTTCTCAGCAAGATCAAAAAAAGATTTTTTATTTTAGCTTTGTTTTATTGATTTTTTTGTATTTGCTATATAAAAAATTAAGTTTTTTGGAATTGTCAGTCAAACACCGAAATACAAAAACGAAAAAAAGTCGATAATTCAAAAACAAAAGCCCAAAAGAAAAATATTTATTTGAAATGAGATCTGCAACTTCTATTACCTCGAGCAAAAACACCCTGTATTTTAAATTGACATATTTAGACTGTACAATGTCAATATACCAAACTGTCCCTAATGTTAGATACAGGATGGTCTAAATTTACTTAAGGGTCTCAAAAATCTTGTATTTTTTAAAAACGTAAAATTTTCATTTTTTTTTACTTTGGAAATTTTCAAAACTTAAAACGAAAATTTTCAAAACTGAAGTTTTTGTATATTTAGACCTCTCTGTATATTTAAAACTTACTTTAGATACTTTCCAGGTAAATGTCCATTTTTTTTAATTTACAAAGTTAAACAATTTTGTTTGGGACATACATGAAAAGTCCAAAAATCACTTTTAATTTATTTTTAAATTGTTAAAATTTTTAGGTTGTGATATTTTTTATAGGCATTCTTTAGACCACGAAAATATGGACCTTTTGTAAATAACTGAAAAATTACCTATCTAGTTCTAAAGCACAATAAAATTCTTAAGAAATGCAAGCGTGTTTTATTATAAAATACTCACAAAAACTTATATCCTTAAATAAATAAGTAAATTTATAATAATAATAATAACAGCAAAAACTCAATTTTGTTTCTGTTTTAATTTTAACTCCAAAATTTCTACAATTGTGTCCCTAATTCTACTTTTTTCCAGTCCAAGAATCTGGATTTTTTCCATTTGCTCTGTCACAAATTTAGTTTTTCTTTGGAAATAATCTTTTGCAGTATCAAGATCCTAAAATTTATAAATTTTAGAAAAAATCTTGTAATTGTAAAAATGTTAAAAATACTAACTTTTTCTGCATAATATCTAGTTCCAATATCAATAATAACTTTTTGTGTGTCCATTAATTTTCCAGGCACATACATCTAGCAATTATTAAGGAAATGTTCAAAATACACCAAAAATATATACATATGAAAAAATCAAAATAAGGATTAAAAAATAGTAAAAACAATGGTTTAAAAATGCTAAAATTGTTGGTCCCAAAAACACTAAAAATAATTATAAAAATGTAAAACCAAATTGTTATTTATCAATTTAACACAAAAATAATTTATTTACCTATAACTGGAAACAACCAAAAAATATCTTACAGAACAGAAAATTACTATATAAGGATACAGATCCAGTTAGGGGGACTAAAATCTCTTTTCCCTCAGACTCAGGGTTGATTTTCTCCAAAGTTTCCCCGGAATTCTGGAATTTCCCCTGTGCCATTTTAAGAGACGTCAAAGATTCTTGAAACAAATTTAATTCCTACGAAATACAACGATTTTCATTAGCATGTGCAGAGTGAGGTTAGAAATTCAAGCCCGTAGGTGCAAACCTGATCTAACTGTTGTTTTAACGCTGTCAATTGTGGAACGCTTAACGTTGTCAAGTCGATTTGTTTCATGTTGGGTTGTTCTACGGACGATATTTGGGCCATTTTGTTTGATATTTATTTGAAACTATTCGCGAAAACTTTGACAGCTTTGACAATCTTTTCACCCACAAACAGGTCTACCACCATCACATTTTTTAAGAAATTCCCCAAAAATTCAAATCAAATAATGAACTGGGGATTTTATTGTCGTTATGTTTTCCTAAAAAGAAGAAGAAGAGTTTTTCTATTTAACAAAAATCCCGCGAAATTTGAATGTTGACCTCTCCAGCTGTATCAAACAGCACCAGGTTTATCAGTTTATCACACGTATTACTTAAAGTAGATAGCTCTGCACATTATTATTGTTAATAAGGTTGAACATAAAAATGAGTTTTACTGGGAAAGTGGTGCTAATAACGGGCGCTAGCTCCGGAATAGGCGCGGCTACGGCAAAACATTTCGGTAAATTGGGGGCCAGCTTGGCGCTGGCTGGGAGAAACAGAGAGAACCTGGAAAAGGTGGCGTCGGAATGTCAGGCATCGGCAACGCTGCTGTTGACAGGTGAGCTGACCAATCCAGGGGACACAAAGTCGGTTTTGGACAAAACCACAATCCACACAACAAGGTCTGTTCTTCCTCGATTCGCGCATACTAAAAATCACGGAGGTAGGCAACCCACTGCAAAAAGTTTAAAGGCGGCCATTTTTGTTGTTTACAATCTTTATGCTTTGGATTTGTGCTCTATTTATACAGATTAATAATCGTTTTAAACGCTGTTAGTTTATTGGATTTTATTGACATAAGTTGAGTTTGCTCCTGTGTGTTCCTGTTTGGTTTTATTGACGTTACCAGTGTGAAATTCACACTGTGAATCAGTTGAGTGCGCTCCTGTTTGTGTTGATTTTGTCATTGGCAGTTGACTGTACTAGTGTACTTGTTTATAAACACTAATTAGTGCCTATTTTGAAATAAAGTCTATAAAAGCCAAAGAATGGATTGAGGCTGCTGATAATTCAATGGTTAATATGGAAAAACCAAAGTCTCGTAAGTTCCACTACAATGTGTGCAAAACATAATTATTAATGTATATTATTTATTTAGATTGAATTTGTGCTATACATTTTGAGCCAAAATATTTGGTAAGGCATCCACACGAAGTTTTATATGGTTTGTCACCACCTAAAGCTTACCGAGGCCTTACTGAGAAAGAAAAGCCAAAGAATGGATTGAGGCTGCTGATAATTCAATGGTTATAATGGAAAAACCAAAGTCTTGTAAGTTCCAAAATATTTGGTAAAACATCCACACAAAGTTTTATATGGTTTCTCACCACCTAAAGCCTACCGAGGCCTTACTGAGAATGCTGTTCCAACTTTGCATTTGCCTGAAAGGTAATATTATATTATAGTTAAGTGAAGAGTCTTCAATACCTATATTATATATATTCTTTTTCTATGCAATACCTTTTAACACTTTCGCTGCTGACTGGTATGGGCAATCGACCCCCAGAAACTGAAATAGTTTGGGAAATATTAAACAGTTTGTAAACAAGAAAAGTTTAAAACACATTTATTTTATAAAAAAAACTCAGGGCTAGGACGTCTTAAGACGTCGTCAGCCACCTGCTAAAAAAATTTATCCAGAGGCGGAAGACGTCTATGTCTAAAGGATTACTAAAGGATAATAAGCGATATTTTAGTGGACGTCAAAAGGCGCCGTTCGCCTCCCACTTAAGAAGCGGTGGCCGTCTTTAGACGCCGTCAGCAGCGAACGTGTTAACCAGTGGAAACCAAAGAAAAAGGTGGAAACTATTATAGTGTAGTAAAAATTAAGTTTTAAATATTCGATTTTATATGAAATTGTTATTAGAAAGTATTGTCAAAGATAATCTTTGAGTATTGTTATTAAAACGTATTTTATTAAATTTTGTGTTGGTAGTTGACTAGTTAACCCTAATTAGGGATTAAATATGATACCTAGGTTTTTATTATTATTTTTTTATCAATTTAAATATGCTAAATTGTATTATTTTATAAGCATGAAGAAATATATTTATTTTGTTAAATTATATGTAAAAATTTAAGTGTATTTAAAAAATACTTATTTATGTTTAAGTTTATTCATATTTATTTTGATTATTTTTTATTAAAAATATATATTATATTTTTTTGTTTTATTTATATATCTACTTACTAGAAATCCTACCTTCACCATTAATTAATATTATAATAATTTCCGTACTTAAAAAATTAATTTACTAAAAAATTATCAATTTGCAATTAAATTATTTTGATTTAACCCTACACCACCAAGTGGTAAAAGGGAATTGATTATATATATAATATTTTGATTTATATTACTTTATCTTAACTTTTAATTTCTAAAAAAAATCATCAACTATGGTCATGTACATCCATTTTTACTTGCTAAAATACTTTCATCATTGATAATTTTATTTAAAGATTTTAATATTGCCAATAATCAATTTTTAAGAAAATGTATTAAAAGTTATAATAATTATTATTAATTATTAAAATAATTATTGATTACCATATTGTAAAATAATGTTTAATTTACACAAGTATTAGTGTACTTGTGTTTATTTTAATTAACACATTTCTGTTTATAAATGTATACCTTAAAACTTGAAACAACTATATATATTTACTTGCTCAAAATACCTTTTTATATATAAAGATATCTTTAATAATTTATTAATTAAATTCCCCAATTAACATATTTTTGTCAAAGCTTTTGTTTAAAACAATCATTTGCGTTTACATTAAAACTTTAAACAACTTTTTATTTTTAAATTAACAGCGGCAAATAAATCAAAGATGGTGGCCATTAAACTGTTCACGTGGTGCGCACAACAGTTCTGATTTTCGTTCGCATTTTATCGAGGAAGAACAGACCTTGTTGTGTGGATTGTGGACAAAACAATCGAACACTACGGAAAACTGGATGTTCTTGTAAACAATGCAGGTATTCTGGAAACTGGCTCCATCGAAAATACGAGTTTAGAGCAGTATGATAGAGTAATGAATACCAATGTAAGATCTATTTATCATTTAACTCATTTGGCTGTTCCGTATTTAATTAAATCCAAGGGAAATATAGTGAATGTGTCTAGTGTAAATGGTATACGCGCGTTTGCGGGCGTTTTGGCCTACTGCGTTTCTAAATCAGCTGTGGATCAGTTCACTAGATGTGTTGCTTTGGAATTGGCTTCAAAACAAGTACGTTGCAACAGTGTTAATCCAGGGGTGACCGTGACCAATTTACACAAGACAGGGGGGATGAATTTGGAGCAATATGAAGCTTTTTTGAAGAAAAGTGAGGAAACTCATGCTCTCGGCAGGGCTGGAAAACCTGAAGAAGTGGCTCAGACAATTGCATTTTTGGCCAGCGATGATGCCAGTTTTATAACTGGGGTTAGTGTTCCTGTTGACGGAGGAAGACATGCCATGTGTCCCAGATAGTTTTTTGTATTTTAAACATGGTTTTAATAATAAACACTTTATTTTTAGTAGGCTTTATTTATTATTTACAGAACTAAAACAACTAATATTTTAACTTGATTTAATCCTCTGGGATTCCCAATTCGGCGTTTGTCCATTTGCTGGGGTCTGGATACTCAAATTCGCCCTGGAAATATGTTTTTCATCAATATTTAATTTAGTATGTTTTAAAATGGAACAAAGTTGTTACAGAAATTAGTTTTATTATATTTCAAGTTGAAATTTTCAACTGTCAAACTGACAGCTGTCATTGACATGCAATGTTGCCAATACAAAGGCAAAAATAAAGAATATTTAGATCATGTAGGCTTCATAATTTAGATTTTCAAGTTTTTAAAACAAAAAAATTCCTTGCAACAAGAACAATTTAATATTATAAGAAGTAAGAAGTAAAGAAAAGCGTACTTTTAAATTTTAAGGAAAAAAATTTGAAGAAAACGTTTACAATTTACAAATTGAAACTACTTACAAAAACATGACCAGGTTCGGTCCACAAGTGCCATAAAACCCACCACCACGCAAACCCTTGTACTATTTCTGCAGCTAGAACAACTGTTTTGGAAGGTGGAGGAGGGCCAACTCTATAATTCCACCTAAAATACACAAATATGAGCAATTATGTAACACAACATTAATAACATTTCATTACCCTGCACTGCTATTCCTTACTGATTGTTTCAACTGTATCGGATTACTACGAAGTTTTTGTAAAGCCTTTAGGGTGGCTACCCCCTTAGATATCAGCATAGTGAGTGGCCTATGAAATTAGTTGACAGCTAACTTAACCTATAAATAATAAACGTCAATGTTGTTGCCAACTGTAAAGTTATCTGTTCCAGGAATTACCTTTTCAAATAAGGTTTTTGAAAGGATTTTACATAGAAAAAATAGTATTATTTCTATTAGATTTTAGTCCTCTTTTGGCTTTAAAACAGCATTTTTAGCGAATTTTCAAATTATTCTTTGTAGTAGTACAGTACACTGTTTTATCGGCATGTAAAATTTCGTTATTTTTATTAATAGAAAAATATATTAATTAACATTAATTTTTAAAAATATCTTCAAAAAACAGTTTTAATAAAAAAGCATGAGTCAATTTTGTTTAATAACACAAGAAATACCCGAATTACTTCCAAAACTGTTTTGACAGTTATTTGCAGGAAAAAACCCTAGTTCATTCACAATGTGGATTGTGAGTTCATTGTTTTGGGGAATTTCGCTATAAAAATGATATAAATTTGACAAGTGAGGTTAGCTTTTTTATTTGGGTCAAAAAATATCGTCAAATGTATAGGTATATGTAATGTAAATTAAGTAAAACATTATGTAGAAACAATTAAAGAACAAGGAGAATGCAAACTTTATTAACAATAAGTAGTATTATGAGAACAATAAATAAAAACAAAATAAAACAACAGATGTGATATAACATAAATTAGATTAGAAATACAATGGATGTTGAAAACAAGGAGGCCAAATTAACATGGAGCGAATTAAAGGACGTTGTCAGTGATCTACGAAGACAATTGTCTGGTCTTTCCGCCCCAGTTCCTTCATCTATAACTTTTCGGACCCTGCAGGATGGCAGAACGAGAATTTATTTCCTGGGCACCCCCCAAAATGGTTGGGAAACAACGTTACTTTTTGCTGATGTGCCAAATGGCACTAAAAGCAACACAACCAAACTACAGTGGCAATGTGTTATCGAATCGAACTTTCCCAGTTTATCAACCAATAAGTTTTCGAGAGAAGAGCAGTTGCTGTGGGAGAGAAGGCGAATGGCCACTTGGGGTATAACATCGTATGAAATTCACAACGAAAGCGGTAAAATCGTTTTTCCAGCCTCCAGCAGTCTATTTTACTGTGTCGATAGCGGTTTTTCGGTAAATAACTCACAAAAAATCACTTTAACTGTAAAATATTGAATTTCATTGTAGAACGGCCAATTGTTTCCAACCAAAGTACGTATGACCACTGGAGCGCAAATAAACTCGCAGATTTGCCCCCCAAATCCGGATTTGGTGGCGTATGTGTGCAATCACGATATTTGGGTGACTCACACTGGTTCAGGTTCGAATGTCAGGTTAACGTACGCGCATAAAGGGGGCCGAAATTTGGCCGACGATCCTTTGTGTGCCGGAGTTCCTTCCTATGTTATGCAAGAGGAGTTTTGCAGGTACCAGGGGTTCTGGTGGCAGCCCAAGTGCATAGGTAAGTTTTTTTATTTAAATTTACAAGACTTGTTTTAATTTAAATAAGGCTTTTCTTTACTTTTTTGTTCATTAAATTTTAATGATTTATTAGTACAAAATAGTAAGTAACAATAATGAAAAAAAAGTTAAACTTTAATGAAAAGATTTCTTAAATCTATTAAAAAATTTGATTTTGAACATATACTTTTTATTTTTATTTTGTTTTACTATTTTTTCTTAAGTTCACAAGATTTAGCTGGAATTTCGCCTTTTTATTTTTATGTTATATTCGTGATTGTATGTTGTTTTAATTTTTTGACATCTGTCATTTTTTGTCATTTGTCATTTTTAACGTCTGTCATTTTTTGCAGATGACAAAAATAAGTTATGGCAGATGTCAAAATTTAATAATATTGATAAATAATAAATCAAAAAAATTGTAATATTTTTGAAATTGTCATTTTTGATCCGTAATTTTTGACATCTGACATTTATGGCAGATGTCAAAAATGGGCCATGGCAGTAATAAATAATAAATCAAATTTGGAAATTTCAAAAATTTGTCCGATTGATTTTTATATTTTTATTGTTTTAATTTTTTAAATCTGTCATCTTTGACAGCTATGGCAACATTTATAAATAATAAATCAATTTTGGAAATTTTAAAAAATTTGTAATTACGAAATTATTTTAATCAGTTTTTATATTTTTGTTGTTTTAATTTTTTTAATATGTCATTTTTGACTTGTCACTTTTGCATCTGTAATTTTTGACATCTGTCATTTTTCGGTTTCAAGAATGAGCCATGGCAGATCTCAAATAATATTGATAAATAATAAATCAATTTTGTAAATTTTCATTTTGGCAAGACTTCTGAAATTTTGCCTTGTTTTAATTTAAATAATGCTTTTCTTTCTTTTTTGTTCATTAAATTTTAATGATTTATTAGTACCAAATAGTAAGTAACAATAATGAAAAAAAAGTTAAACTTTCATGAAAAGATTTTTTAAATCTATTAAAAAATTTGATTTTGAACATTTACTTTTTATTTTTATTTTGTTTTACTATTTTTTCTTAAGTTCACAAGATTTCGCTGGAATTTCGCCTTATTTTATGTTAAAATCGTGATTGTATGTTGTTTTAATTTTTTGACATAATATTCTGTCATTTTTGACATGTCACTTTGCATTTGTCATTTTTTGGCATTTGTTATTTTTTGGCATTTGTTATTTTTTGACATCTGTAATTTTTTGCAAATATCAAAAATAAGGTATGGCAGATGTCAAAATTTAATAATATTGATAAATAATAAATCAAAAAAAAATTGTAAAGTTATATTTTTGAAATTGTCATTTTTGACGAAGTATTATCTTTGACATCCGTAATTTTTGACATCTGACATTTGTCCGATTGATTTTTATATTTTTATTGTTTTAATGTTTAAAATTTTGACATCTGACATTTTGGCAGATATCAAAAATAAGCTACATTGGTAATTAATAAATCAATTTTGGAAATTTTAGAAAATTTGTAGTTTCGAAAATTTTCCTTATGTTATTTTCTGTTATTTTTAACATCTGTCATCTTTGACATTTGTCATTTTTCGCAGGTTTCAAAAATGAGCCATGGCAGATCTCAAATAATATTGATAAATAATAAATCAATTTGGTAAATTTTCATTTTGGGATTTCAAAATGTTTTGTAAATTTTAAATGTATACCATCATTTTTTATATTTATAGTTTTAACTTTTGACATATGTCACCTTGACATCTGTCTTCTTTGACATCTGTCATTTTTCACAGGTGTCAAAAATGAGCCATAGCAGATGTTAAATAATATTGCCAAATAATAAATCAATTCTTTGAATTTTAAAAAATTTTGGAATTCAAAATTTTTTAAAATTTTAAAAATCATGTTTTTTCAAATATTAGTTTAATTTTTTACATCTGTCAGTTTAAAATCTGTCGTTTTTGACATGTATCATCTTTGACATCCGTCATTTTTGACATCTGTCATTTTTCGAAGGTATCAAAAATGAGCCATAGCAGATGTTAAATAATATTCACAATTAATAAATTAATTCTTCGAATTTGATTTTTACTTCCATAACGCCAAGTTTTGTTTTTTTCCATCCGCAAAGAAGTTTAAATTAAAAAAATTAATTAAAATACAAATTTAATTACCCCCAAAGACAAATTGATGAGAATGTCAAAAAACAAAGACAAATTAAGAATGTAAAAAACATAATTTAATTACCCCCAAAGACAATTGATGAAAATATTAAAAAACAAAGACAAATTTCCTATCTATTTTAGATGGCGTTTACAGAATACTATACGAAGAAGTAGACGAGGGGGACGTTAAGGTGTTTTGTTTTCCCTCCTCGCAGTCGGATTCGGGAGAAGTGGAGGAATTTCGATTTCCACGGGCCGGGTGTGCAAATTCCAAATCGTACCTGAAAATGGTCGAGTTTAAATTAAACGAATTCAAGCACATTGTCGATATAGTTATGTTGGAATTGCAATTTTCCCTCGCGATGGCATTTCCTTGGATGGAGTACATTGTTAGGATGGGGTGGACCCCTGATTCCGAGTAGTGAGTACATTTCATATTTGTTTTATTATAATAATATTTTAAAAAGTCTAATTAGACTTATTTTTAATTATTTTAAATATGCATATAATATAATATATGCAATAATACAGGGCATTTAACTTGAAACTCGATTTTTCTTCTGTAGACGATTCTTTAATTTTTTTAATTTTAACTAAAGTAGGTGCTCAAAATAACAATATTAAATATTTGCTCGACGAACTCTTTTTTTCGGTTGAACACTCCCGTTTGACTGTACGGTGAAATGAAGTACGTGATCGAATTTTTTCCGGAAAACGCTGAGCGTAGATATTAGCAGCATCATCAAGATTCCTGCCTGCTTCTCCATAAATCAAAATCATTTCTAGTTTTTCTTCCACTGTTAAAAAATCCATTATGAATAACTGCTTAACGAAAGGAGGTCTTTTTGTTTGCAAATTAATCTTCAAACTAAATTGATTAAATAATGCTAAACTATGTATAAATAGTTTCTTTATACCTCAATAATAATTATTATTTATAACTAAATTAATTAATTGACAAAATATTGTTTTTTTTTTACCTTAAATGAGGTATTTTTATTAAAATTGTACAATAATCCTTTAAATTAAAGGATTTAATGCTGGCAGATAAAAAGTGACCATGGTGCGCAATTTATGATTATCACCGAATGAAATAATTTATAAAACTTAAATATTAGTTAAAAAATTGTGGGTACTTAAAAAATCAGATTTAATTTAATAAGATAATTATTACCAAAAAAAGTGATATTTTTATAGAAAAATTATTGCAGAATCGTATAAGAAGAAAAATCGAGAAATGATTTTTTTTCATTCCATTGGAAATTTTAAAGTTTCCCCCTGTTTCGCCTATAAGAAGGAGAGTATGAGGACCAATTTTAGTACTGATTGATTTCCCCCCTTGAGTCATATAATTTTTATTTTAAACATTTTTTCGTAAAATGCATACTAACTGAGATATTTCAAAGTTTCAAGTTAAATTACTCACCCTGTATATACAACGTAAAAATACATATTATGTATTTTTACGTTTTAAATCGATAAGACCTGTATTTTTTTTTTGCTTAAATTTGTTTTGTTCACCCATAGGAAATTTTTTAAAAATGGACTGAAAAATCGATTTTTCTCTTTGCGAGTGACATTTGGGAACACCTCCTAAAAGTCATAAAATTCCTAAAATTTTGCTTAAATCTTGAAAACTCCTAAAATTGCATTCAATCTCCTAAAACTCCTTAAATCCTAAAAATTAAATTTAAATAGGCCAACCTGACTATGTTTAATTAAGGTAGTGCTAAAAAAATTCTTTTTTAAAAAGTAATTTAAAATATATATTTATAGGTTCTATTTTATTAAATTCTTTTTAAAATGATATAATATCACAACCAAAATTTTTCTTAAAAAACAACAAAAAAACTTCCACAAAATTGTCATTTTTAGCGGTATTTCTTTTTTTTAGTCAAAAATATACCGTGCATAGAGAAACCGTGTATACGAGCCCTAACCACATAATGTTCGGACACTTCATAATTTATACAGAAATTTTTTTCGTGAATACTATCTCAAAATTATTAGAAGTTATGAAAAATTCAGCTTATTTTGGCATATACCCCTCGAAGCGATTTTTATTTTTAAAAAGTTTACCTTTTATTAGCTTTTAAAAAAAGGCTAACTTTTTAACTTTTTTTTGCATGAGTAAAAAGTTAAAAATAACATAAAATATTATACAAACCCTAAAAATTTGGTAAAAATTGTATAAATAATAAGAAAGTTATAGCGATATATATATCTGCAAAATCTCCCGTTTCCTAAGAAAATTGCAAAAACTCTTTAAAATAGCATTTTTAAATTACTTATACTTTTTTATAACTTATTTATTTTTTACCAAATTTTCAGGGTTTGTATAATATTTTATGCTCTTTTTAATGGGCCCATTTATAACTTTTTTTACTCATGCAAAAAAAAGTTAAAAAGTTAGCCTTTTTTTAAAAGCTAAAAATAAAAGGTAAACTTTTTAAAAATAAAAATCGCTTCGAGGGGTATATGCCAAAATAAGCTGAATTTTTCATAACTTCTAATAATTTTGAGATAGTATTCACGAAAAAAATTTCTGTATAAATTATGAAGTGTCCGAACATTATGTGGTTAGGGCTCGTATATCAAAGAAAAGGATTTTTAATTTTCTTTTAAATGACAGCTAAAATAGTAAACAATCTAAAGAATGTTTTGCTGTATTTTACAAACATTATATTTTGTTGTGGGAGCCCTGCATTTTTTCTTGATAATGCGATAATTTATCCAAAAATGTTTCGATCGTTGCAATTTTTTTTTAAATTGTTGGTAAATTTTTACTACATACAAAAATAATATAAAAAATTAAGTGAATATTATAAGCCGCCATATGTTCCATAATTATTTTATTCGATATATAAAATGTTTTGCAGAAAAAATAATATATAAGTAAAATTTACTACAATTTTGCTTATATATATATTTTAAAATATAAGTTTTATATACTTAAGTTGATACGATTAAAAAATATAAATATATTGAATGCAATGCACCATGCAAAGTTCGATATAAAAATTTTTTAGTTTGAAAAGTCCCCGAGCGATGGCGCTGCCTGTTCATGGTTTTTCTTTGTATAGGTATAATTAATTTAAATGCCTACCTATCATTAATAATATCGACGAACCACTGTAATTTCAGCCGTATAATTTACAACTCAACCGCCGTTATCTAAAAAAAATACACCATACACAAACAAAAATCATAAACAGGCAGCGCCATCCCTGGGGGACTTTTCAAACTAAAAAAAATGTTATATCGAACTTTGCATGGTGCTAAATTCAATATATTTAAATTTTTTAATGGTAAATTTATTGCTAAATTTTTTAATGGTATCAACTTAACTATGATTTCGCGAAAGAATCGAACGATCGATTTACAACACATCTCAGATTTTTTTTTAATTTTAATATTTTGTTCATACATCCAATTTAACACTAAATCTAAAATTTTTCTTTCATCTGACTTAAACTTTAGCTCCTAGAAACTATTTAATTTTGCCTTTTACAAAAAGGCCAAATTCCATTATTTTGGCATACATTTTTTATTAAAATACTGAATGATTTGAAATTTGGCCCATGTATGACCCCTATTAGTACCTACAATTGTGTCAAAAAAAAGTTTTAATTTTTTACATACAGGTGGCGCTGCAATTTTTTTTTCTTCGAAAGTAGACGTTTTTTTAAGACAAAAAATTCTCTTAAGCAACAATGCTCAAAAAATCTAAATAGCGTACCAGATAATATAGATATTCCTTTATAATTCGACATATAAAAATTTACTTGCAAATGATGTTGCGGCCCGTAAAGCCAACTTAAAGTTTGGTCTACCGCATTAAAAAAAATTGAATTACACTTTCAACTCTATCCCTATTTTTAAACTAAGGAACTCCAGGTGATGGCTTTTATTGGTAACTAAAACGCAACAAAAAAAAGTTTTATTTTTTTATATACAGGGGGCGCTGCAGCCTTTTTTCAAAAATAGACGTTTATAAAGACCATAAAGTTACTTAAGCAACATTGCTTAAAAAATAATGACATTATTTATAATGTATCAGATAATATAGATATTCTTTTATTGTTTGACATATAAAAATTTATTTGCAATAATTAATGCCTGTTGTAGGGACCATTAAAATTATAACTAGTGCACGTACCCGCATATTGTTATATAAACGCCTTTTTTCGCTTTTATTGTTGTATGCGGACAAAAGGTAACAAAACCAAAGAAATTTTAATTACAAATGGTAACAAATATTTCAGTGACTCTATAGTAATAGTAATAGTAATATGACCATTTGTTTAAATATATTTTAGTATATTTCGAGAGGCAAAGCATTCTTTATTATCGTACTTTAAAATTAAACTAAAGTCAAGCCTATAGGCTGGGAATCAAGTTACCCCAACAGTTGACAGTTACTGTCAAACGGTAACCATAATAACATTTAAAATTTTGCCGTTATTACAAAAGTTGAAATTGGAGAGGGAAAATATCATGCTTTTAAAGGTACGCAAAGTTAATAAATTTTCTTTAAGTAAATCAAAATTCTAGGAATTGAATTTTCTTCTGGAGTAAACATGAAAGTTCCTTGGACATCATCGAGTCGACAAAAGGAAAATCTAAATAATTTAAAAGCAATTAAATATAGGTGCGACAAATTACTTTGCAGTAGGGTTTTTGAAAATGAAGATGATCTTCTAAACCACCTTAAATTTCAAAATCATAAATTTCCTGAAATTAGACAAACTATAGGTGATGTTGCTAGAATGGAATTTTTAAAACAAAAAGATGTTTTAACTGCAACTAGTTCAACAATATCTACCGTCAATATATGCCCAAATGAAGAAGATAAAAATACTTTTTTTCGAGTATATGCAAAAGGGTTCGGAAGGCGCAAAATTAAAAAATCACGTTTTAATGAAAAACAAAAAGATTTTGTTGGCAACCTTTTTGAAGAAGGTGAAAAAACTAAAATTAAATATACCTACGCCTGAATATATAGCAACACTGTTGCTATATAATAAAGAAATAGTAATATCAATAATAATAATAAAGAAGAACATAATAAATAAAATAAAGAACAAACCTATTAAATAAATAAAGGAATACGTAACTCTTTATAATAAAGGAATACATAACTATATTATCCGAAATGCTATATAGTTTTTAAAGAAAAAAGGCTGCAGCGCCCCCTGGGTGTGAAAAAATAAAACTTTTTTTTGCTGTGTTATTGTTACCAATAAAAGTAATCTCCTGGAATTCCTTAGTTAATAAATAAGAATAAAGTTGTAAGTGTAATTCAATTTTTTTTAATGCGGTAAACAAAACTTTAAGTTGGCTTTACGGGCGGCAACATCATTTGCAAGTAAATTTTTATATATCAAATTATAAAGGAATATGTATATTATCTGGTATACTATTTAGTTTTTTCGAGCATTGTTGCTTAAGAGAGTTTTTGGTCTTCAAAAAACGTCTATTTTTGAAGAAGAAAAAATTGCAGCGCCACCTATATGTAAAAAATGTATTTTTTTTTTGGTAGAATTGTAGGTACTAATAAGGGTAATTTATGGACCACATCTCAAAACATTCAGTATTTTAATAAAAAAATTATGCTAATATAATGAAATTATGGCTTTTTGCGAAATGTAAAATTAAATGGTCTCTGGGAGCCAAAGTTTAGGTCAGATAAAAGAAAAATTTTAGATTTAGGGTGGAATTAGATGTATAAACACAATATTAAAATATAAAAAAAATCTGAGATGTGTTATAAAAAAATACCCCAAAATCGTTCGATTCTTTCGCGAAATCATAGTTAAGTATATAAAACTTATATTTTACTTATAAATATATAGAGATGGGAAAATTCCCATTTGACGAAAATTCCCGGAAACTTTCCATCGAAAATTCCCGAAATTTTCCGAAAGTTTCAAAAAAAATTTTTTTATTGCGAAAATATTTTTTTTTGCCAGGGATTTGCAAAAATATATAACACATTAACTTTTTGTTTTAATTTTATTAAGAAAAAAAATAAAAAAAAATGTTTATAAGAATGTAACTGCAATACTATTTTTAGTATCTTTTACTTTGGAATATTTCTATTGTATACTGAAACCTACAAAATAAAAATAAAAAATTTATTATAAAATGTTTACTATTAGAAATTCACTGCTAGTAAATCCTAGATATTTTGTAAAAAAAATTAAAAGGGACAAAGTAACTAATATACTAATATATATAATATAGGAATATTGAAAAGTAAAAAGTTAAGTAAAAAATAATTCCAAACACTAGGTTTTTTTCTTGACATTTTGCTATGTCTATAAATAAACAACAAAAATGTAAGAATGATTTTAACTTTGTTTATAAGTTTTTTGTGATGCTGAATAATCCGGCTTCATTGAGGTTATGTAACATAACTTACATTATTTATACTTCTTCTTCTTTAAATTAACACACATTAAATTCTTATTCAGTTTCTTGGCCTTGTATCATGGCCCTAACGAAAATCAGCGGTTAAACAATTGACATTTAAATGAAAAAAACAAGGAAAGTTTCCCAAGGAATGTTTCCAAGGAATGTTTCCGGTAGCTTAAAAGAAACTTTCAAAATGAAAATAAATTCCCAATTGGAAACTTTCCAAAACGGAAAGTTTCCTTAAAATGGAAACTTTCCGATTCCCATCTCTATAAATATATTATTTTTTCTGCAAAACATTTTATATATTGAATAAAATAATTATGGAACATATGGCGCCTCATAGAATTTACTTAATTTTTTTTTATTGTTTTTTCTAAAAAGGCAAAAAAAATTGAGATCAAAATTTTGACATTTTCTTAACTCATATTTTTTTCGTTTGAAGTTAATAATACGAACAATTTTCACCAAAAGTCAAAAAAAAATTACGCGTAATCAAAACGAATTTAAGCAAAAAGAAAAAAATCAAGTGTCAACGATTTTGGTAGAGAAACTAAAAAAAAAATTCGTAGAAAAATAACGACAGTCTTTGTAACAATTTTGGTAATTTTTTTAATGTATATTATTATTCGAAGCATCTGGATGCAACTGCTCGATCGCAGGCAGCAGCGCCTGGACGTGGTGATTTTGTCCTTGAACAACTTCACGGAAGGTCTTCCGCTGTTCGACGAAACCGGCAACACCGCGATCGCGCCGCTGGTGCAGGTGATCTACACGCAGGAGTCCCCGGTGTGGATAAACGTGCACGATCTGCTGCACTTTTTGCCCTCCTCGGAGCCCAACGAGGTCCGGTTCGTGTGGGCCTCGGAAGAATCCGGCTTCCGGCACCTCTATTTAGTCACCTCGCAACTGTCCAACTACACGAACGGCCTGACGGAGAGCGTGGTCGCGATGGATTGCGTCTACATGCAGCCGAAAATCATTTCCAAAGTGAGTTTAGTACTTGAATTCGGAATGTACGCAAAAAATCTCTTAAAATGATATGTCGCATGATATATTTACGTTGTTATTAACCGATGACCGCTATTATCTTAAAAGCGGTCATTTCTTATTTACGAGCGCATTTCGACGTGTGATGGCTCATTTTAAAGGTAATTCATTTTTTATAGTGGTTTCCATAAACTTGATATCATTCAAATTATAAAACCTACTTGAAATTTGGATTTTTCGCAAAAAAACCCTTAAAATGATATGTCGCATGATATATTTACGTTGTTTTTAACCGATGACCGCCATTATTTTAAAAGCGGTCATTTCTTATTTACGAGCCCATTTCGACGTGCGATGGCTCATTTTAAAGGTAATTCAACACCCAATAAAATAATTTGTTTTTATAGTGGTTTCCATAAACTTTATATCATCAAAATTATAAAACCTACTTGAAATTCGGATTGTACGCAAAAAGCACCCTTAAAATGATATGTCGCATGATATATTTACGTTGTTTTTAACCGATGACCGCCATTATTTTAAAAGCGGTCATTTCTTATTTACGAGCCCATTTGGACGTGTGATAGCTCATTTTAAAGGTAATTCAACACCCAATAATTTTTTTGTTTTTATAGTGGTTTCCATAAACATTATATCATCCAAATTATAAAACCTACTTGAAATTGGGATTGTACGAAAAAAAAACCTTAAAATGATATGTCGCATGATATATTTACGTTGTTTTTATCCGATGACCGCCATTATTTTAAAAGCGGTCATTTCTTACTTACGAGCCCATTTGGACGTGTGATAGCTCATTTTAAAGGTAATTTAACACCCATTAAAAAATTTTGTTTTTATAGTGGTTTCCATAAACTTAATATCATCCAAATTATAAAACCTACTTAAAATTCGAATTGTACTCAAAAAACCCCTTAAAATGATATGTCGCATGAAATATTTACTTTGTTATTAACCGATGACCGCCATTATCTTAAAAGCGGTCATTTCTTATTTACGAGCCCATTTGGACGTGTGATGGCTCATTTTAAAGGTAATTCAACACCCAATAAAAAAATTTGTTTTTATAGTGGTTTCCATAAACTTTATATCATTCAAAATAAAAAACCTACATAAAATTCGGATTGTACGCAAAAAAACCCTTAAAATGATATGTCGCCTGATATATTTACGTTGTTTTTAACCGATGACCGCCATTATAAGGTAACTCAACACCCAATAAAAAATTTTGTTTTTATAGTGGTTTCCATAAACTTTATATTATCCAAATTATAAAACCTACTTGAAATTCGGATTTTACGTAAAAAAAACCCTTAAAATGATATGTCGCATGATATATTTACGTTGTTTTTAACCGATGACCGCCATTATTTTAAAAGCGGTCATTTCTTATTTACGAGCCCATTTGGACGTGTGATAGCTCATTTTAAAGGTAATTCAACACCCAATAAACATTTTTGTTTTTATAGTGGTTTCCATAAAGTTATATCATCCAAATTATAAAACCTAAATTTCTTAATTTGGTTACAGAAATATTTATAACACTCTTATAAACCCCTTAAAGAGCTTATTTGGGAAGTTTATGAAGGTTATCAGTACCTATTTTAGTAACACTATAAAACTCAAGTTTTATAACTATAATGGTCATTTTCAAAATTCTTGTACTTTTAAAGAAGAAAAAGTAAAAACAAAAACATAATCTAAAAACCTGTTTTTTTTTCAAATACGTTTATTTAGGGGTGCTATTTAACACCTAAAAGTGGGCAGTTGCATTTTTTTAAATAAGCCCATAAAAAAGAAAATAGAAAAAAATGGTCCCCTGGGTCACAAATTTACTAACATATTAAAAAAACTTACAGTGTTAGCTAAAAATACTTCAACTTACATCTCAGTTTACGTGTTCGAGGGTTTTTCGAGAAAATATTTTTAAAGCCTTTTATTTAATAATGAAAAAACGTTCGAAAAATAACTTTTAGGGAAATTTTTTTTTAAGTAAATAAAAAATATGCTATTCAAGACCGTATTTTTGTTAGCATACCCTGAAAATTATGAACAAATCAAATGAACAGTAACAAAGATACAGTCGTCAAAAATGACCACTTTTTAACAAAATAATAAAAAAGGGGCCATTTTTACCGACTTTAAAGCACGTATCTTCGTTACTATTCGTTTAATTTGTACAAAATACTAACAAAAATACGGTCTTTAACAGCATATTTTTTAAAAAAATTTAAAAATTACCCTAAAAGTTATTTTTCGACCGTTTTTTCATTATTAAATAAAAGGGCTTTAAAAATATTTTCTCGAAAAACCCTCGAACACGTAAACTGAGATATAAGTTGAAGTATGTATTTTTATCCAAAATTTCATAAAAAATAATAAAGGCGTTTTAGATTTTTTTACAGTGGTTCCAAAAATTATGGCCAACACTGTATATAAAAATCATTTTGAAAATGGATTTTTGTGCTTGTTAATAATTCTTTTAAGGTTTGATTTACACTAGGATTTGTTTTAAAATAGAACAAAAATGTATTATTTATAAAAAAAATTTAAATACAAAACTAAGTAAAATGTTCTATTTCTAGTATTTTTAAGTATTTTTAATATATTTTATGTATTTGAAAAATGTCCATTAAAAAAAGTGAGTTAAAGAAGTTTTCTTTTAATACGTATTAAAAACGTTTTTTCTCGATTTTTTATCTGGGCCCAGCTTGTCCAATTTAACAAGCAGTAAATTAATACAAATTTTTAGTCATTAGTATATTAATATCATAATAATAAAAATATAAACATTGTTTCGTTGAACTACCAAAAAAATTTTTCCAGCTTTTTTGAGGCAAAATACGTTGACTAGGAAAATTACTATTAAAAAGGTGGAGGACATTATTTTAAATTGGCTACTTACTGTCAAAAACAGAAAAGGTGGAAGGTCGAAAAAAAAATGTTTTTAAAACTTTTCTATAAGTTTATTATTATTTCAAAAATATATTATAATTTATTTCTTTGGAATTATCCCCTGGGTCACATAACTTTCCCCTGCTTCACACAATATGTGATCCAGGAGACGTATGCTTAACTTCTGTTTCAGTTACTAAACATTTTTGGTTTAAGCACATAAATAATTATTAACTTACAATTTTTATTTAAAAAAATTAAAATGACAATAGTTTTATAAAACAGGTAACCGCAAACTTTATAAAACTCCTTTATAGACCTACTGGTAACAGTTACTAAAGGTTATATAAAATTTTTGTAGAAACAATTATACAACCTAATTATATAATTAGATTTTACAGTAACCTTATATGACCATTATAAAACTAGTAAACTAAATGGCGATTTTATAAAACATTGTTGAACTCTTATACAATTTGACAACTCTTAAATAACTTTTATATAATTTATCGTTACCATAAGTAGTACAAATTGTTTATTGGGCATGTTTAATTTCACGAATAAATTAATTTTGGCCTGTTAAACTCAAAAATTGAAATGAAAACGATGAATGTGGTTGCAAAAGATGTGAAATTATATATATTACACAGGTGGAGCTGACCTCGGGCGAATGGGAAGTCCTGGGCCAAAATGTATGGGTGGACGAAGAAAAACAGCTCGTTTATTTCCTAGGTCTTAGAGAAACTCCCCTGGAAAAGCATTTATACGTAGTATCGTTAAGAAGGCCAGGGGAAGTTCGACTGCTTACCCGTCCTGGTTATTCGTATTCTGTAGATTTTAGCAAGGTAATCTTTCTGTATGTTTATTAGACTGGGCCAAAAAAATCGACTATTTTTTTTTGAAAAGTATTTCGAAAATATGGTTTAGGGCGACAAACAAAAAATTGTGAAAGTTTGAGTCCATAATATTAATATTAATAGGTCTATCATCGCAATTTTAGATTTTTTTTCTCGAGCGAGTTTTTGTCTCAGAACTCCCAAACCATTGAGTTTAACAAAATTGACTCAAAGATATTTTTTAAGGAAATTGAATGCTCTACAAAAAATGTTCGTCAGATAAGCCGTTTCCTTAAAATTATGCCTTAAAAATTGGTATAGTTTTACAATTTGATCTTTAACTTTGGAATTTTGTAATTTATGTAAAAATCAGTACCCGGAAAAATTCGATGGATGTTCTTATGGGAAATCAAATGCTCTACAAAAAAAATCTCTTAACTTTTTTGGCTAAATCGACTCAATCAAAAGTTATTCAAGGTTAAAGTTGAAGTCAAAACGAAATTCTTGTTTTCTTCTCTGTGTATTTATTTTTTTATTGATGATAATTTGATTTTAACTTTAAAAATGTGTATTATATAACTAATTAAAAATTTCCAATAAAAAACAACATGATAGTTATTATTTAAATGATTAAATAATTGAAAATAATATTTTCTAAAGAAAATAGCTTCTTAACGCAAAAAAATTCGAATTTTATAATTTTTTTTAATTTTTAGTAATTTTATCAATAACATAAATATTATCATCGATAAAAGACCAAGTTTTTAACTGACCCAAAAAAAAATCTAGAGCGGAAAAAACAAAAATTTCATTTTGACTTCAACTTTAACCTTGAATAACTTTTGATGGAGTGAATTTAGCCAAAAATGGTAAGAGACTTTTTTTGTAGAGCATTTGTTTTCCCACTGATTTTTACGTTAAAGATCAAATTGTAAAACTATACCAATTTTTAAGGCATGATTTTAAGAAAACGGTTCATCTGACGGGAAATTTTAATCAGACCTTTTCTGTAGAGCATTCAATTGTCTTCAAAAATATTTTTAAGTAAATTTTGTTAAACTCGATGGTTTGGGAGTTCTGAGACAAAAACTCGCTCAGGAGAAAAAAATCTAAAATTATGATGATAGACCTCTTAATATTAATATTATTGACTCAAACTTTCACAATAATTTTTTTTTGTCACCCCAAACAATATTTTCGATAAACAGTCGTATGCAAATAAAAAGCATACACGTATTAAAATAAGAGGTACTTCATTTGTAATTATAGGAGTTTTTTCAAATTCAGATAACTGACGAAGCATTATTCAATTAGCTGTCAAACTGACGGCTGGTTTACATCTACGGCACTGTATTTTTTATAACCCAACTCGCCATATTTGACAAGTGAGGAGTGATTTTTCAGGCCGTATTTCCATTTTTTCTTTAATGTCATTTTTCGACAAAATCACAAAGGCATATATTAAATGGTGAATATGTTGCATAAGATGTTGAATGTCAAGAATATGATGAAAAAGTGATGTGTTTATGTAACGAGCAAGAGATGGATATCCTTAAAATATAAGCCTTAAATATTTTTCAATATTGTTAGCACAATAAAGATATTTTTCCATATAATTTTTTAAAACGGTATTCAATAAAAAAGTAATATTTCCAAGTTTGTACACAGCAAAAAGGCACATTTCCAAAATGATTTCATACAAAAGGTCTTATTTCCAAATAATTTTGAAAATTACCATTGCTTTAAATATTTTAATTTAAACCACCAATACGACAGCAGGTCTGAAGTGGTATTATATATTTATCAGAATTTTTTTTTTAATAATCTATATCGCCCTAACCTATACCTATAGGTTATATTCGTTTTTTGAAAATGTGTTGCAAATGGAAATAGGACCTTTTGAAAAATCACTCCTCAAATGCAGTACCTCTCATTCTAAGGCTGTACGCTTTTTATTTGCATACGACTGTACTTACTTTACAAAAAAAGGTAGTCGATTTTTTTGGCCCAGTGTAATGTTTATTGGAAATTTTAAAGAGTCCTTTTTGCAGGATTGTTCGTTGTTCGTCACCGTGTACAGCAACATAAAAAATCTGCCGGCTTGCCAAGTGTTCCGGATAAACCACACCGATTGGACGGTAGAGGGCGTAACGTTGACGCCCATCGGCTACCTGTTGGAATCTAGCGCGACGGTGCAAGAATCCTTTTGTCCGGAGCTGTACACGCACGAAATCTCGTCGGGCCCCGTGCTGTACGCGATGGTTTTCAAGCCGCACAATTTCGAGCCCGGAAAAAAATACCCCACGATACTGAACGTGTACGGCGGTCCCGAGGTGCAACTAGTCTCCAACACGTTCAAGGTAAACGATGTGTTGTTTTTGAGTTGAGATTCGATATCCAAGCGAAAAATCCTTTAAAATGATGTATCGCATGACGTATTTACGGCGATTTTAACGAATGACCGCCTTTACCTTAAAAGCGGTCATTCTTTTATTTACGCGCGGATTTTGACGTGTGATAGCTCGTTTTAAAGATAATTTTACTTGGATTTTAAATTTATTTGAATTAATTAAAAAACTTTATAAGGAAGATGTCTCTAGACGAAATTTACATTTTATTATACAGGGTGTTACCAAATAAGTTGTACTTATAGGATTATGGTACACGCCAAAATAAGAAAGTTTTTCCTCTAACATTTTTGCAATAAAAAAATCATTAATTTTTTTTAAGTAAATTAGACATTTTGGGCCGCCAATGGTTATTTCTGACCTATGACAACTGATACAAAATATGCTTGCACAGTGGGCTATAATCTAACTAAAAATTTACATTTGTGTTATCATGGATTACTTTGTTTTGCATACTTTGAGTACCTCAAGGTTTCCGTGGTTTTCCCGTCTATTTTAAATTTCACCTTTCACTTTTTACGTCGATTGATCCTCAGAGAAACCACAATAACAATCTAACTGTCAGTAATCAATGATAACAAAGTACCTACCAGTGTTGCCAAGTCTTGAAAACGGATTTATTGTACCAACCTCATAAAATTATCGTATTTTCAAATAAATTATCGTACTTACACAAAAAAATATGTAATAATAAACCTATGAATACATAAAAAAATAATAAAGCAATGTGGTATTATAATAATAAAACCAAATTTATCTTTTTAAAAAACACTACTTATTATTTATAAAATGGGGTTAATGCATTACCATTGTTGACTAAAAAATTACAAATTATAATTTTATAATAATAATAATTATTAGTCCCCTTTTATTTCTAATTCACACAAAAATTTGGGGTAGACATATTAGTTTAAAACCAAATTAAAAGTGTGCAAATAATTTGGAAGGCCCTGTATTATAAAAAATCATTTAAAGTAAAAAATATCAGATTTGGCTGGTTGTATACAAGAATGTAAAAATAACATATAACTTAAAATTGTGGAAAAAAAATTTTTTGTAATAAATTAACTATTTTTTTACACTTTCAATATACTATCGCTAACAAAAAAAACTCATACAGCTATATTGTGGCTGTGTGAATAAAACTTTTCCGTCAATGTCAAGCTGACATCGAGCTTTGTCACATCCATTATGACTTTTTTAACAACATTTTCAACCAAACAATGCAGACGAACTCTGGCAAGCCATTGAAGCCATTTGGAACGAGATAAAGCAAGACGGCGACTTCCATGCTTTGCCGTTTGCGGGCAGTAATTGACAAAAACAGAGGGATGACGAAATATTATTTTTTTTTTCAAACTTCAACCTAACTTTGTATTTAATTTTAGACCTTTCAAATGTGACGCATCATGTTAAAAGCCATAATTACTCCAACGAAATGATAGAAAATCAGGAACACTAGATTTTTAAGCTGTATGAGTTTTTTTTGTTAGCGATAGTACACCCTCTGAAAGTGAATTACAAAAAATATTTTTTAATTCACAATTTTAAGTTATATACAGGGTGGTAGGTTAGACGTTTATGGACGTTAATGGACAACGGCAAATTGAAATTTTTATAGCAATTATAATATCATTTAAACTATTTTTTTAAATTATTTTGAACAAAATTCCTCTTCCGGTTTTAGCGGAAGCGATATTAACTTTGTTATTTTAAATGGATCATCACAATTTTTTTAACATTTTTAAATGCTTACCATTATTCCTTATAAAATGGCTGTATTATGTCCTATACCTAAACTTAATTGTTTTTAAGTTATTATTTTTTTGTAAATTTCGGTCAGTTTCACCCTTAACAAAAAATCTAAAAATATATTTTAAAAAAAATTACAATAAATTACATGGAATCTTAAAACAATGCTTCAGGATTTCAATAAATCCAACCGAATATCAGCCTAATATTAAAAAAGTTATAAGCTTTTTTTGTTGAGGGTGAAAATGACCGAAAATTAATGTTTTGCGTGTACTATTATCCCCCCCAAAAATAACAATTTATTAGGTGACAGCCTGTATTGAAAGGGTTGAACTCTAAAATTTAAAAAAATGCCCATTAGACTGGCCAAAAAAATCAACTATTTTTTTAAGTATATCGAAAATATGGTTTGGGGTGACAAAAAAAATTATTATGAAAGTTGGAATTTTTTTTTCCTCAGTAAGTTTTTGTCTCAGAACTCCCAAACTATTGAGTTTAACAAAATTGATTCAGAAATATTTTTTTAAGAAAATTAAATGCTCTACAAAAAGGTTAAAATGAAATTTTTCGTCAGAAGAACCGTTTCCTTAAAATCATGCCTTAAAAATTTGTATAGTTTTACATTTTGATCTTTTAACTTTGGAATTTTAAAATTCATGTAAAAATCAGTACCCATAAAAAAAACGATGAATATTCTTATGTGAAATCAAATGCTTTACAAAAAAAGCCTCTTAACATTTTTGGCTAAATTCACTCAATCAAAAGTTATTCAAGGTTAAAGTTGAAGTCAAAACGAAATTTTTGTTTTTTCCTCTGTAAATTTATTTTTTATGGGTGATAATTTGATTTTTCTCTTTATAAATATGCATTATTTAACAATTTCTAATAAAAAAAAATAACATGATTGTTATTATTTAAACGATTAAATAGATAACAGTGAAAATAATATTTTCTAATTTTCACTAATTTTATCAATAAAGATTATTATGATTGTAAGAAAACGGTTCATCTGATGGGAAATTCCAATTAAACCTTTTTTGTAGAACATTCAATTTTCTTCAAAAAATATTCTTAAGTCAATTTTGTTAAACTCAATGGTTTGGAAGTTCTGAGACAAAAACTCGATCAGGAAAAAAAAATTTAAAATTGCGATGATAGACCTCTTAATATTAATATTATGGACCATAATTTTTTTCTCACCCCAAACAATATTTTCGATATACTTTACAAAAAAAAAATAGCCGATTTTTTGGCCCAGTCTAATGCTCATATTATTTTCGGGTTTAAAACCCGAAAATGCAGTTTTTCCGAACAAAAACCGTTGTTTGAATTCAGGGCATGAGGCAGCTGCGCATGCACATGCTAGCGGCGCGGGGTTACTGCGTGGTTGCCATAGATTCGCGCGGATCTCAGCACCGAGGCCTGCAGTTCGAAAGTTACATCAAACGGCGGATGGGCACCGTGGAACTTAGCGATCAAGTCGAGGTGCTCAATTGGCTGGCGGACACAGTCGGATACATCGATCTTAAAAGAGTCGCGATCCACGGATGGTCCTACGGTAATTCCCTTCACTATGCCCAAAAGGTGCTTTACAAAGTAAAGGAGACTTTTTCATGACATTTAGATCATTTGACATCAAATTATTGCGCCTAACGTCATATAACATATACCTACGCTAAAAAAGTATCGGCTTTTATCATCGTAACAAAAATACTTTTGATAATCATATGGCACGCGGTTTTAGCATTTATTAGATAAAAGTTTAAAGATTAAAGTTTACCACTTAAATTATGTTTTAACAGAAATTTATAAAGTTAAATTTTTTTAAACTCAAAACAATTGATAGTCAAAAAATATAAAATGCAACAGTAAAAATTTATGTTTAAAAATATTGATTTTTAAAAGTTTTGGTCGTAATATTTTATTCTAAAAAATTATTGGTTTAAATTTTTAAAGAGTTATTTAAATGAGAGTTGATAAATTTTTGATACAAAAATTCTCACATTACATTAAATGTAAGTTTTAAATTTTAAAGAAGTAAATGACTCTACAAATTTAAACCAAATTTTTTTATTTTTAACAATTTTAAAGTGATATATTTTTAAGACAAATTTTATAACTTTACATTTAAATGTAAGTCGATAGTTTTTAAATTACAAAGTGTAAACGTAGTTTTAGTAGAAGGCACAAGAGTCTGGGATCGGAGCCACGATGCAGCCAGTTTGATCCGTTGATGTTTTTTAATTGACGTACTTGAAGTACAACAGGCACTAAAAATATTGTTCTATTATTAAATTTATGTAATAAAGAAACGATAATTTGTAAAACGCGTCAAATATTTATGGAGCAAGCACGATTTGGCAACACTGCGGATCAAACTGGCTGCATCGTGGCTCCGATCCCAGACTCTTGTGCCTTCTACTAAAGCTACGTTTACACTTTGTAATTTAAAAATTATCGACTTTCATTTAAATGTAAAGTTATAAATTTTGTCTTAAAAATGTATCAATTTAAAATTGTTAAAAATAAATTTAATGGTTTAAATTTGTAAAGAATCATTTAAATGATAGTCGATAAATTTTTAATGCAAAAAATACCACTTTAAAATTTAAAACTAACATTTAAATGACTCTTTTAAAAATCAATATTTTTAAACATAAATTTTGACTGTTGCATTTTATACAAATTCAAACCAATAATCTTGAAGAATAAAATATTAAAATTCCATTTTTTAAAAATTAATATTTTTAAACTTAAACTTTTGCAGTTGCATTTTATATTTAAAATATTTTTTGATTATCAATAGTTTTGAGTTTACAAAAATTTAACTTTTTAAACTATTTTGGTGTTTTTATTTTAAATGGCTTTATACTATTTTTAAATACTAAAAAATTTAACTTTACCAAATTAATCTCAATAATTTTATAAAATATTTATTTAAGTTAACAAAATGCCACCCAAATAAATTATACTTTGGAAATTATTTTTATTAAAAAATGATAGTTAAATTTTTTTTCAAAAATTGATAGAAAATAATATTGTTTAATACAGAAGTGAACTGTTTGTCTTTCAATACATATTTATACAATATTATAAATTTATAAATGTAAACCTAAAATTTTTAGTTGAGAAAATTTTAAACCAATAAAATTTTAAATAAAAAATTATTTAATAAATGTTAAAACGGCGTGCCATATAATCAGCTGTCAAACGCGTGTGTTACAAATGAGTGTTTTTGAGAATAAAGCCGGAAAATGTTAAAAAATATCAAAAAAAAACCGTGGCACGATTTGTTGTGTTGTTGGTTGTATTTCAAGAGGAAATCCTGGGTTGAGTTTTTATCGGTTTTCCAATAGACAGTGTTAATCCGAATGAAGAAATAAATTTCATACAGTCCCAGTAAATATAAATTGTATCTATTAGATACAATAAATACTCATTTTAGTAATGATTAACGTGAAAAGTGTAAACATTTCAATTTAGTAATAATCGTCAAACAAATAAGTCGTCTAAATTTAAACAACATTTAGCATTATTAAAACCGTTTATTAAATTCTTTAAAGTCTCCACTCAACGATAAAATACCATTTTATTATGTATTATATATAATATTATGTTGCCATGAATTCGTAGCTATATTTTGTTGTTTAAAATGCAGTTGTCGGCGTTTTTTAGAGAACTCAAATATAAAAATGGTTGATTTTAAGGTTATGTTTGTGCAAAAATTATTTTTTGCTAATTTCTTAAAAATGTCCTAACTTAAATATAAATTATATTAGGTAAAGTAACTTTACCTAATATAATTTATATTTACTAAAGTTATCATTAGTTAATTCTGCACCAACAAATGTACTTACCGAATTGGATCCTTTGGCAAAACATGAAAATGCAACGATTTAGTTCTTGAATTTTATTTACAATTAAAAACACAATAATTCACCATGATCCCTTAGATAAAATACACACACTAACGTATACTTTATAAGCATTTAAGCGTTGAGTTTCTTAATCAATGATATAAAGAATAATCAATCGAAATAAATATTTATTAAACCTTTGTAAAACACAAATAACGTACGCGATTTAGCTGTGCAATTGAACAAAATTTGTCGAGTAAGACTTCTGCCTCTCTTAAAAAAAAAACTACCTATTTATTTAAAAATGATGTACAGTTCGTATGCTTTAAATGTATTGTTGACAATTCTTAAATTCACGCAATGCTTTTGAAGTCCACCAGATGGCGCGCGCGTTGCGAAAACCCGATACTTCTTTAGCGTATATGCAGAGTTGCAAAAATGTTAATGTAAAAAATAGTGCAATCGTCATTTTTTTTTACATGGCAATGTAGTTTGAATACATTAATCATTAAAAAATTGTAATGAGAAATATTTTCGTTACACATTAAAAAATTAATGAGTAATGTCGAACAGTACATTACTCATTAAAAAATAAAAAATGAGTAACCCATTAAATCAGTGAAAAATGATCAGGGGTAGGGTTGATGGGGTGATTTTTTATATGGGGCATTTTTCACCACGTTTGACAGTTTGAAAAATGTTGATTTTCTTTTTCTTTTATTTTTTGATATTTTTAAGTACCCAATAAAAATACTCTTTCTGGTAAAGTTTGATATTTTTTTGATTACTCGTTCAAAAGATATCAAATTTTCAAAACATTTTTGCTGCTAATTTTTCAATAATGGTCCAAAATTTCATTATTTCTTAACATTTTCGTGTATCAAAATTATCCAAAGCATATTTGCATGCGAATTTTGAGTTTTAAAATTTTAATTTTCCAACCGTTTGTATTCTTTGATGTCCTTGCAAATTTTTACGTTATACTTCTACCCACTTAAGAAATTTTAAGCCGGAGTTGATACTGAGATTATGACAATTAGGTGAAAAGGCGACCTAAACTCAAAAAAGTATTGAATGATATGAATAATTAATTTTGAACGTCTGTTACTGGTAAAAAACCAATGAGTAGTGTAAATTGAGTACATTAACATAAAAAAATGTAATTGAAAGTGTCAAAATACTCATTACAATTTAAAAATGAGTAGGTAATGTAAAAAAGAATACATTACTCATTGGAAAAAATGTAAGGAGTAATTAACTTAATTTTCATTAAAAAAGAAGTAATGCATAATGAAAATTAAACACATTACTGATTATTTTAATAATGTGTATTGAAACCTTAATGCATTAAAAAAATAATGCATTATTTGCAACTCTGCATACTTGAAGAAGTCCTGTATACTTTGAAACGCACCCTGTTTGTAGCACAGTTCTACTGTCAGAACATTTTATCTGAATTTGACTGGGCTATCATTATTTACTTGCTTCAAATACAGGTGGATACTTAAGTCTGATGGGTCTGATTCAGTATCCGGATCTGTTCAAAATAGCCATCGCTGGTGCTCCGGTCACCAGTTGGAACCTTTACGATACCGGTTACACTGAAAGGTACATGGACCTTCCCGATAAAAATATTACCGGATATATGCAGGGCTCCGTCTTAAACTACGTTACCAGATTTCCAGACGAGTAAGTGTATTTTTTTAGCGTATGTACGTAAAAAGTCCTTCAAAATGAGGTGTCGCATGATTTTTTGACAATTTTAACAAATGACCGCCGCTAACGTAAAAGCGGTCATTCTTTAACGAATCAGTGTTAACAAATGACCGCCTTTGTTTATGGGCGGTCATTCTTTAATAATGCGTTGAGGGATGACCGCTGCCGTGGTGCAAGCGGTCATTCTTTAATAACAGCCGTGCGACGGCTCATTTTAAAGGAAATTCGACAGTGATTATAAATTTAACAATAATAACAGGGAAAACAGACTGTTAATCATCCATGGTCTCATCGATGAGAACGTTCATTTTTACCACACTAGCCAACTCATCAACACCATGATTAGAGCGGGGAAACCTTACCAGTTGCAAATTTACCCCCAAGAACGACACTCGTTGAGGCATTTGGACGCCAGCAAGCATTACGAAACGACGTTGCTATCCTTTTTGCAAAATAATTTGTAAAACTCCTCCATAATTGCCCTAGGATTTTTTTTGTGATTTTGTTTAAGAAGCAAGTATTAAGAAAAAATGTTTTTTTACGCAAGTGATTTATTTACTTAACTAGTTAAAAGCAACGCGCCCAGTATTGATTTTTTATGAACAATACTTTTTTTTATTACTTTCTACCCATTCTGTATTTATTTATTCGTTACAGTCATTATTAAAGCATATCAAGTTATACTCAATTTTCATAATTTTTTATATATTTTTTATGTTAACAATATTTTTTTACAATAGTAAATGTCCTTAAAATTAGGAACACACCAGCTTAGCAAAAACAAAATAAACTGATCTTATGCAATTTTATTGTACATATTTATGTGATTAGGAGCTTATATTAAATGTATAAAATAGCTTATTTATATTGAATTTCTAATAAAATACATGTTTTTGAGTTTTTCTTTTATTTAAAACCAACATAATATTAAAAACATACATTTTAGATACTTAGAACGTTTTAAGTTATTTTAAACAGTTTTAAGATTCTTAAATGATTTTATAAGGTTTTAGGACAATTTCTAGATCGTTTTGGATATTTTAAGACTCTATTAAATAGTTTTGAATCCATTTTTAACATTATTTTAAATAGTTTTAAAACATTTTAGAGTTATAGTGTATTTTAGAGTTTTGTAAAATTGGAGATTCTAGGATTCTTTTAAATGGTTTTCAAACGTTTTGAGAGCAAAATGTACGTAAAAAGTCCTCCAAAATGAGGTGTCGCATGATTTTTTTGGGAATTTTAACAAATGACCGCCGCTAACGTAAAAGCCGTCATTCTTTAACGAAGCAATGTTAACAAATGACCGCCTTTGTTTTATGGGCGGCCATTCTTTAATGATGTGTTGCGGGATAGTTAGAACGTTTTAAGTTATTTTAGACAGTTCTAAGATTCTTAAATGCTTTTATAAGGTTTTAGGACAATTTCTAGATTGTTATAGATATTTTAAGACTTTTAAATAGTTTTAAATACATTTTTAACAGTATTTTAAATAGTTTTTAACATTTTAGAGTTATAGTGTATTTTAAAGTTTTGTAAAATTGGAGATTCTAGGATTCTTTTAAATGGTGGTCAAACGTTTTGAGAGCAAAATGTACGTAAAAAGTCCTTCAAAATGAGGTGTCGCATGATTTTTTTGGCAATTTTAACAAATGACCGCCGCTAACGTAAAAGCGGTCATTCTTTAACGAAGCAGTGTTAACAAATGGCCGCCTTTGTTTTATGGGCGGTCATTCTTTAATAATGTGTTGCGGGATAGTCAGAACGTTTTAAGTTATTTTAGACAGTTCTAAGATTCTTAAATGATTTTATAAGGTTTTAGGACAATTTCTAGATTGTTATAGATATTTTAAGACTTTTTAATAGTTTTAAATACATTTTTAACAATATTTTAAATAGTTTTTAACATTTTAGAGTTACAGTGTATTTTAAAGTTTTGTAAAATTGGAGATTCTAGGATTCTTTTAAATGGTTTTCAAACATTTTGAGAGCAAAATGTACGTAAAAAGTTCTTCAAAGTGAGGTGTCGCATGATTTTTTTGGCAATTTTAACAAATGACCGCCGCTAACGTAAAAGCGGCCATTCTTTAACGAAGCAGTGTTAACAAATGACCGCCTTTGTTTTATGGGCGATCATTCTTTAATAATGTGTTGCGGGATAGTTGGAACGTTTTAAGTTATTTTAGACAGTTCTAAGATTCTTAAATGCTTTTATAAGGTTTTAGGACAATTTCTAGATTGTTATAGATATTTTAAGACTTTTAAATAATTTTAAATACATTTTTAACACTATTTTAAATAGTTTTTAACATTTTAGAGTTATAGTGTATTTTAAAGTTTTGTAAAATTGGAGATTCTAGGATTCTTTTAAATGGTTTACAAACATTTTAAGAGCAAAAATATTTGCAGAAATCTTAGTTTCTGACTTTAAAAGGAAATACAGAAACAATGAATATTAATTTTTGATACCTATATTACAACAAATAATTATTAACAAACTATTTGGCCATGCCAGTTTTAGTTTTCCTATTTAAATACCTATAAAGCCACTGTATTCTTTTTTCCAATTGATTCCATTTTGTTGGCCTAGCCAAGGGATACGCAGTTTTCCCGAGCATCTTCTTCTTCCTTATCATCACTTGAAACTCGTTACCTCCCACACCCCTCAACCAAGGCGGCATATTGTACAATATCCTCGTAGGATGAATTCTTTCATTGCCTAGTATGTCGATATAGTCGTTTTGACCAAACAAGGCTCGTTTCTCAGACCAAGAGTTTTTAGGTTTGTATGTTGGCATTGGGAGCTTTTCTGCATCCTTTATCCTCGGCAATAATCCTCTGGGCATAATGCTATCATTGTATCCATGTCTACGAACCAAAGGACCCTTGGCAACTTTTTCCGCAAAGTATCTGTATCTCACGGCCGTTATTTGTGGGGACAACGATTGAACTATGTTGCATATACTTTTACTTACTGTATTTATTACAGACATTGCCGAAATAAAACGATTAAAATTGTATTTACTGGTTAACCTCACAATGTCAAATTTATTCTAACCCAACTTAATTCTGCCCATAGATGACTGAAGAAGAAGAAGAAGAGCTTTATTCTGTCATTTATTTTATTTACGCAACAAAATTACAATTTTCATATTAATTACCTAATCTTCTGTAACTGACAATCGACAATTAGTTTATTCAATGTATGAATTTTCTATATGAATGAATTTTCAAACGAATTTGAATTTACCGCGTTAAAAAAGGTCCCTGTTTTACCGACAGTACAAAATACGACATTTCTCTGAGCTACATGCGGTAAATTACACTTCAAGTCGTTAATAATATTGTTATTGTTAGTTAGTGTTGTTTATTCGAAAACATAGAATTAATAAAAAATGTCGAAACGAAGAATCGAAGTGTTAGACCCGTTTATTAAAAAGAAACGGTAAGTGAGGTTTTCAAAAAATGTCATCCAATGTTTTTAACGTTTTAGATAGTATTGGACATTTTTAATGCACTTTTAAATGGTTTTAATAATAATAATAATAATAATAAACTTTATTGCGAAAAAAAATATACACAAGTACCTAAAAGTGCTAAAATTTCAAAACTGTTTTGAAACTTGCTAGTTTTATGGATTGGTATTGAAAATAGTTCATTGCTATGTGTGTTAATATTATGATAAGCTGATAGCCTATTTAATAGCACAAAAATGTAACTAGGTCTATATGATTTAATAACATTAAAAACAAGACAAAACATTTTGGATAGTAATACAACATTTTAGAGAGTTTTGGACAGATTTTGGTAATTTAAATGTTGTTTACAGCGAAGAACGCGGTATAAGCACGGCAGTAACGACCCCGCAAGCAAATGGCTCGTTTAACCCGTACACAGGGCTCCCGTTCACCCAAAAGTACCACGAGCTGTTCAGGAAAAGGATATGCTTGCCCGTGTTTGAGTACAAAAACGATTTTATGAGGCTTCTTGCCGAACATCAATGCATTGTGCTTGTGGGTGAGACGGGGTCGGGTAAAACCACGCAGATTCCGCAGTGGTGTGTGGAGTATGCAAGATCGGTGGGGACCAAAGCGGTGAGTTGCACACAGCCAAGAAGAGTGGCAGCCATGTCGGTGGCACAGCGTGTTTCGGAGGAAATGGATGTGGCTTTGGGACAGGAGGTCGGTTATAGTATTCGTTTTGAAGATTGCTCCTCTGCTAAGACTATATTAAAGTAAGTTAATAATGTTTTTCTTTTTAGTGTTAGTTGCAACTATTTTTTATTTTATTAATGAAAAATATAAAGATTGTAAAATAAGCAAAATTTGGCGGAATTTTATATAAAATTGTGAAACAAAATAAAAATATGAAGAAAATCACAACTAATCATCATCATTACCTAAGCGTCTTTGTATTAATATTTTACTAATTTATATTAATAAATCTTTGTAAAAAGTAAAAACAATAATGATTTTGGTTTTTTCACTTTTTTAACTTTTTTTATTTTTTCTTGCTAATTTTTTCCCTTTAATAATTTTTTTTTGTACTTTTTAAACTTAACTTTTGGACCTTTTTTAAAATAATAAATGTTTATTTATTTTTCTCCCAGGTCATTCTGCCTTTTTTTTACTTTTTGATTTTTCTTTATTTTTCTTCTTAATTTGTTTTACCTTTTATAACATTTTTTGACTGTTTGGTTTTACTTTTTTGTACAAGAACTACATGGTTCTTTTTTGACTTTTATTTTAATTTTATACTTTTAAAAAAATTATAAATGTTTTATTTCCAAAAGGAAATTTTGTACTATTTAAAATAGTCCATTTTTAGAATTGAAACCTAGTTTTTGTAGTATTTAATCTACAAATATTTTTCCTTTTTAATTTGATTTACTTTAACTTTTTCACTTTTTTTCTTATTTTAGCTTTATTTAGACCTCTTTTGTTGTGTATTTAGACTTTTTAATCCTTTTTATTTGTTTATATTAATATTTTGGTACTTTCTCCCTTTTTTACTTTATTTAACTTTTTAGGCTTTTTTAAAATTTATTTAGTATTTTTTGGACTTCTTTTTTTATTTTTTTTTTATCGAAGTGTATATGTACAGAGGCGCCTCTGTAGATAAAGTTACGGTTATGTACAGAGGCAGATTAAGTAGTGTCTAGAGGCACCGAATTATCTTGGCTCCCTGGCTCCTAGAGATGCGCGTTTTATAGAAATGTACTCAAACTCAACAACACAACCCAACCGACCCCGCCCCATTGGGCCCCCCCCCCGCCCCATTGAGCAAAAAACCCAACTAAAATGGGATAATTTATGTAATTAAAAAGTGTTTTATTTTTATCGTAACATAAATTTGCCCATTTTAGTTGGGTTTTTTGCTCAATGGGGCGAGGGGGCCCAATGGGGCGGGGTCGGTTGGGTTGTGTTGTTGAGTTTGAGTACATTTCTATAAAACGCGCATGTCTAGGAGCCAGGGAGCCAAGATAATTCGGTGCCTCTAGACGCTAGCATTTCAAATATATGGTAGGTACCTAATGTTTGAAAATAAAATGAATTTAAACCATATAACACTATAGTATACTTAATACAAGTCAACGCGTCTCTGTATATTGATATTTTTTACAGGGACGCCTCTGTACATAACCGTAACTTTATCAACAGAGGCGCCTCTGTACATAACCGTAACTTTATCTACAGAGGCGCCTCTGTACATATACACTTCGTTTTTTTTATTTTACTCAAAAAAATTTTCATACCACATTTTAGATATTTTTTAATCATTTTAGTCATAGTGGATAATTGACAGTTTTTAACAGAGTTTTTTTAAAGTTAAAACAAATTTTATAACATTTTTAAGAATCTTAAATATTTTTTTCTACTCCCACTTTTAAAACGCCCTTTATCGTACATGTTTCCATGACACTAAGTGACCTTTTAAATACAAATTGACAAGTTGTGGCTTTATGGCGTTTTAGTCAGGGGCTGAAGTTAGCAACAGGTTTTTATTCACGGGCTGAAGTTAGGTTTAAGTTAGTTGACAGTTGTCAAATGTCATACAATCATTAAAATAAAGTGTTTTTCTTGTAAAATAATATTAAATGTGAAAATTATTTTATTATCTCAATACAAAAATAGTTTCTCAACGCCAATATTTGAAAAGTTTATATGAACATTGTACTGACCTTTTAATTTCGCCGGCAGTAAACTGTAACTTAAATTCGGGCACGGACTCTACTGTAAAGTCCTCATAATACATTTCCGTTTCTTTCACTGTGAAAAACTGTCAATTTTCAAGATACAATTCGATTTTTAACCTTTATAATTGTGTTTATAAAATGTAAAAATGTTACATTTGACAGTTTCCCCTGTTGTTTCATAGATGGCGTTCTATACAAATTTTTGATTTAAATCATTTTAAGATAATAATCAGTATTTGTCGTAGAAAAAGTATAGTATGCACCTCGTTTATAAACTTTTCTATACACTCATTAACTTAAGCACCCCCTCGCAAGCTCGCTCGTGCCTAAATTAAATTCGTGTATAAAATGGAGTTTATCAAACTTGATACATAATATACTATTAAACATTTTAGACAGTTTTGTAAAAACTTGGATATTTAAGACTATTTTAAATAGTTTTAATACGTTTAAAATTTAGAATTTTTTGGACTCTATTTCAGTACAAAAACTCCTTAATTAGACTTCTTTTTGACTTTTTAAACCTTCTTATTGCTTTTTTTCTTTATTTCGTTACTTTTTTCTCTTTTTTGACTTTATTTGGCTTCCTATTGACTTTGTTAGGCTTCTTTTTATTTTATTTACTTTATTGGAGTTCTTTTTATTTTAGTTTTGGACTTTTTGTACTGGTACTAATTATTATGGCTTTTATTTTTTTGTCTTTTTAGCTTTTTTGACCTTCTTTCTTATTTTTTTTACTTTACTTTTGTGCTTTTTTACTTCTTTTATTTTCATTTACTAATTTTTTTCCTTCTTTTTGACTTTTTTATCTTTTTGTTTGACTTTTTAATTTCTTTGTATATTTCTACTTTCTTTGACTTAAATTTTCTTTTTTACTTTTTTTGAAAAATATTTATTTAAACTTCTTTTTGACTTTTTAAACCTTATTGCTTTTTTGATATTTCATTACTTTTTCGTCTTTTTTTACTTCATTTGACTTTTTGTACTTGTACTAATTATTATGACTTTTATTTTTTTGTCTTCTTTTTAGCTTTTTTGACCTTCTTTCTAACTTTTTTAGACTTTATTTGAATTTTGAAACTTTTTTGTTTTCTTTTGATTTTTTGTTACTTTTTTACTTTACTTTTCGCCATTTCAAGCAGACGGATGGGACAAATTACAAACTTTTTTGGGACAAATTACAAACTTTTTTTTATAAAAAAAATTCTAGGGAATTTATTATTTATTATTTTTGCATTAAAATTGTCAAATATATTCTTCTTTTATTAGGCTATACTAGGGTGTCCCAAAAAAAAAAGAATATATTTTTTTTCTTGTCTCTTGTAAAAATATGTTAGTTTATCATGCTGTAAGAGCCCTTTCAAAATATCAGCTCGATTAAAAATTTTGTAGGGGTCGCTCAAGATTTTTAAAAATTTTCAAAATCGTCAAAAATTGAATTTTTGTTTTATTTTAATTCTTTTTCTCGTCTCGATATTATTTTTTAGGTTGAAAATAATAAAAATTCTGTAAATTTCAAATCAATTTTTTGATTTCTAAAGGTCGTTAAAAGTTTGTTGATATTTATATTCAGACGTCGCTCGAAAACAATCAAAATACTCTACTTTGAAAGTTAAAAAAATCTTGAGCGACCTTTAGAAATTAAAATATCGATTTGAAATTTTTAGAATCATTATTATTTTTAAATTAAAAAATAATATCGGAACGAGAAAAAAAAATAAAATTAAAAAAATCCAATTTTTGACGATTTTGGTAATTTTTAAAAATCTTGAGCGACCCCTAAAAATTTTTTAATGGTGCTGATCTTTTGACAGGGCTCTTAAAACATGACAAACCAACATATTTTTACAAGAGACGAGAAGAAAAAAAATATTCTTTTTTTTTTGGACACCCTAGGCTATACATTAAATAAAAAAATCGCAAGAAATATTTTATGAAAGTAAAGATAATTTCAAACTTTGACAGGTGTGGACGGGACAAGATAAATCTTTTTTTGTCCCGTCCACACCTTTCAATTATTAAAATTATGAGTATGAGTATGAGTATGGGAACGTATGGCAAGCCCCAGATATATTGTCATCCACTGATCTCCCGGGGTTATATTACCCCCTTTCCGTTCTCCTGCGTATCCCGCCAAATCACAGCATTACCTGTGTTTGTTGGATCCGAAGTTTTTACGCCGGCTGGTAGATCCACCCTAGGAGTTCGTGGATGACAGTGTCAAAGGTTAAGGCAGCTCCCGGGATTTTTGTCAGCCGGGTCGGGCCATACGTCCAGTTTAGGAAGGGTTTTTGGAGGACATTGAACTGACCCAAAACTAAGTACAATCCGGAATCCTCCTCAACCTAGGCCTTAGTAGTATCCCCATTCAATTGGTATTCATGAATGGGGGTGGGTATGTTAGTTTTTTGCTTACTCCGGCTACCAACCTTGTATATTCTTTATTTATTTTATTGCTATATTAGTGTTCATACCGTTTTCATTTATTTATATCTTTGCCATCTTACTTATTTAATCAATTAATCAATATTAACGTTAATATCAGTATCAACCAACTAATCAATCAATATTAATACTAATATCAATATCTATAATGCCAATATCAACATCAACATTAATACCAACAATATTACCATCAATACCAATACCAATACGATTATATCAATATCAATCAATCAATTAATATATTAATTAATTAATTAATCACTTTATGTAAATACCAATCTTCAAAATAGAGCCGGTCCTGTAGTGTATATAGTGGATTGCGGCCTTATGGCCTGCTTGGCTCTTGAGTTCTGTGTATTAGTTTGGCTTTGATTTATGGGTGTGACCCTAAATTTATTTATGATAAATTTTTGTCTTCATGCTTGAATTGGTTTATTTACTTACGCCTTTTACACTGGTTGTTTACGTTTGTCTACTATGAGAAAATTAGGTTGTTTATTTAACAGTTACGGAAATGTTCTTATTATTTTTTAAAATTTAATTTTTAAGACGAATAGAATTCTTAGATTTTTTTGCAACATTGTGAAATGCTTATATAAACATTTAACGATTATACGGTAAGACATGCAATTAGAAGAATTACTTAGCTTGATTATTAGGCTATAAACCTGATGCTTTGTCTTTCGCGGGGTGGCCTTCTCCTGCAGGTTTTTGCATAGAAAAAGGATATTTTTGGAACGCTCCGATCCAGGTGCGCCGGTTGACTTATCGTTGCTGCCTAGCCTCAATTAGGTACTTATTCCCTTGCACACTTTTACGGCGTTATCTCACAATTTTCGCACTTCTTGCACTTGTTTGTTTATTTATGTATTTATTTATTATTTATTAACGATTACCGATATTTCCGGATACTTTGTTTCGTTTTTGGTACTTTACGTTTGTATCGTATACGCCACTTAGGAGGGATCTTGACGCATCCGACCTCTTCGAGTGTCAAGACGGTACTGTATAAAATATTTATTGCGTTTTTTTTATTTAATGTATAACCTAATAAAAGAAAAATATACTTGACAATTTTGATGCCAAAATATTATATAATAAATATTCTACAATTTTTCTTATAAAAACAGTTTTTTACTTCTTTTATTTTCATTTACTAATTTTTTTCCCTTCTTTTTAACTTTTTTATTTTATTTATAATTTTCTTTTTTTACTACTTTTTAATTTCTTTGTATATTTTTACTTTCTTTTACCTCTTTAATTTTCTTTTTTACTTTTTTAAAAAAATACTTATTTAGATTTCTTTTTGACTTTTTAAACCTTATTGCTTTTTTGATATTTCGTTACTTTTTCGTCTTTTTTTTACTTTATTTGACTTCCTAATGACTTTATTATGCTTCGTTTTATTTTATTTCCTTTATTAGAGTTCTTTTTATTTTACTTTTGGATTTTTTTTAACTTTATTTGACTTTTTGTACTTGTACTAATTATTATGGCTTTTATTTTTTTGTTTTCTTTTTAGCTTTTTTTACCTTCTTTGGTACTTTTTTAGACTTTATTTGAATTTTGACTTCTTTAATTTTCTTTTTTACTTTTTTTAAATTCTAACACATAATAATTTTTCCATGACAGATACATGACGGACGGTATGTTGCTGAGAGAGGGTATGAGCGACCCGATGCTGGAAAACTACCAGTGCATACTGCTGGACGAGGCGCACGAGCGCACCTTGGCCACCGACATCCTCATGGGCGTCCTGAAGGAGGTCATCAAGCAGAGATCCGACTTGAAGTTGGTCATCATGTCGGCCACGCTGGACGCCGGCAAGTTCCAGCAGTACTTCGACAACGCGCCGCTGATGACGGTGCCGGGCAGGACGCACCCCGTCGAGATCTTCTACACGCCGGAGCCGGAGCGGGACTACCTGGAGGCGGCGATCAGGACCGTCATACAGATACACATGTGCGAGGAGATTGCGGGCGACGTGCTGCTGTTTTTGACCGGACAGGAGGAAATTGAGGTAGGGAAAACATGTTTTTCATACATTGAGATACTTCCAGCTTAATTTTACATTTTATATATTTGTTGACAACTAAATTGTGTTTGATTTTACTTTTTTCACATGCAAGCGAATGAAACTTAAAATGAACTTTTATGACTCTTTTAAATGGTTTCCAAACAATTGTAAAAGTTTTAGATAGTTTTGGACAACAATCTCCCGTCAGACTAAAACTGAGTAAATTGAGATAATTGATTTTGGGATTTAAAATTCTAGATTTCAGGGCTCCCACACCTCCTAAAATTCATAAAATTCCTAAAATTTGGCTTAAATCTTAAAATCTCCTAAAACTCCTAAAAATTATTTATAAGTAGGCCAACTTGACTGCGTTTAATTAAGGTAGTTGTGCTAAAATATTTCTTTTTTAAAAAATATATATCTTTGGGTACTAGTTTATTAAATTTTTTTTTAAATGATATATATATCACAACCTACATTTTTCTCAAAAAACAACAAAATATACCATAAAACAAAATCCTTGTAGTAGCTTCTAGACTTCTACAAAATTGCCATTTTTAGCCATATTTCGTTAATTATCGACAAAAATATACCGTGTTATATATCAAACAAAATGATTTTTAATTTTCTTTTAAATGATAGCTAAAGTACTAAAAAATCTAAAGAATGTTTTGCTGCATCATGCACTTTATATTTTTTCTATTATGAGATTTTTTAGTAACAATAACATTACAATTATTGTTAGTTATTAACTAAACTGTTAATTTTTTTTCAAAATATAAATATAACATCATTAAACTTTGGCCTACTTTTTTAGCCATATCTATCGACGCTTTTTTTTAATAAAATTAAAATTGTGGTGAAATTTCTACTTGTAGATATATACAAAAGTAGTAATTTTACCTCACTTTTCATTTTATTAAAAAAAAAACTCGTCGAGCGATTTGGCTAAAAAACTGGTCAATATAACATATTTGTACAAAAGAAGTAATATTTATTTATATTTTTGTTAAAAAGCATTACTTATTTTTTTTCTTATTTTTTAAGTATAGTGTAAAGTTGTTTTATTTAATTAAATAAATTCATTTGCATAAAAAATTTTCTCCTAAAATTCTCCAAAAAACCTCATAAATTCCTAAATAAAATTTGTAATTTAACCGTGGGAGCCCTGAGATTTGTAATTTTTTTATTATATTGAAATATTGTTGTTAGTTTAGTAGCAAACTACAAGGTCACCAGGATGCATAGTGTAGGTGAAATTATAAATTATAAATTGGAGATTTCTGACTTAGATACGAATTGCTGGAGATTGCTCATTTTGTTGTAAACGTTTAAGGAGATTTAGAAAAATAAACAAAAAAATAATTGTATTTTTTTCCTTCAATGGTTATAAAATTTAACTATACAATCAATTTGGAAAAATTCTGAACTGGACCACATAAATCTGGAGTTTCTTCTAAATCTGGGACCAAGATGCCTCATGCAAAAAAGTTTTTATAGTACAACAACTCATCATCTTCTTCCCACTTTGCCCCGGCCTTTTCTTGCTTTATCTTTACGTCTTATTATGGTATAATAGCACAAAATAAACAAGATAATTTTTTTTTATAATTCTTAAAACAATAAAACGTATATATACCTATTTTAAATATATTTACTGCAATAGAACTTTACAGTATGTACCAGTAAAAAAACACAAAATTAAATTTCTAAAATACGTTAGGATATCAGGTGACACAAATTACTAATTTCTAATTGTGGAATCGGAGATTGCTGCAAATCTATCAGTGGAGATTGTCGACTTTGCACTAAATGTCATTTTTAAAATAGGATTTTAGGCAGGAATTGTTCCTTTTGCAGCACATAAACTTTATCATCTTATAGATAATTAGTTGAAGTACAGTCTCCGCCAAAAATCTAATTTTTGACCAAAAGTGGAGATTATCGGTTTTGCTATGACAGGCCTCAAATAGTTTCAAGGCTTTTTGGATGGTTAAAGTGTACAGTTGTACAGTTATAAAACATTTTACAGAGTGTTCCAAACTTTTGACATTTTTAGGACTGGTTTAGGTTTTAGGTCTCTTAAATGTTTTATAAACAATTTAGACAATTTTTTGAATGTTTTAGATGATTTTGGTCATTTTTAAAGTGTACAGAGTTATAAAACATTTTACAGAGTTTTGGAAAAGTTTTGACATTTTTAAGACTAGTTTAGGTTTTAGGATCATCTTAAATGGTTTATAAACAATTTAGACAATTTTTAGAACGTTTTGGATAATTTTAGACGGTTATAATGTATATTTAGTTAGTTTAGACACAATTTTAGGACATTTTAGAGAGTTTTTAGACATTTTAAAGGCTTAGGTTTTAGGAGTCTTAATGGTTTTTAAACAATTTAGACAATTTGTAGAACGTTTTAGATCATTTTTGACATTTTAAACTTTTTTAAATAGTTTTAAGGCTTTTAAGGCGGTTACAATGTATATTTAGACAGTTTTTACTAAGTTGTTACAGTTTTGAAAAAGTTTTGACTGTTTTAGGTTTTAGGACCCTCTTAAATGGTTTTCAAACAATTTAGACAACTTTTAAAACGCTTTAGATCATTTTGGACATTTTTAAGACTCTTTTAAATTTTAAAGGCTTCTTAGATATACCTACATTTTAGAGAGTTTTGGAAAGTTTTTTAAAGGCTTTTAGGTTTTAGGAGCCTTTTAATTGGTTTTCAAACAATTTAGTCAATTTTTAGAACTTTTTAAATTATTTTAGACAATTTAAAGAGTTTTAAACAGTTTCAGTTATTTTAAGACGGTTAAATTGTATATTTAGACAGTTGTACTGAGTTAGAACATTTTACGGTTTTTTTAAGTTTTGACATTTTTAGTACTGTTTTAAGTTTTAGGACTCTTTTAAATGGTTTTTAAACAATTTAGACAATTTTTAGAATGTTTTAGATCATTTTGGACATTTTAAAGGCTCTTTTAGGAGTCTTTTTAATCGTTTTCAAACAATTTAGACAACTTTTAGAGCATTTAAAATTATTTTGGACATTTTAAAGAGTTTTAACTAGTTTTAAGGCTTTTAAGACGGTTAAAGTGTATATTTAGACAGTTTGTACTAGTTATAGAACTATTTACAGAGTTTTGGAAAAGTTTTGACATTTTTAAGACTGGTTTAGGTTTTAAGACTTTTTCAAATGGTGTTTAACAATTTAGAAAATTTTTAGTGTTATAGATAATTTTGAAAATCTTTAAATCTTTCATAATATTTCATATTATGCTATCAGGCTTTTTAGATGGTTAAATGTATATTTAGAAACAGTTATAACTACGTTTTAGAAAGGTTTAGACATTTTTAGGACTTTTTAATGGTTTTTGATATTTTAAGACTTTACATAGTGTCTAGACTTTTTGGATGGCTATAGTGTATATTTAGACAGTTTGTACAGAGTTATAGAACATTTTACAGAATTTTGGAAAAGTTTAGACATTTTTAAGATTGGTTTAGGTTTTAAGATTCTTAAATTTAGACGATTTTTAGAACGTTTTAGATAAGTTTAGACATTTTAAAGACTCTTTTGGGTTTTGGGACTTAAATGGTTTTCAAAGAAGTTAGACAATATTTAGATCGTTTTAGATGGTTTTGGACATTCTTAAAACTTTTAAATAATTTCAAGGCTTCTTAGATTGTTAAAGGGTATATTTAGAGAGTTTGTTACAGAGTTATAGAACAGAGTTTTGGAAAAGTTTAGAAATTTGTAAGACTGGTTTAGGTTTTAGTTTTCAAACAATTTAGACGAATTTTATATTGCATATTTAGTTAGTTTATACCCATTTATAGGACATTTTAGAGAGTTTAGGAAAGGTTTGGATATTTTTAAGACTTTTAAATAGTTTCAGGGCTTTTTAGACTGTTAGTGTATGTTTACACAATTTTTACAGACTAATAGAATATTGGAGTTTTGAAAAAGTTTTGACATTTTTAAGACTAGTTTAAATAGTTTTTAGACCTACAAGGTTCTAAGTAGGGTTGGGAAAATTTCACTTTTTGCTTGTATTTGAAATTTTACTTGAAATTTTCACATTTATGAAATTTATTAAAATTTCATAAATGTCTGAAATTTCATGAAATTTATTGAAACTTTCAATAAATTTCAATCACTTTAAGTGTAATAGGTATATTAATATTGAAATAAGCCCACTCGGTGACCATGGCAAATTGCCTCTCTTACCTCCTACCCCTGCACCAATAATATAAATAGTAAATACCTATGTTTATCGCAAATTTCTTGAGATTTTCTTTTAAAATATTTTTAAAATTACTAAAACTAAGAGAGATATAGCACTTTTTGGTAACCTAATGAGATTGTGCCACTTTCATTGTTTTATATTTATTATTTTTATATATTTTACTGAAATTTTACAAAAATTGAAGAAACTTCATCAAAATTTTATGAGCCAAAGGCATTTTTCAACCGTTTTCTGATGCAATTTTAGCAAAAGTAAAAAATTAAATTAATCATGATTTAAAAAAAAAAATTTAAAGTCTGATTTAATTTACAAATTAAATTGGTAACTGAATTAAATTATTTAAATTAATTTATGCATATAAGTAACAATAATTACTTATAGTGTATTCAAATCCAAGCCGAACTAAACAAAAACGCCCAGACGCTTGATAACTCGTTCTTATTGGTCGATTCGGAATCTGTTGTAAATTATTATTAAAGGTTCCAGGGGAGGCCGCATGTGAAATTTATGCGAAATTTTCAGTAAATTGCGAAACTTTCAATGAATTTTCTGAAAGTTTCACAGGCAATGTTGAAATTTTCGAATTGAAAATTTCATTTGAAATTTTTAAAAATTTTACTTTTCCAACTAAATGAAATATTTCAAAGTTGAAATTTTCATTTGAAAATTTCAACTGTCCCAACCCTAGTTCTAAGACTTTTAATTAGTTTTCAAACAATTTTTAAAACGTTTTAGTCGTTTTAAGACTCTTAAATAGTTTTAAGGCTTTTTAGACAATATTAATGTATATTAAGACAGTTTGGACATAGTTTTATGATATTTTAGAGATTTGGAAAAGTTTATACATTTTCAAAACTCTTTTAAATAGTTTTGATGACATTTTAAAAAGTTCCGTAGATTCCAGAACGTCTTAGATAGTTTAGGACATTTGTAAGGTTTTTTTAAACGGGCAACATTTTAACTTTGATAACCAGGTGGCGTGCAAGCGGATAAAGCGCGAAATAGACAACCTGGGTCCGGAAGTGGGCGAACTGAAGTGCATCCCGCTCTACTCGACCCTCCCGCCCAACTTGCAGCAGAGGATCTTCGAGGAGGCGCCGCCGAACAAGGCGAACGGCGCGATCGGCCGCAAGGTGGTCGTCTCGACGAACATCGCCGAAACGTCGCTGACGATCGACGGCGTCGTGTTCGTCATAGATCCCGGATTCGCCAAGCAGAAGGTCTACAATCCGCGGATTCGCGTCGAGTCGCTTCTGGTTTCGCCCATCAGCAAAGCGTCTGCGCAGCAAAGAGCGGGTAAGTGATACACTTTAAGCACCCGGTATAGACGTATAGGGGAAGGTGGGGGAATTCTTTGCATCTAAGCAAAATCTTTAGTATCTTTGTTAAGTTTAAATGTGAAATTTTGCAATTAATACCAGCGATAGTCTACTATGTTTATAAAAGAAAAATGTTTGGTATGCAAAAACTACATTTTTTTAAATAATGCATTTGCGCAAAATTACCCACCTATCAGGGTAATTTTGCGCATCATAGGCGGAAAATTTGCGCTGTATAGAGAAAGATTTGTAGGTATCTAAATAAACCGTTTATTTCTATAATATTATTATAATAAAACATAAAAATAAAACAAAACTATTTTCTCTATGAAACAAACAAAACAACCAAAATAAAAAATAAATAACTAAAAATAAAATTTTTCTTCTTAGAAATAAGAGGGTCTACATGCAGCATTTGTCACATATGTAGTTTTAGGGTTTTTTTTACGCTACACTCCGCGTGTGCCCAAATGGAACTGTTTATGCTGAACAATCTAGGCTCCTGTATACCAAAGCTCCCATATTGGCCAAATTTTGCAGCGCAAAATTACCCCAATTTTTCAGCGTAAAATTACCCGCATTGCAAGAAAAATATTGTGATACTAAAAAACTTTCCAAAAGTTAACCTGAACAATTTAAACATACACCAGATTACGAGGAAAGATCATATAAAGTTGTGTTATAAACATTTAAGCGATTGGACAGAAATTTAAACTTAACTCGTACCGGAAACGACATGGATTTCTTAGATCAAAGTACATGTATCACAGTTAGCTAGTGACCATGGTCACTAGCTAAAAGCTACAAGCTTAATTGCGGTACACTTTAGTCCCCGTATACCCAAAGCAACGTTTCCAAGTTTGCAACATTCAAAAAATGTATTATTTACTTCATATCTGGAAGAATTGTTTATGCGTAAAATTACCCACCGCGCAAAATTCCCTCACCTTCGTATAAATAATCATCATCTAACGTATATAGATATTTTTGGACATTTTAAAAAATAGTTTTAAGACATTTTAGAAGGTTAAAAATATGTATGGTGTTTTTCTATTGAAACGTTGAAATAAACACCAAAAAGACGAAAGTACAAACATTTATTTCACATCTTTTATAAGGTTTTAGGTAGTTTTAATACATTTAATAGTTTTAATACATTTAAGAAGGTTATAAGACTCTTTTAAATAAACTGCGCACCACTCAATGTGTCGCGACCAAAAAGTACGTCCTTTTTTAAAACGACATAACTTTTTTGTTTCCTGAACGATTTTATTTTGGTCTGTGATGTCTGCTAGCCCCATATTCTGGCAATTCATGCTATAGATATTAATCTCACGTTTCTTCAAGTAAATTTTCTACAGGGTGATATGTTAAACGGTGAAAAATTTTAATAACTTCATCCAAGCCCCGTTTGAAAAAAAAATATTTTTTCTCGTTTTTACTTTGAAATAATGAAGTATTATGTCTTACCTTGAAACGGTTTTCAAATTTTTCGAATTGGAATCTTTGCAACGAAAATATGATTTTTTTTTAAAGAGTAGATTTAAGGCTTTCTTGTAGACAATACACTCAGTCTTTTTAAGAACAAGAAGATAAGATGGTGAAAGATTGTTCCTTAAATAATTCTGAACAAGCGACAAGCAACAAACTTCCATTAATTTCAGAGAAACCTAAGCAAAGACCACTTTTTCAAAATGACATTTTGGAGAAAATTTGCAAATTCGTGACATGTTAGCTTTATAATTTTGACCTCCTGATGTGATTCAGTTGTCAAATTTAAGTTTAATATAAAACCAAAATCAGCAAGAATCAAAATTCGAAATCAATTCCCGGCTGTTAAATGTCTCAATAACATGCCTTTGCCAATGCCATTTGGGGATTCATTTTTTGGGAGAAATTACTGCAATTTGTTTAAGTGGTTAGGATAATGTTACATAAATCACATTTATATTGCCCACTAGTGATAACTTATTACTGATAAGTACCTCAGGGCTCCCAGCAGGTAGTTTTTTTAAAGACTTGTCTATATTTTTGTCGTAAGTCTATAAAAGTCTATTTTTTTACCTAAAATCTATATTTTCTGTTAAAATCAACTATTAAAGAAACATAATTTTTTAAATATACATATTCACAGTTTTATAAATATCGTTTCCAACAGTAAACCAAGTGAAACATTCGAAAACTTTGCAGTTTACATTTAAAGTTCCCGCCGTCCAGACCCGACCCGCCCGCCAGAATTATTGCTGAATTGTTTCTGGTTGGCTAGGCTGAATTGTTTCGGTTCGCTAGGTCCCCCCTAAAGCAATTTTTTATATAAATGTGATTCTATTTATTATAAGTTATAATTTATTACAGAATTTAATATTTTTTTGTTATTTATGTATTTTATAACAGATATGGTTACTTGTTAAATTTAATTCAATAAAAATTTATAATTTCAAGTTATCTCTATGTATTTTAAATTTAAATTTAGATCTTTTATCCCAAAAAAAATGTAAACCTCCATTTTATAGTTATTTCGGTAATTAATTTGGTCTATATTTAGTCGTTTATTTTTTATTATTAGTCTATCACTATTTCTCGCAACATGGACTGCTGGGAGCCCTGAAGTACCTACCTAATTGGTAATAAAGTTAAAAAGAAAATTTGTTTGTTCATTTTTGAAAATTTTATGCGAAGATATAATCATAATAAAAACTACAACATTGAACAGAAAAATTAACAAACAATAATAATAACTTTCAATATTTCGTTGGCCCTCCCCTAACCTGTAATAATTCGTTAACCCTCCTGGGCATTCCCTAGACCAAGTTCCTTAGAAATTCCTGGGGTATGGCTTCCCATTCTTCCAGCTCCACACATGCTCAATAGGATTCATATCCGGAGACAAAGGTGGCCAATTCATTCTCTCAATATCATGGTCCCTTAAAAATACTTATTTATGATATTAGCGCGATGCGGAAGGGCATTATTGGCATTTAATTTTCATCATTTGATCCTTGATTTGATCATGTACTAAAGATGCAAAACACAGTAAAAAAACAGTAAAATCCAGCAATCATATTTTACTGAGACATTTAACAGCCAGGAATTGTTTTCGAATTTTGATTCTTGGTGATTTTGGTTTTATCTGAAACCTAAATTTGACAACTGAATCATAATTAGGTCAAAATTATGAAGAAAACATGTCACGAACGTAAATATCGGTTCAGGTTTAGTTTTCGAAAATTTTCACCAAAATGTAATTTTGAACAAGTGTTCTTTGCTTAGGTTCCTCTGAAAATAATGAAATTGTTTTCTACTCCAACCTTTAAAACGCCCTTTATCGTACATGTTTCCATGACACTAAGTGACCTTTTAAATACACATTGACTAGTTGTGGCTTTATGGCGCTTTAGTCACGGGCTGAAGTTAGTTTTAAGTTAGTTGACAGTTGTCAAATGTCATACAATCGTTAAAATAAATTGCCTTTCTTGTAAAATAATACTAAATGTGAAAATTATTTTATTATCTCAATACAAAAATACAAAAGTATTGAATAGTTTCTCAACGCCAATAATTGAAAAGTTTAAATAAACATTGTACTGACCTTTTAATTTCGCCGGCAGTAAACTATAAATTAAATTCGGGCACGGACTGCACTGTAAAGTGGTCATAAAACATTTTCTTTACTTTCACTGTAAAAAACTGTTAATTTTCAAGAAATAAATTTCGATTTATAACCTTTATAATCTGTGTTTATAAAATGTAAAAATTTTACATTTGACGGTGACACACAGATTCCCCTATTGTTTCATAGATGGCGCTCTATAAAATTTTTGATTTAAATCATTTTAAGATAATAATAAGTATTTGTCGTAGAAAAAGTATAGTATGCATCTCGTTTATAAACTTTTCTATACACTCAATTCGTGTATAAAATGGCGTTTTTCAAACTTGATACATAATATACTATTAGTACGTTTTAAAATAGATTTAGATATAGATAGAAATACATAAATTTTAAAATATCAAAAACACACCATAATGTTTTAAAAATCATATTTTAGAATGTATAATAGGGTGATTCATTTCCGCAAAGTTTTTGTTTTCTTCGGTGCTCAAGCAAAATATTAATCTGCATATAGAAAAAAAAAATTCTCAACAAGTTTGAGCTCTTAATATCAATTTTAAGTACTTGCAGTTTAAATTTAAAGTTTTCCCATTTAAAAAGCATGTAAAAAAATGTTTTTTTTTTCAAATTTCTAATGCTTACCCACCTTTGACAATATTGCAAATCGGTTTAATACACCTTATGGGGAATTTCACGCTCTTTAAAATTGCTTTTGAGTTTTTTTTTGTAACTCGCATTGGTTCACCAGTAGGAGTCGTCAAAGGACAGTTTTTGAAAAAAATCGTTTTTTTTTTTTAATTTTTTCTAACAAACCGCAAAAAGTAGGGAGAAAAGTTTTTGTTTTCTTCGGTGCTCAAGCAAAATATTAATCTGCATATAGAAAAAAAAATTCTCAACAAGTTTGAGCTCTTAATATCAATTTTAAGTACTTGCAGTTTAAATTTAAAGTTTTCCCATTTAAAATGCATGTAATAAAAATGTTTTTTTTTTCAAATTTCTAATGCTTACCCACCTTTGACAATATTGCAAATCGGTTTAATACACCTTATGGGGAATTTCACGCTCTTTAAAATTGCTTTTGAGTTTTTTTTTTGTAACTCGCATTGGTTCACCAGTAGGAGTCGTCAAAGGACAGTTTTTGAAAAAAATCGTTTTTTTTTTAAATTTTTTCTAACAAACCGCAAAAAGTAGGGAGAAAAGTTTTTGTTTTCTTCGGTGCTCAAGCAAAATATTAATCTGCATATAGAAAAAAAAATTCTCAACAAGTTTGAGCTCTTAATATAAATTTTAAGTACTTACTATTTAAATTTAAAGTTTTACCGTTTAAAAGGCATGTAAAAAATATATTTTTTTTTTCAAATTTCTAATGCTTACCCACCTTTGACAATATTGCAAATCGGTTTAATACACCTTATGGGGAATTTCACGCTCATTAAAATTGCTTTTGAGTTTTTTTTTGTAACTCGCATTGGTCCACCAGTAGGAGTCGTCAAAGGACAGTTTTTGAAAAAAATCGTTTTTTTTTTTAATTTTTTTTAACAAACCGCAAAAAGTAGGGAGAAAAAAGGGCTGAATCATAAAAAAAAGTTATCCAACCAATATTTAATGAATTTACAGCCATTTTTATAACTGAAAACGTAAGAAATTGATAATTACCAACTCATAATGTTATTTAGATTGATTTTTTCTATTTATTATCATTATATTTCCCCACACTAAGAAGTTTTTTAAAATTATTAATTTCTCACTTATAATGAATATGAAAACAACAGATAAATTCATAAAAAAATAGCAAAAAAGTATAAATGAAGATTATTTAATTTTTTGAAGCGAAATTTGAAATATGTTACATAACCTTCTGTATATTCCGATTAAAGTTTTGTTGTTTTTTTATGAATTTATGTGTTGTTTTCATATTCATTATGAGTGAGAAATCATAATAATTTTAAAAAAGTTCTTAGTGTAGCTAAATATAATGATAATAAATAGAAAAAATCAATCTAAATAACATTATGGGTTGGTATTTATCAATTTCTTACGTTTTCAGTTATAAAAATGGCAGTAAATTCATTAAATATTGGTTGGATAACTTTTTTTTTATGAATCAGCCCTTTTTTCTCACTACTTTTGGCAATTTGCTCGAAAAAATAAAAAAAAAAAACGATTTTTTTCAAAAACTGTCCTTTGACGACTCCTACTGGTGAACCAATGCGAGTTACAAAAAAAAACTCAAAAGCAATTTTAAAGAGCGTGAAATTCCCCATAAGGTGTATTAAACCGATTTGCAATATTGTCAAAGGTGGGTAAGCATTAGAAATTTGAAAAAAAAAACATTTTTTTTTACATGCATTTTAAATGGGAAAACTTTAAATTTAAACTGCAAGTACTTAAAATTGATATTAAGAGCTCTACCTTGGTGAAAATTTTTTTTTCTATAGGTAGATTAATATTTTGCCTGAGCACCGAAAAAAAACAAAAACTTTGCGGAAATGAATCACCCTAATGTATAAACATAATTAAAAAGGTTAAAATAAAAAAATTAACCGAAACCGGTGGTGATTGCAGGTCGCGCCGGTCGCACGAAGCCGGGCAAGTGTTTCCGCCTGTACACGGAGAAGGCGTTCAAGAACGAGATGCAGGACAACACGTACCCGGAGATCCTGCGCTCGAACCTCGGCTCGGTGGTGCTGCAGCTGAAGAAGCTCGGCATCGACGACCTCGTGCACTTCGACTTCATGGACCCGCCCGCGCCCGAGACGCTGATGCGCGCGCTCGAGCTGCTCAACTACCTGGCGGCGCTCGACGACGACGGCAACCTCACCGACCTCGGCGCCGTCATGGCCGAGTTCCCGCTCGACCCGCAGCTGGCCAAGATGCTGATCGCCAGCTGCAACCACAACTGCTCCAACGAGATACTGTCCGTCACCGCGATGCTATCAGGTATTTAGAACGGGGTTTCGGGTTTATCTGCAGGGGCAGGGTTGCCAACCCGCAGGGTTTAATCTGAAGAAGCTTTTTTTTCGACCGTTTTTTGACTTTTTCTTTACTTTCTCTCAAATTATTTTATTTATTACATTTATTATGTTTTTTATCTTTTAGACCTATTTAGATATTTTTTCGACTTTTTTTACTACTTTTTTGACATGTTTGTCTTTTTTCTGAATAACATTTTTTCGACTTTTCTGACATTGCTCTTTTGACTATTTTAAGTTTTTTTTGTGAGTCTTTTTTACGTTTTTAAGTTTCTTCCTTTTTTTAATTTTTTTTGACTTTTTTGACTTTTAACACTTTATTTACATTTATGTCTTTTTTGCTTTTTTGTGACTTGACTTTTTACGTTTTTTACTTATTTTTACCTTCTTTGGATTTTCTTGACTTCTTTTTATTACATTTATGACGTTTTTTATGTTTTACACCTATTTAGATATTTTTTCGACTTTTTTACTACTTTTTTGACTTTTTTAAGCTTTCGAATTTTTACCTATTTGACTTCTTTTTACCCTTTTTTGACTAACATGTTTGTCTTTTTTCTGAATAACATTTTTTCGACTTTTCTGACATTGCTCTTTTGACTATTTTAAGTTTTTTTTTGTGAGTCTTTTTTACGTTTTTAAGTTTCTTCCTTTTTTTTTTTTAATTTTTTTGATTTTTTTGGCTTTTAACACCTTATTTACATTTATGTCTTTTTTGCTTTTTTGTGACTTGACTTTTTACGTTTTTGACTTCTTTTTACCTTCTTTGGATTTTCTTGACTTCTTTTTATTACATTTATGACGTTTTTTATGTTTTACACCTATTTAGATATTTTTTCGACTTTTTTACTACTTTTTTGACTTTTTTAAGCTTTGGAATTTTTACCTATTTGACTTCTTTTTACCCTTTTTTGACTTTCTAACATGTTTGTCTTTTTTCTGAATAACATTTTTTCGACTTTTCTGACATTGCTCTTTTGACTATTTTAAGTTTTCTTTGCGAGTCTTTTTTACGTTTTTAAGTTTCTTCCTTTTTTTTAATTTTTTTGACTTCTTTGACTTTTAACACTTTATTTACATTTATGTCTTTTTTGCTTTTTTGTGACTTGACTTCTTACGTTTTTGACCTTCTTTTTACCTTCTTTGGATTTTCTTGACTTCTTTTTATTACATTTATGACGTTTTTTATGTTTTACACCTATTTAGATATTTTTTTCGACTTTTTTTACTACTTTTTTTACTTTTTTAAGCTTTCGAATTTTTACCTATTTGACTTCTTTTTACCCTTTTTTGACTTTCTAACATGTTTGTCTTTTTTCTGAATAACATTTTTTCGACTTTTCTGACATTGCTCTTTTGACTATTTTAAGTTTTTTTTGTGAGTCTTTTTTACGTTTTTAAGTTTCTTTCTTTTTTTTTAATTTTTTTGACTTTTTTGACTTTTAACACTTTATTTACATTTATGTCTTTTTTGCTTTTTTGTGACTTGACTTCTTACGTTTTTGACCTTCTTTTTACCTTCTTTGGATTTTCTTGACTTCTTTTTATTACATTTATGACGTTTTTTATGTTTTACACCTATTTAGATATTTTTTCGACTTTTTTACTACTTTTTTGACTTTTTTAAGCTTTCGAATTTTTACTTATTTGACTTCTTTTTACCCTTTTTTGACTAACATGTTTGTCTTTTTTCTGAATAACATTTTTTCGACTTTTCTGACATTACTCTTTTGACTATTTTAAGTTTTCTTTGCGAGTCTTTTTTACGTTTTTAAGTTTCTTCCTTTTTTTAAATTTTTTTGACTGTTTTGACTTTTCGTCACCTGAGTATTGGTTTGTGCTATCTCCATTTTTTACCATTTTGAGATTTATGCATTTTCGGAAAGTTGAAGTTGGTTTGTTCCATCTCCATAATAGTATTTTGATATAATTTTGTCAGTTTTTATTTTAGGTTAGTCTAAATCCGAGTTTTGTATAAAAGGTTTAAAATTGGTTTACTCTATCTCCAATATTTCGCTTACAGGCTTTCTTTTGCTCTATGTGTTTGTACAAATCTGAAAATAATTAGTATTTGTTTGTGCTATATCCATATGGAAAAAATATTTTATTACTGTTTTGTGCTATCTCCAAGTAAAGCTTCCTTATAAGTATAAAATTGTTTTGTTCTATGTCCTAAAACTTTGTTATATGTCCAACATTTTGTTTCTAAATCCAAAAATAGCACTTTTTGTTTTATCTCCAAAACGTTTTTTCCAATATTGAGGCATAAATCCAAATTTGAGATAAGAGTTGCTCAATAGAACTAATTAAAGGCTAACCAAGAATATTGTTATTAATGTTTAATTCAGTTTTCATTAAAAAACAAATAAGATATTTAATGTAAAAGTTTTTAAACCCGTTTATCTCGATTATAACATATTGGACATAGAACAAATCAATACTCAGGTGACGTTTTAACACTTTATTTACATTTATGTCTTTTTTGCTTTTTTGTGACTTGACTTTTTACGTTTTTGACCTATTTAGATATTTTTTCGACTTATTTTACTACTTTTTTTACTTTTTTAAGCTTTCGAATTTTTACCTATTTGACTTCTTTTTACCCTTTTTTGACTTTCTAACATGTTTGTCTTTTTTCTGAATAACATTTTTTCGACTTTTCTGACATTGCTCTTTTGACTATTTTAAGTTGTCTTTGTGAGTCTTTTTTACGTTTTTAAGTTTCTTCCTTTTTTTTAAATTTTTTTGACTTCTTTGACTTTTAACACTTTTATTACATTTATGTCTTTTTTGCTTTTTTGTGACTTGACTTTTTACGTTTTTGACCTTCTTTTTACCTTCTTTGGATTTTCTTGACTTCTTTTTATTACATTTATGACGTTTTTTATGTCTTAGACCTATTTAGATATTTTTTCGACTTTTTTACTACTTTTTTGACTTTTTTAAGCTTTCGAATTTTTACTTATTTGACTTCTTTTTACCCTTTTTTGACTAACATGTTTGTCTTTTTTCTGAATAACATTTTTTCGACTTTTCTGACATTACTCTTTTGACTATTTTAAGTTTTCTTTGCGAGTCTTTTTTACGTTTTTAAGTTTCTTCCTTTTTTTAAATTTTTTTGACTGTTTTGACTTTTCGTCACCTGAGTATTGGTTTGTGCTATCTCCATTTTTTACCATTTTGAGATTTATGCATTTTCGGAAAGTTGAAGTTGGTTTGTTCCATCTCCATAATAGTATTTTGATATAATTTTGTCAGTTTTTTATTTTAGGTTAGTCTAAATCCGAGTTTTGTATAAAAGGTTTAAAATTGGTTTACTCTATCTCCAATATTTCGCTTACAGGCTTTCTTTTGCTCTATGTGTTTGTACAAATCTGAAAATAATTAGTATTTGTTTGTGCTATATCCATATGGAAAAAATATTTTATTACTGTTTTGTGCTATCTCCAAGTAAAGCTTCCTTATAAGTATAAAATTGTTTTGTTCTATGTCCTAAAACTTTGTTATATGTCCAACATTTTGTTTCTAAATCCAAAAATAGCACTTTTTGTTTTATCTCCAAAACGTTTTTTCCAATATTGAGGCATAAATCCAAATTTGAGATAAGAGTTGCTCAATAGAACTAATTAAAGGCTAACCAAGAATATTGTTATTAATGTTTAATTCAGTTTTCATTAAAAAACAAATAAGATATTTAATGTAAAAGTTTTAAACCCGTTTATCTCGATTATAACATATTGGACATAGAACAAATCAATACTCAGGTGACGTTTTAACACTTTATTTACATTTATGTCTTTTTTGCTTTTTTGTGACTTGACTTTTTACGTTTTTGACCTATTTAGATATTTTTTCGACTTATTTTACTACTTTTTTTACTTTTTTAAGCTTTCGAATTTTTACCTATTTGACTTCTTTTTACCCTTTTTTGACTTTCTAACATGTTTGTCTTTTTTCTGAATAACATTTTTTCGACTTTTCTGACATTGCTCTTTTGACTATTTTAAGTTGTCTTTGTGAGTCTTTTTTACGTTTTTAAGTTTCTTCCTTTTTTTTAAATTTTTTTGACTTCTTTGACTTTTAACACTTTTATTACATTTATGTCTTTTTTGCTTTTTTGTGACTTGACTTTTTACGTTTTTGACCTTCTTTTTACCTTCTTTGGATTTTCTTGACTTCTTTTTATTACATTTATGACGTTTTTTATGTCTTAGACCTATTTAGATATTTTTTCGACTTTTTTACTACTTTTTTGACTTTTTTAAGCTTTCGAATTTTTACTTATTTGACTTCTTTTTACCCTTTTTTGACTAACATGTTTGTCTTTTTTCTGAATAACATTTTTTCGACTTTTCTGACATTGCTCTTTTGACTATTTTAAGTTTTTTTTTGTGAGTCTTTTTTACGTTTTTAAGTTTCTTCCTTTTTTTTTTAATTTTTTTGACTTTTTTGGCTTTTAACACCTTATTTACATTTATGTCTTTTTTGCTTTTTTGTGACTTGACTTTTTACGTTTTTGACTTCTTTTTACCTTCTTTGGATTTTCTTGACTTCTCTTATTTTGTTCGACTTTTTTACTATTTTAAGTTTTCTTTGTGAGTTTTGTAACTTTTTACGTTTTTGACTTTTTTTATTTTACTTTTTTGACTTTTTTTTAAAAAACTTTTACATTTGTTTTTTCTTTTTTGTAATTTCAAATTTTTTTCGACTTTTATGACGTTTTTTTACTGTATTATACTTTGTTGACTTTTAATAATTTATGTCTTTTTTCCTTTTTTCTGACTTGAAATTGTTTTCAGCTTTTCTGACATTACTTTTTTAACATTTTCTTAACTTTCTTTTCGACTTTTTACGTTTTTTACTTTTACCTTATTTTTAAAAAATCGAATTTTCTGACAAAACGTTTTTGATTTTTTTTACCTTTTTAACTTTATGTCCGTTTTTTCTTGACTTTTTTTTTCATTTTTTATTAGTATTATTTTTATTTATTACCTATTATCTTTTTTGTGAGTAACATTTTTTCGACTTTTCTGACATTGCTTTGTGAGTTTTAAGTCTTAACTGAGGCACTTGAAAATTAATTCTGCCAAGCAATTCAGGGCTATCTATAATCCCATTTAAAAGTTTAAATAGGAAATGCATATCAAATTTATCCCTTCTTTTGCCTAGGTTATCAACATTAATCAAGTGTCTCAATTGTACATAATCATAGTCGTCAATAATTAAATTTAATTTAAATGCACAAAATCTTAAAAATTTATTTTGTACTCTTTCTATTTGCATACAATAAGTTAAGTAGTGTGAGGAGACCATACTACACAACCATAGTCCAAAATACTTCGAACAAATGAAAAATTAAAATTTTTTAAGTTCTGTTTAACAAAACCTAACATTTTTAAAGCTATACTAGACTATTTTAAGTTTTCTTTGTGCGTTTTGTACCTTTTTTGCGTTTTGACTTCTTTTTGCCTTTTTTTATTTTACATTTTTTTACTTTTTTAACATTTTTTTTACATTTATTTGTGTTTTTACTTTTTTGTGATTGAAAATTTTGTTCGACTTTTCTGACAATATTTTTTTGATTTTTTTTACTTTTTTAAGTTTTTCCTTTTTTTCAATTTTTTTGACTTTATTTTACTTTTTGACTTTTAATATTATTTTTTCTTTTTTGTGACTTGACTTTTTACGACTTCTTTTTACCTTTTTTAGATTTTCTTAACTTCTCTTATTGTTTTTGAATTTGATTTAACTTTTTGCGAGTTTTGTAACTTTTTTCGTTTTTGGCTTCTTTTTGCCTTTTTTATTTTACTTTTTTGACTATTTTGAACATTTACTTTTTTAAGACCTTTTTAAATTTTTTTTCTTTTTTATGACTTTGTGAGTTTTTACGTTTTTGGCTCCTTTTTACCATTTCGACTTTTCTGTTTTTAATTTTTTTGTTCGTTTTTTAATTTTCTTGACTTTTTTTTTCATTTTTTAACACTATTGATTTTTTTGTTTCTATTTTTTTGACTTTCTTTGCGACTTTACGTTTTTGACTTTTTACGTTTTTGCCCCTTTTATTATTTTACTTTTTTTAACATTATTATTTCTTTTTTTTTTAATCTTTTTACATTTATGTTCATTCTTTTTTCGACTTTTCCGACATTGGGTACGTTTTTATATCTTTTTACTTTTTTTTATTTTCTTGACTTTTTTTACTTTATTCTACTTTATTTTATTTTTTTTTTAGTTTTAATAATAGTATATTCTGTAACAAGTTTGGAATACAGCATATTCCGCTCGAGTGAGAAGTTTGTCACACGAGCCGAAAGCGAGTTTGACGGTTTCACGAGAGCGTAATATGCAATTCCAAACGTGTTTCAGACTATACTTTTTCTACGTTTCCAAACAATACCATAGAAAAATAATTTAATTGGAAGAAAGTGAGGTTGGATCGGTCTAAAATTTGTTAGATATTAAAAACCAAGATGTCGCCACGAGTGTTTTCTCTGTCACCAGATAATAGAATATTTCATTCTGTAACACTTTACGGAATATATGTCATTCCATAGATAAAAGTGATATTAGAAGGGTCAAATTCCGTAATAGGAGTAGAAAAAGATATTTACATTTCTCTTTTTTGCTTTTTTGTGACTTGAATTTTTTTTCGACTTTTCTGACGTTACTTTTTTGACATTTTTTGAACTTGGTGACTTTGAATTTTTACGTTTTTGACTCTTAACCTTATTTAGATTTTCTTGACTTTTCTTCTTATTTTCCACTTTATTTTGCTTTTTTGTGACTTGAAATTGTTTTCGACTTCTCTGACCTTTTTAGACTTTTTTAACTTTCAGACTTTTTTTTCTTTTTTAACAAATTTTTTTGTTTTAATTTATTTAAAAATTTCCGGGTTAAGCATCACTTGTAGTTGGCAACCCTGTTTAAATCATGAGGGTAATATATATCATTTAATGATTGATTTATTGTTTTTGGGATCAAATGTCTTAAATGAAAAACAACGAAAATATGTTGTTTTTCTCTAGTCTATGCCTTTTTTTGATTCATTATAATTTTAATTATAATCAATCAAAATAACGCTACCGAATTATAAAACACACTGGCCCGGTCAAGTCAGGCAAAAAAAATTGGGAAAAAATCCTAGTGAAGATTATTCTTCGGAAGTTTGTCTATTTGGGCACCCGGAGTAGTATCTCGTAAATTGTCGATTTTACGAAAAAATTTGTGCATTATAGAAATCGATTTTGTATACATAATAGGGTGATTCATTTCCGCAAAGTTTTTGTTTTCTTCGGTGCTCAAGCAAAATATTAATCTGCATATAGAAAAAAAAATTCTCAACAAGTTTGAGCTCTTAATATAAATTTTAAGTACTTACTATTTAAATTTTAAGTTTACCGTTTAAAATGCATGTAAAAAATATATTTTTTTTCAAATTTCTAATGCTTTCCCACCTTTGACAATATTGCAAATCGGTTTAATACACCTTATGGGGAATTTCACGCTCTTTAAAATTGCTTTTGAGTTTTTTTTTTTTGTAACTCGCATTGGTTCACCAGTAGGAGTCGTCAAAGGACAGTTTTTGAAAAAAATCGTTTTTTTTTTTTAATTTTTTCTAACAAACCGCAAAAAGTAGGGAGAAAAAAGGGCTGAATCATAAAAAAAGTTATCCAACCAATATTTAATGAATTTACAGCCATTTTTATAACTGAAAACGTAAGAAATTGATAATTACCAACTCATAATGTTATTTAGATTGATTTTTTCTATTTATTATCATTATATTTCCCTACACTAAGAAGTTTTTTAAAATTATTGATTTCTCACTTATAATGAATATGAAAACAACAGATAAATTCATAAAAAAAACAATAAGAAAATTGTAACGTGGATTTTGCAATTTTTCAACATTTCTGTCATATGGCAAAAAAATATAAATGAAGATGTTTAATTTTTTGAAGCGAAATTTGAAATATGTTACATAACCTTCTGTATATTCCGATTAAAGTTTTGTTGTTTTTTTTATGAATTTATGTGTTTTCATTTTCAGTTATAAAAATGGCAGTAAATTCATTAAATATTGTTGGATAACTTTTTTTTTATGAATCAGCCCTTTTTTCTCACTACTTTTGGCGATTTGCTCGAAAAAATAAAAAAAAAAACGATTTTTTTCAAAAACTGTCCTTTGACGACTCCTACTGGTGAACCAATGCGAGTTACAAAAAAAACTCAAAAGCAATTTTAAAGAGCGTGAAATTCCCCATAAGGTGTATTAAACCGATATGCAATATTGTCAAAGGTGGGTAAGCATTAGAAATTTGAAAAAAAAAAATATTTTTTACATGCATTTTAAACGGTAAAACTTTAAATTTAAATAGTAAGTGCTTAAAATTAATATTAAGAGCTCAAACTTGGTGAGAATGTTTTTTCCTATATGCAGATTAATATTTTGCTTGAGCACCGAAAAAAAACAAAAACTTTGCGGAAATGAATCGCCCTAATACATAATACACAAAATTTAGTCAAAGTTAAATCACGATTCGCGTTGGGACTTTCGGGACCCCACCCGTGGCGCCGAAATAAGGAAAATTCCGAGGGAAAACCTGCGCTAGGATTTTCTCCGAGGTGCCGAGCGGGCTAGTAAGAGGGGTAGCTTGTAGCTGTAGGATGAGGCTAGCTACATAGCTATGTAGGCGAGCGCAACTATATCGGTTGGATACGGGCGCTATTCGCCCTGCTCCAATGTTTAGTCCCGCAGTGTTTCGTGCGCCCGAACGAGGCCAAGAAGGCGGCGGACGACGCGAAGATGCGATTCGCGCACATCGACGGCGACCACCTCACCTTGCTCAACGTCTACCACGCATTCAAGCAAAGTAAGTACCCGAAACGCCTTTTTTAGGTTTAAAAATGATTACCGCACGCGGTGGTCAAAACTAAAGTGTAGGACGAACAAAAATGCCAACCAAAACTGATAGCATATTTTGATTTTGGTAACACTAACATGTATTTATCAAAATCCCAGCTGATCCTATTTTAAAGTTTTGCAAACTTTTTTGTTTTTCTATTTCTATATATTATTTTGCAATTATTGTACTAAAACTACCTGTACAATTTTAATAAAATTAAGCAAAATAATAAGCTTTGTATCATTTAAATTACTTTACTCCCCAGTATTAATTTATTCAGTCACTTATTATTTTTTACCACTCAAAACAAAACATAACAAAAAAAAAACGATTATATCTTAAACATTTTTTATAACAAAAAATACTGGGAGTTTGTCTATGAAATAATTACAACTTACAAATTTTGTAAAACAATAATTAAGGTGGTTATGAAAAAAATTGCTATACGTTATAACGCAAGTGACATTTTGCTTTAGTTGTTTATTTAATGTATACTTTATAAAGTTAAATATAGTATTTTTTTTAAGATGTGAAAAAAACATGAAAAAATTTTTTTTCGCCCAGCACATATAAAAATGAATCATATCAAACCTAAAAATATGACCGAAAATAATATTTATGCACGATGACATTATAATATGACAATTATAACAAAAATTCTTTGACGTAAACGTCTTTTTATAGCCCGCGGGCGTTATTATGGCCCAGCGGGCTATAATGAAACGTCAAAAATTAAAAACAACAATGTTACACCATTTGATATATTCGAAGTAAGTTTTTTCGTATAAAGATTTTGATTTTACCGGCAGCAGGCCGCAATTTTTCGCCTTTTCAGCTGCTTCCTCAATTTCATTTATCTTTAAACTTTAAAACTGACTGATGTCAGTTGACATTATAATATGACAATTATAACAAAAATTCTTTGACGTAAACGTCTTTAAAAACAATAATATATTAAAAATAATAATATATTAATCGTGCATAAAGTTTTGTATGCATTGCTGGCATAACTGGTTTTTATGGTCCTACGACGCTTTTCTAGCCCTCGCGCTAACGCGCTCGGGCTCGAAATAGCGCCTCGGACCATAAAAACCTTATTATGCCCTTAATACATAAATAACTATTATTGTCTCTAGGGTCGCTAAACTCATATCATCCCTAGTTTTTCACATTCTAGACACCTTTGACTGACATTTATGTATTTTGGCATTTGACATTTTGACATTTGAGATTTTCAGACGTTTGTGTAAATCAAAATAAAAACGGACAACAAAAGTATAAAATAACAATAAAACCTAATTTAAATTTTGTAATAAAGTGAAAATGAATGGTAACTCGGACAGTGACGAAAAATTTACGAATACTTGACCAGATTTGAAAAAGAGGAAGCTAGCTAGCTGTTAAGACAATGCGTTGCAACGGTACGAAAAGTGCTATGAATTATTTAAAAACTGGAAAAAGGATCAAAAACCCAAAAACTTAACAGAAAATGTATTAGTTGCTTATCTACCGGAAAGATCAAAGATAATGAAACATCAACTTCATCTGTAGAAATAAGCCTTCAAATTCTGGTACTATCCACAATTGTGCTCAAGGCATAATTAACATTAATTACAACAATAAATAAATTCGTAAATTGTTACTGAAGTTTTTTATAAAATTCCGTTTATATTAATAAAATTTAAAAAAATAATTTGTTTGATGCTAGGCGAAAAACAGGTGTGTGTCACACATTCAGAAAACGCATTAGCAGCCCTTAGCTATCAACTGCCCTCGCTTCGCTTCGCTCGCTCAGGCAGTTAATAGCCGCGAGCTGCTAAAGCTAGTTTTCTGCCCTTGAGACACAATATACTATTTATGCCCTTTATATCTTGCCATTTTGCAGATAAAGCACATACATTCTTGGCTGCCGCGAAATTCTCTAGCAATTTCTAAATTTTGAAAATACCGTTTTTACCGTATTGAAGTAGGTAATTTTGAATCACTTAAGTTAAAGTGTTCGTTTGAAAAAGTCTGCAGTAATTTTTATATTTTCTCAGAAACTTTGAATTTTTCGATTACCAAAAACAATTTTGTCTCCACAGCCAGCACATACCTTCTTTCGATTTTCTTCATGGCTTAACTTGAATTTCGGTTTAATTTTCATTTTAAAATACTATTTTTAACTTTATAAAGTATACATTAAATAAACAACTAAAGCAAAATGTCACTTGCGTTATAACGTATAGCAATTTTTTTCATAACCACCTTAATTATTGTTTTACAAAATTTGCGAGTTGTAATTATTTCATAGACAAACTTCCAGTATTTTTTGTTATAAAAAATATTTAAGATATAAATCTTCGTTTTTTTTTGTTATGTTTTGTTTTGAGTGGTAAAAAATAATAGGTGACTCAATAAATTAATACTGGGGAGTAAAGTAATTTAAATCATACAAAGTTTATTATTTTGTTTAATTTTATTAAAATTGTACAGGTAGTTTTAGTACAATAATTGCAAAATAATATATAGAAATAGAAAAACAAAAAATTTGGAAAACTTTAAAATAGGATCAGCTGGGATTTTGATAAATACATGTTAGTGTTACCAAAAGGGTCTATAATCAAAATATGCTATCAGTTTTGGTTGACATTTTTGTTCGTCCTATACTTAAGTTTTGACCAACGTGCGCAATGGGGTATACGCTAAAGAAGTATCGCTAGTAGCGCTACCACTCGGCTGTTATCATCGTAACAAAAGTACGACTTTTAATAATCAGCTGTCAAACGCATGTTACAAACGAGTGTTTTTGAGAATAAAACCGGAAAATGTTAAAAAAATATCGAAAAATATAACCGTGGATCGATTTGTTGTATTGTTGGACGTATTTCGAGAGGAGTTTATGTACGAATGTGGCGCAAAATAATTATCCAAACACGGATGGCATAAAAAATCACGACATGATTTTTTATGCTATCGGGCATATTGGATATTTATTTTTGCGCCACATTTGTACATTGTGAGAAAATGAATGTTAAAAATTGAATTAACACTTTTTGCGGTTAAATACATTTAATGTTTTCTTGGATGTAAATTAACTATACCTAATTTAAATCCAAAAATAAATATAATGTATTTAACCACAAAAACTGTTGATTCAATATATATGTAGGTATACTTTTTCTCTCAATGTACGAATGTGGCGCAAAAATAATTATCCAAACACCGTTGGCATAAAAAATCACGACATGATTTTTTGTGCCATCGGTCAATCGCAAACAGCGATGGCATACAAAATCAGGACATGATTTTCATTTCTTACGCAGTGACATCCGGATGATGTCCGTATGAATAAAATTTGTGAAAATCATGACGTGATGTTCGTATGAATATCACGAATGTTGTCCGGGAAGTTGAAGTATTTTTATACAAAATTTCATAAAGTTTGGTAAAGACGTTTTAGAGTTGAATTTTTGTATATATTATCCGATAATTTTGACGGGCAGTGTATATTAATTATATCTCATTAGGGCAACCATTTTACTTCGCTTTTATAAAAAAAGGCTGTCATCAAACAGTCATTTCTAAGATTAATAATTGTTTACCATAAACCACAAATTAAAATTGAATTGAATGTGTCAGTTTAATGACAGCCCTGATAAAATAAGGTTTATTTTTTACAAACGAGTAGTAAAATGGTTGCCCTTGTAACTTTAAGACTTCTTTTAAGGCTTACAAGTGCCTCTGTAAAAAACACAGCGTTTAAAAATCTGTATAAACAGCACCAAACTGAAGCACAAGAATTGTAAACAGCTAGTGGTGTTTTTTTTACTTGGTCAAAATATTGATTTGGTGATTTGGTGATTTTTGTTTTGATTCAAAAAATCTACATTTTTTTTACTTGTGATATCGAAAAATTGATTGCTAGGCGCTTCAAAAGAAGTCCTTCCTACGCATAAACTAATAATAGTGATTCTCCATCCATCACTATTTTCATATAAATCTATAAAAAAATTACACATTTTGGTAGGAAATTGAATGCTCTTCAAAAAAGGCGTGTCATGTTTATTTGTAAACCCAGCCATTCAAAAGATATCTAAGGTCAAATTTATTAATGATTTCTTTAAATTTAACTGATGTACACAAAAGTTTTCTTTAGTTTTTTCTAAAAATGTAATGGTTTGTTTAATATAACCTATATCCCGTATGGTCTAGTGGTTAGTTGGAGCATTTAATTCCCTAGCAAAATAAATATTGGGCTGCGTTAAATTGCACTAACGGATTGTTCGAAATAGGCATGGAAGATCCACAATGGTGTTACGATAACTTCGTCAACTACAGATCCTTAAAATCTGCAGACAATGTCAGACAACAACTCTCCAGAATTATGGACCGATTTAATCTAAAACGTACATCCACAGATTTCACTAGCAAAGATTATTACCTAAACATACGGAAAGCTTTAGTGAATGGGTTTTTCATGCAGGTAAAGTCATCGGTGTATATATGGCACGCCGTTTTAGCATTTATTAGATAAAAGTTTAAAGATTAAAGTTTAGCACTTAAATTATGCTTTAACAGAAATTTATAAAGTTTTTTTAAACTTAAAACAATTGATAGTCAACAAAATATTTTAAATATAAATGCAACAGTAACAATTTATGTTTAAAAATATTGATTTTTAAAAGTTTTGGTTATAATATTTTATTCTACAAAATTTTAAAAGAGTCATTTAAAACGCGTCAAATATTTATGGAGCAAGCAAGATTTGTCAACACTGCGGATCAAACTGGCTGCATCGTGGCTCCGATCCCAGACACTTGTGCCTTCTACTAAAGCTACGTTTACACTTTGTAATTTAAAAATTATCCACTTACATTTAAATGTAAAGTTAGAAATTTTGTCTCAATGTATCAATTTAAAATTGTTAAAAATAAAAGTTATTGGTTTAAATTTGTAAAGAGTCATTTAAATGATAGTCGATAAAATTTTAATGCAAAAATTACCACATTAAAATTTAAAACTAACATTTAAATGTAATGTTGAAACTTTTGTATTGAAAATTTATCGACTATCATTTAAATGACTCTTTACAAATTTAAAGCAATAATTTTGAAGAATAAAATATTAAAATTACATTTTTTTAAAATCAATATTTTTAAACTTAAAGTTTTACAGTTGCAATTTATATTTAAAATATTTTTTGATTATCATATGTTTTGAGTTTACAAAAATTTAACTTTTTAAAATGTTTTATGTGTTTTTATTTTAAATGGCATGATACTATTTTTAAATACTAAAAAATTTAAGTTTACAAAATGCCACCCAAATAAATTATAACTGGGAAATTATTTTTATTACAAAATGATGGTTAAAAATTTTTGCAAAAATTGATTGAAAATAATATTGTTTAATACGGAAGTGAACTGTTGGTAAATTTTGTCTTTCAATACGTGATAGTTGAAAAGATTTTAAATTTATAAATGTAAACCTTAAATTTTTAGTTAGGAAAATTTTAAACCAATAAAATTTTAAATTAAAAAATTATTTAATAAATGTTCAAACGGAGTGCCATACGTATACTTTGAAACGACTTTCATTCGTTGTCACATTTTTGTAGGTCGCCCATTTAGAACGAACAGGTCACTACTTGACCATAAAAGATAACCAAATTGTGCAGTTGCATCCGTCCACCTGCTTGGACCACAAACCCGAGTGGGTCATTTATAACGAGTTCGTGCTGACGACGAAGAACTACATCAGAACGGTGACAGATATAAAACGTACGTAAAAAACATCCCTTTTAGACGAGGTGTAGTCCAGGAAACAAAGATTGTAGAAGGAAAACTCGATGGTAGTCGGGTTTTATTTTTTTATGTATAGTCATGCTGATAATGAATCAAGAATATTCCCTAAAAATTTCTTCCCGCGTCCCCTAATTTTATCTCCCGAAAGGGGAGTTTCTTGCTTTTTGGCTCATAACTCGCTAACCGTGCATTTTTTCAGAATTTGACCTCTAATACTTTTGGGTATGTACTAAATAAGGCACACGTTAAACCCCATTGCGCACCTATATGATGTGCCCTTTTGCTATGCGCAGTGTGCAAAGTTGAGCGTTGCACTCAAAATCACTTTTTTGTTTTGTTTATTATAGCCCAATATTAAAAGTAATCGATCCCAAACCTTACGGTAATCAAACATAACCGAATGGACGATTTTTTGAGGTACTAGACTTTTTTCAAAAGTTACTGCTTTTCAATATAAAGGGGGTTCTTTTTTCAAAACTTTAATTTTTGTGGGGCACTTGCAATGAAAATAATTAAAAAAAAACTACGGATTCGTTACGAGGATAAGTGTAAGGACTATGCTCCACACCTCAAAGTCCCACCACGTGACCACGTACGGAACGCAGTCTTTTGAAAATTTGGCATTTAAGGCTTTTCAGGTTATGTATCTGTCAAAGTATAGTCAACGAAAGAGATAATAATATTATTATGTTTAGGTGTTAAAAATGTATAAATCTTTATAACATTACAATAACAATGGATGGTTTAAGAATTTAAGAATATAAATACTGCATTTAATGAAATTCTAAAGTGTATGGTGCCAAATAAGTAATATTTTTGTGCATTTGGTCCAAATATCTGGTTTTCTCCATAAAATTATTTTAACTAAACAGCATTTATTTAAAAAAATCCAGCTTCTCTATTATGGAATAAGAATATCTGTATTAAAGGTAGGTATATATTATAACAAAAATATCATCTAATTTTGTAATTTTAACGTTAGAAAAATTTATTTTGACCAAAATAAATAAGTATTTTGGATTATTTAAAAGACTGTATAATATGGTATTTAAAAATATGGTAGTTTTTTTTATCCAGCTTAAAGTGTACCTACATAAAGTTTTGTCAATACAAAGCTTCGACTGAATTTGATCTACATCAAAAAATCATTATAACTTACATGTCATGGGAGTATTAAATAATTTCACATTGCAAGTTTCTCTAAAAATTGTTTGTTTTCTTATAATCTAACTTAAAGTAAGTATGCCGAGAGGTATGCACAAGTTTTGTCATTAGAAGTATAAAGCTTCAATTTAATTTAAACTATATTCAACAATTATTTAGTATACCTATATTTATTTATGACCATATTAACACACTCTTTCAAATAATCCACTTATTTATTTTGGTCAAAATAGATTTTTCTAACCTTAAAATACAAAATTAGATGATATTTTTTGTTCTAATACCTTTGATACAGATATTCTTATTTCATAATGGAGAAGTTAATTTTTTTTTAATAAATGCTGTTTAGTTAAAACTATTTTATGGAGAAATGTAGACCCAATGCACAAAAATATCACTTATATTGCACCTTACACTTTGGAATTTCATTAAATGCAGTATTTATATTCCTAAATTCTTAAACCAACCATTGTTATTGTGATACTATAAATATTTATTAACTTTTAACGCTTAAACATAAGCGGTAACACCAGGCCCGGCTTAAGGCAATTGAGCGCCTTAGGCACTTAAAAATCTGTCGCCTATAACTAAATAACATACTTTCGGGTCCCGGGTCAAATTTTAAAAAAGCTTATCAGAGCCACCCCAAACTGTTAGCTTAAGGGGGCCCGGGCATACTAACCTAATTATCCCCTATGATTTGAAATAGTTTTCATGCCTCCATTTTACTTAATTTATTACTTATTATTTTCCTTGCTTCACCACGCGACTAACCTCAAATTATTTAAATCTGTTAATTTCCTAACCACACAGAAAAAACGCTAGCATAGCATGAATGGGTGAGCCATTAAACCAATGGGATCTTGTAATCCGTATTCCTGAATAACAGTTCCTTTAATACCAATAGGTACTTAGCACTTGTTTTATAATCGTTTACTGTTTTTAAATTAACACCAAAAGTTATCGCTCTATCTATCTATTGATATTCATATTGATATTTATTTGTTAGAATGGTAGAATTTTATTGCATTAAATACTAATTTGATTTATTAAATAACGTTACTATTGTATGTATACTATGTATACATTTAACGCAATAAATTCTTTGACATTTAGGCAAAATATTTCCCTATTTTGGTTTAATAGTAATTAATTGAGCAAATAACAAATTAGATTGCTTCAGTTTTAATGCATTCAATGACAGCGCTGTTCTTGGTACTATTTTTTTCTGTGCATCCATTATTATTTTTTGGTGTTATTATTTAACTCTTTTTCTTCTTCTTCTTTCAACTTAGGGCGGATTTATGGCTTAACCACCGCCCTTGTGGTCCTGGACACAACCATTGGACAACGGTTGTCTAACAAACACGTGTACACAAATAGGTTATGTAACCTTAAAATTTATAATAGCTTTATATAAATTCCTCTATTCCTTTAAAAAAGTACAAAACGAGGAATATTATCTAGGACTGGAATCCGATTTTGTCCTCCCTGAGTCAAAGTCAACTATTTTTCACACTTTTTCATGGAGCAATGCACGAGCGATGCGCTTCTCACCGAGGATAAAATCGAACTCCATTAAATAACTCGCAGCGCCATGTTTTATACTTGTTCAGTAGTGCCAACTTCACTACAATGAGAAGCGACATCTATATTTTTAGATGTTAACTACACAACAATTACAAAGGAAGCTGCATTTTTATAAAATAATAAAAATAGTAAAGAATATTCGGTACCTTACTTATAATTAAATATTTTTTATTTGTTTTATTTTTGGGAAAAATTAACCATTTGGTACAATTTTTATTTTTTTTTAAGTTGACTGGGGACAAGGCGCCTATTTTTTCGTGGCGCCTAAGGCAAGTGCCTTGCCAGCCTAATGGGTAAAATGGCCATGGGTAACACTATAAATATTATTTCTTTCATTGACTATACTTTGACAGATACATAACCTGAAAAGCCTTAAATGCCAAATTTTCAAAAGACTGCGTTCCGTACGTGGTCACGTGGTGGGACTTTGAGGTGTGGAGTATAGTACCTAAAAATCTAGGGTAGAACGAACTGGCTCATTAAAGCCGTTTGGAAAATAAAAAATGGGTTTTTTGAAAAAAGTACATTGAAAAGCAGTAACTTTTGAAAAAAGTCTAGTACCACAAAAAATCGTACATTTGGTTATGTTTGATTGCCGTAAGGTTTGGGATCGATTACTTTTAAAATCGGGCTATAATAAAAAAAAAAACAAAAAAGTAATTTTGAAAGCAACGCTCAACTTTGCACACTGCGCATAGCAAAAGTGCACATCATATAGGAGCGCAATGGGGTTTAACGTACACGTGTGTCTTATCTAGTACATAATCAAAAGTATAAGAGGTGAAATTCTGAAAAAATGCACGGTTAGCGAGTTATGAGCCAAATAGCAAAAAAACTCCCCTTTCAGGGGATGAAATTAGGGGACGCAGAAATAAATTTTTGGCGAATATTCTTGATTCATTATCAGCACCCCTGACTCTACATAAAAAAAATAAAACCCGACTACCATCGAGTTTTCCTTCTCCAATCTTTGTTTCCTGGACCAGTGATCAAATAGTAACATAAAATAATTTTTGCAGCTGATTGGCTATTGAAGATAGCCCCGCAGTATTACGACCTGCAAAACTTCCCGCAGTGCGAAGCGAAACGACAGTTGGAAATCCTGCAAAGTCGGTTAGAGTCGAAGCAGTTTCAGCAGGGATTTTAGTTTTATTACTATAACACTTCTTCTATTGTTTATTATTAGCTGATGTATCTTTGGTTCTTTTATGTGTGTGTATTTCATTCCACGATTTATTATGTTACGTTATGAGCAACATAAAAAAATAATTATGTTTTATTAAAGTAAATTAGATTTAAAAGATGTATGTAGCTTTATTTTATACCATCCACAACCCAACTTTTTTAAATAAAAAAATAACAAAAAACTTGCATTTTCATTTTTGGTGTAACATTTTAGTCGCAGCTGTGGCGCTGCGCAGTGGTTTATCTACTTATTTTGCGTTCATAATGACTTCATTGTAACACCGCTTTCGGTGCTGTAATGAGGTACTTTACCCCACCCAAAATTTGTGATACCAACTATCTAAAGTAAAATTCGACAAAATTAAATATAAAGTAGGTATAAAATTAATTTTTTTTATAGAATTTTTGCAAAAAAAAAAGCATAAAGAACTCACATTATTATAGTTGAATGCAACATGTCAGCGTACTATTCTCATAACGTTCGCAACAGAGAAGTTTGACGAAAAATTGAATTTTTGTATACAGTTCATTTTTTTTGTCTGAACTCGTGTTTTTTTGTTAGGTTGGTGGCTTATGCCAGTTTGACTTGGTATTTTTAATATTTAAAAATGGTACTTCTGCTAAAGAATTTAATTAAATACTTTGACAATATTTACTTGTCAATTATAAATAAAAAGATAATTATGCCAAAAATAATAGCAACGAATTCGAATGTAAAAGCCCTTTTAAGGGCAAAACTTCATTTTGATGAAATTATGCCAAATGCCACAATGGAAGAAAAAGTATATCGCCTTATGGACATTTTTGGAGTAAAAAAGTAACGAATTTGGTTTTATAAATATTACATCACACATTATTCACCATTGGACAACATTTACGTTCACAAAAAATTTTAATTTCTTTTATATAAATTCTTTTCAAAGCGAAGATTATTATCCGCTAGGAATACTTTCTCTGCTGGACCGTGAAGCAACCTATATTTAACTACTTTTTTTAAATGATTTTACTCATCCAAGCACCACCAAAGCCAAATTAATTGCATTTTTAACTACGAATTTCGACAACTCAACTTGACAACTGCACAATGTAACCTACAATAATTTATACATAACCACAATTGGATTTATAACTAGCTTAGTTTGTTTTAATCAATGCGACCTACTTGACAACTGCAGTATTTACCAACCAAAACCCTAAATTTGCAACGTTGCCGCAGTCCAGATAAAAAAATGAACTTTAGGCACAGATGAAACAAATATATGAGTACATTAGATGCAAAAGTCGGTTTTTGCACATTTTTTAAAAATATATATTTTATCATTTATGTTCATAACTGCACTGCCCACAGCATACCTAAGTAAACCAGATGCATAAGTTAATATTTGTAGAATAAAATACATTTATAAACTTACTGCAGCTGCAAAACTGGGTATTTGTTTTTTCTGTCGGATGCAAAACTCGGTATTTGACCAATCACCAATCACGTCGCTAGTATACGCATTAACTGACGGTATAACAATTTTTTTGGTATTTGCATTTTTCACTTGCAAAACTTGGTCTTTGAATGAGGAAGATGCAAAACTATGTTTTTAAATCTTTTGATTTCAATTATTTACTAAACTACTTAATTTTAAAGGACTTTTTTTTACTTTTTTGAATAAGAAATGATGCAAAAGCACGTCTATACGATTTTTGTATTTTTTTTTCAAATATGACCTTATGAGCGGTTTTTCGTGTTTTTCTTAAAATCACTTATCCTGCAAATACAGAGTTGTGCATCTAATGTACTCATATAGTTTATGCAGAACCGTTAAAAATGATGCAGAACTATAAATTAGTAGAAATTCAAATGCTATTTGGTAAATCTAAATAAAAAAACAATAAAGTCGAAACAAATTTACTAAAAAAATAAAACCTTATTTAACAATTTTACAGGATCACATGGTTACAATTTAATACCTATATAAAACAAAAATACTTAATCAAACCTAAATAAAAAAAGTTATCTCAAAACTCAATTGTATTCGTTGACTGGGGCGCTATGAGCGTCAAATAAATTGTCAGCCAATTCGATTATGTCCTTGTATTTTTCGCAGTGCTTCATTAAATTTTTGTTTAGGGCATCTTCCCCCAAATACGCTCCACAAATGGCTCCCGCCATGCAAGCTATGGTGTCTGTATCACCTCCCAAACTTATGGCGTATTGTATCGTTCTTCTGTAGATATCATCAGTCTAAAATAAATATTTAATTTTTTATGATGATTTTTGTAGACTTACGCATCTAAGCTGATTTTTTTCGCCACTAGTGACGAAAAAAATCAGATGTAACCGCAATAGTTACAACTAGGGTAGGGAAAATTTCACATTTTGCTTGCACTTGAAATTTCACTTGAAATTTTCATGACATTTATGAAATTTATGGAAACTTTCAATATATTTCAATCACTTTAAGTGTAATATATATATATATATTAGGGTGTTCCTTATTTAGGGGTCGGAAAAAATTTAACAGAGCCGCCCCCCAAATCGGTTCCAAATCATAAAAAAAAATTCCTGCAAAATTTTAGGTCATTCGGTCAAAGGGAACACGTGCCCCACAGGGGTTTTTTAAGAAATAATTGAGAAAATTCGGAAGGCTGATTTAACTCCGAAACGGTCCATCGTAGGAAAAAAAAGTGTATATAAATTTTATGTGTTTTTTTTAGATAAACAACTTTCGTAATAACAGTCCTGCGTTAAAAAAATTTATTCGGGGTCAAAACGCGATAAAACGCTTTTTTGTGTACTTTAGCGCTACCTACTTTTTCAATTTTCTGTCCTAGAGCATCGACCCAATGTCATAAATTGTAGGGGACAATGCACCCTACATTTTTTGTTGACAAAATTTTTTTCTTAAACTAACCGATTTTGAAAAAAATTAAATCCAAAACTTTTTGAGTTTTCACTAAAAACACGTTGTGCTCCGAAACTACGAAACGGTTTATCGTAGGAAAAAAAAGTTAAAATATATTTTGTAGTTTTTTTCAAGCTAATCAACTTTCCTAATGCCTTTGTCACAATAGTGTTAATGTTAATGGTAATGTTAATAAAGCATAGACAAATGCGTGTATCAACGCAAAAAAAAAATCTTGCAAAATTTGAGGTTAATCGGCAAAAATAACACGTGCGTACGTGTTAGTTTTGACGGATTAATCTTAAATTTTGCAAGATTTTTTTTTTGCGTGAATCATTGTGGCCTTATAAGAAAAGCCTAAACTCAACTGCGTTATCCTAGTCCGTATTAAGGAGAAAACTCAACTGCGTTATCCTACTCCGGATTAAGGAGAAAACTCAATTTTTGTTTTTTTATATTTTATTTTTCTCAAAAACGATAAGATTTAGAAGAAAAAAAATTAATCAAAAAATGTAGTCCCTACAATTTATGTTATTAAGTCGATCGAAAATTTCAGCAGTAGGTAGGGCCAAAGTACCAAAAAAAGCGTTGTATCGCTTTTTGAACTCGATTTTTTTTTAACGCAGCACTATTATTATATCTCACAATAGTGTTAATGTTAATAGTAATGTTAATGTTAATACCCAAAGCATAGAAATATGCGTGTATCCGTTCACAATGATGGTAATGTTGATGGTTACGTTGATACACGCATTTGTCTATGCTATATAAACATTACCATTAACATTAACACTATTGTGACAAAGGCATTAGGAAAATTGATTAGCTTGAAAAAAAAACTACAAAATTTATTTAAACTTTTTTTTCCTACGATAAACCGTTTCGGAGTTTCGGAGCACAACGTGTTTTTGGTGAAAACTCAAAAAGTTTTGGATTTAATTTTTTTCAAAATCGGTTAGTTTAAGAAAAAAATTTTGTCAACAAAAAATGTAGGGTGCATTGTCTCCTACAATTTATGTCATTGGGTCGATGCTCTAGGACAGAAAATTGAAAAAGTAGGTAGCGCTAAAGTACACAAAAAAGCGTTTTATCGCGTTTTGACCCCGAATAAATTTTTTTAACGCAGGACTGTTATTACGAAAGTTGTTTATCTAAAAAAAACACATAAAATTTATATACACTTTTTTTTCCTACGATGGACCGTTTCGGAGTTATATCAGCCTTCCGAATTTTCTCAATTATTTCTTAAAAAACCCCTGTGGGGCACGTGTTCCCTTTGACCGAATGACCTTGAATTTTGCAGGAATTTTTTTTTTATGATTTGGAACCGATTTGGGGGGCGGCTCTGTTAAATTTTTTCCGACCCCTAAATAAGGAACACCCTAATATATATATATATATATATATATATATATATACAAAAAAAATGTATATTAAGCATATAATATATTAATATTGAAATAAGCCCACTCGGGGACCATGGCAAATTGCCTCTCTTACCTCCTACCCCTCTGTGGGCCCCTGCACCAATAATATAAATAGTAAATACCTATGTTTACCACAACTTTCTTGAGATTTCCTTTTAAAATATTTTTAAAATTACTAAAACTAAAAGAGATATAGCACTTTTTGGTAAGCTAATGAGATTGTGCCACTTTCGTTGTTTTATATTTATATATATTTATTATTTTTAAATATTTTACTGAAATTTTACGAAAATTGAAGAAACTTCATCAAAATTTTATGAGCCAAAGGCATTTTTTATCCGTTTTCCGATGCAATTATAGCAAAAGTAAAAGTTTAAATTAATCATGACTTTTAAAAAAAATTTAAAGTCTGATTTAATTTACAAATTAAATTGGTAACTGAATTAAATTATTTAAATTAATTTATGCATATAAGTAACAATAATTACTTATTATGTATTCAAATCCAAGCCGAACTAAACAAAAACGCCCAGGCGCTTGATAAGGTCCCAGGGGAGGCCGCATGTGAAATTTAGGCGAAATTTTCAGTAAATTGCGAAACTTTCAATGAAATTTCTGAAACTTTCACAGGCAATGTTGAAATTTTCGGATTGAAAATTTCATTTGAAATTTTTAAAAATTTCACTTTTCCAACTAAATGAAATATTTCAAGTTTGAAACTTTCAAAGTTAAAATTTTAATTTGAAAATTTCAACTGTCCCAACCCTAGTTACAACAAAACAAATACAAAATTAACATAAATCAAACAGTAATTCTAAAATATTAATAAACATATGCATATAAAAAGCAAAAAATATTTTTTATCTCCGCGCGGTCTATAATTTAAACTTTATTGTTGTCAACATTCGATAAAGAAATACCTTGTTATGGCCTAGGCCGATAAAAATTTTTATGAGGCAAGTAATTAGTTTTTTCTCGCTAGGGGTATTGTTTTGACAAATTAATCCTTTTCTAAGAAATTAACGTTTAACTGCAGTTAAACCATGGTTTAATTTATTTATAATAAGTACTAATTTGTTTGTTTTACTGTTAATGTTTAATATTTTTTATTAAATTATTGTAAAATTAAATATGAATAATAAAACAAAAAGTGAGGTTAGGCAACCAAGAAAACGCACGATTCTTTTTCTACGATTTAAATTATCTTTAAGTTTTAATTTGCTTTAAGTTTTCAGTGAAATTAAATGTTAAACACAGCTTAAACATTTCAAACTACCTATTTTTTTAAATAAAAATCCAAACAAATTGAAATTAGATACCTACATAGCTATTTATTAAACAATTAATTGAATTCAATGTAATAGCAAAAATCCATTTCTACTTAAATCATGTTGCTAGGTATTGTCAAACTATTACTGCTTCTAAAAGCAATAATAATTATTGTATTTTACTGTAATCTTTAGCTAATAAATAAATGAGATTCTAAAAAAGTGAGGTTAGGCCGCTTTGATGTTGAATTAAATTGACCTATATAAAGTGCTTTGAAGATAAAATGTTATATGCCATTCGGCCAAGAAGTGCCTTTTAGTGCTTCGCTCAATTGTAGGCCTTCGCTGCGCTTCGGCCTTCAAACCTTGAGCTTAGCACAAAAAGCCTTACTTCTTAACCTAATGACATAAATAAATATTTTTTGCTTTTTTAATAAAAAATTAAATTAGAAACATTAAAAAGACAAAAAATACAGTTCGGTTCCAGCGCTCGAGTAGACGGGTCGCGTGCGGGCGAGCTCTTGAAACGTAAAGGTTTAAAGATGAAACCAACAATAATTAAAAAAAATAAAGTGAAACAAACATTTTCATGGAGTGCAAGCTGGAGTGGTGTAGTGGTGTAGCGGTCATTGAGGAGTGGAGTGTTGGAGATATGAGTGACTTGGGTGCCACCTGTCATTGGAGGCTTTTCACTGGACGGACGGGGGAGGTCGAAGAAGAGGGGAGGTGGTCATCCGCAAGGGGAAAAATCTGATAAGTTTTACTTTAAGAGTATGCATGACCTGATACAAATCTGCAATATAAATACGGCAGATCCCGGCAAGCATTTTCCGTTACTTGTCTCCATTAGCATTGCCCGTATTCATTTCATTAAACATAACATTTATTTTACTTGAAAATGTTAAAATAACTTTAAAATATGATTATGTTAAGAACATATTTTACTCTTTAAACAATTGTTTTGTTTTTAATTACTATCATTGCAAAATTGTATTAAAAAGTGTTAAAAATTCTTACACGGGCAATGCTAATGGTGTTAGGCATCGTTAAAGTGTTTATTGGGATATCTTTAAAACCTATGAAGGGCGCGCGGCGTGGGGCAATAAGCCTGTCAACGGCAAGTGCGTAAAGCGGTCCCAATCGAGACCGAAATAAACACTGGACTGACAGAGTAAACTAACATTGATCACATAATTCTAACACATTAAAAAAAAGGGCCTAATAGCCAAACTCGAGATTTGTAAACATTAGACGACAGAATGATCGCGCTTGTGATTTGTTGGACTAGTGAATAAATGCAATGCATTGGAATTTGATAAACAAAGACGGAACTCTACCACAAAACGTGCTTGGGACAAAAATTACTAAAAACAACTGACACACTTTACCAAGGGCAGGAGCTATCTGACCAGGACACGGACAACGACAATAACGAACAAGACAAAGACCTCGACTACACCCCTGCAGCGAAATAACAACTCCCCAACTCCAAATAGTAATCCCAAATGTTTGGAGTAAAACTAATCGACTGGTCTAGGGGGATTCCGCGTCGTACTTAGTTTTAAGTCGGCGTAATTGTCCCCCAAAAACCAACTCCCTCCCGTCCCTCATCCACACCCCACCGAGCGTATAGCATAGGCTCGGCGAACCCGGGAATGGCTATTATAACTATTCGCCTCTCGCTCTCGAGCCCCAAATAGGGGACAGTACGAAACGCAATGGACATTCGCACCCAGCAAACACGGGTGAAGCCGTGCAGTTGCTGGGGAAGAACAAAAATCGGCGCAAGTAAACATAGGCCTGTACGGGGTTCGCGAGTCAAGAGGAAATGGGGCTGGTTATACGTCTCTTATACTCATACTCATACTCATACATTAAAAAGACAAAAAATAAAAAAACAAAAAATGAACAAAAACCATTTAAAGAAAGTACAACAAAACACAAATTAAACATATTAAAAAAAACATAAATTCAAAAACAACAAAAAATCATTTTAATTTGTTTACAATTTTAAATAAAAAACAAACAAAAGAAACAAGACAAAAAATTTAAAGAAATAAACTTACCAAAAAAACAAATAAAAAAAATTATACAGAAAAAACAAAAACCACCCTTAACCTTAATTATTTCTTACCTTAATGTATGGAATATCATCATCCAGAGCCTTAAGAAAGCAAAATATAGCAGTTGCTACTGATTCGTGCGCGGAAACGCCATTTCCCAGGCATATAATAACTTCATCGTCAAACTCGTCGTCAAATTTTCTCGATAAGAAGTTTTCCACTATTTTCATCTTTAGTTGATATGTGCATTCCTCACTTTCAACATCATGTCTAAATATTATAAAGCGGCGTTAAAAAATAAAATTTTTGTAAAATCTGGCAACACTGAATATGTTGGAATAATTTAATGAACTTTCATTTTGCACATTTTTGTTTGTATAATAATATTATGTCCTGTCATTTTACTTTTACCACGACAAATACTTATTATTATCTAAAAATGATTTAAATTAAGCAGAAGTAGGTAAGGTAGACAGTTATCGGACACTTTATAGTTATTGGACAATTAACATTAATACTGTAAAAACAAGAGTTCTATAAATAGTTGTATACAATTATAAATATCTCAGTCGGTAATAATATAGGACAAAAAAGTTCGCACGTTACTTTGGTGGTAAGATTTTTGTTTTTTTGTTAAGAGCAGGGCTGTGTTTAAATTACAATAAAAAATATTTCTAAAAAGTGTTCAGATCAGTGTGTGGTATAAATGTGTTCCTCATGGTTTAAACGGTGTCACTTTAATGCGTTTTAATTTTAATTCTCAAAACAAACAGTAAAATGGCCAGTGTCCAATTAATGGTTGGTAAAAAATGTGAATTTCTATTATTGGACATATGTCCAATATTATACTCTATTTGTATCCCGGACATTTACCAATTCTTATGTAAAATTGTCCCCTGAATCCGAAAAGACATTTAAAAACTATAAAAGTTAAGCAGTTTTTGAGATATAGTCAATTTCATATCATATGTAAAATTGATTATATTTCAAAAACTGTTCTACTTTTACGGATTCAGCGAATAACATTTCATAGGAATTGACTGGTAAATGTCCTGGATACAAATTGCTGTTGACGAGAATTATTAGTGGCTGCTTTTTTGGTATGACATTTTTGACTAATTCATTTTTAGAAAGTAAGTAATATAGTGATTTCTTCATCACAGGACATCTTGCAGAATAACAGTGATCTAAATACAGTGCATGATAGAGAACATCAAAAACTAATGGCAATAAAATTAATAAATTCGGAAAATACTTTTAACATACCATCCGAAAAAATATTAGATATATATAATAGTGGTCCAAAAAAAATTTTTTTTTTTGCTTATAATCTCAAAACCTTCTTTTAGGTATAAAAAAATTCCCTCCAAAGCGCAGCTTAATATCTCAATTCTCCACTAAGCTCAATGAATTTTTATTTTCCCATTTAAATAACACGTAAAATTTTTTTTTTCCTTTTTATCCGGTAAACCGAGGAACATTTTTTTTTTTAATTTCTCCTCAATGATTCTTATGGAAAATTTAATTTTCTACAAAAAAGTCCTGAAGTAGTTTTTTTGTATCCTAACGGGTAAAAAGTTATTAAGCTTCAAATACTTGCTACTTAGTAAATTTGAAGGAAGATCGTTTCAAAGCAACTTTTTGAAAATATTGACTCAATATCTTCAAAAAGTTGCTTTGAAACGATCTTCCTTCAAATTTACTAAGTAGCAAGTATTTGAAGCTTAATAACTTTTTACCCGTTAGGATTACGAAAAAACTACTTCAGGACTTTTTTGTAGAAAATTAAATTTTCTACAAGAATCATTGATGAGAAATAAAAAAAAATTTTCCTCGTTTTACCGGATAAAAACGAAAAAAAAATTTTTTTACGTGTTATTTAAATACAAATTCATTGAGCTTAGTGGAGAATTGAGATATTAAGCTGCGCTTTGGAGGGATTTTTTTTATACCTAAAAGAAGGTTTTGAGATGATGAGAGATGGACCACTCTAATATATAAATCATCCTGTTCTGGCCTAAACATTATAAATGCTTCACAAACTAGAGATGTGATATTTGCAACAAACTGTTTAGAAGTCAGATCAAGGAATTAGTAGTTACCTTCAAATTCCAGAAAAGGGATAAGGAATTAAATTATATTTACTAAAACAAAATAAAAAAATTACCTAAAACAGCAATTTTTCTTTAAAAAATATTTAACAATTTATGTTATTTGACCTAAAGTTGTTATGTTTAAATAAAAATTGTATGTCCAATAACTATGGTCCATGTGTCAAATTACTATATAAAACGTCCAATTACTATAATTTTTTGCATATTTTTATAAAACTATTATTAAAAATTCAAATATTCTTATTTTTAAGTAAACGTAAATAAAATTTAAACAAACAAACTATCCTTTTTATATATTTATAAGAAAAAAACTAAAATCTTTAAAACAACAGCATATATGCATAATGCAACCTAAAATCCCATCTCTTATTACTTTAAAATTTTTAATTATACCACAAGAACAGTGCTGCCGTACTTTACAAGCAATTGTTGACTTAAGAATTGCGACTTACCGATCCTGTCCTCCCTTAGTTTCGAGGAAGCGAATTTTTTTGAAGATCTCGTGGCAGAACTTTTTGGCGTTGATTTTGTTTTTGGGATCGATCATCAGAGCCTGCTGAACGGCTATGCACTGCAAAAGCGCCCCGTTGACGCCCAGCAAATGCGTGTGCGTCACGTTTGTGGCCTTCTCCGCCACCTCGAGCATTTTTTGGTAGTCCGAGTGGTAAAAGAGCGCGACGGGGGCTACGCGCATCGCCCCGCCGTTGCCGTACGACCCCTGCCCGTTGAACTGCGTTTTGGCGGGCGAAAAGGCATCGCCGCATTTCGTGTCTCGCAATTTGCAGAACACTTCCACCACATTTTCCCCGTAACCTCGTCTCGGTTCAGAGAAAAATTCCTTCACAAACAATTTGGCGAGGAAGTTAAAATCCGGTTCCGGCTTGTCGATAAGGAATTTCGCCATCGATTTTAACATTGCCGTGTCGTCGGTATACTTTTTAAACGGTTGTGCTGAAAGGTTTCTTTTCGTTATAAAACACTAATTTTATATGTTTTAATAAAACATTAATTCTTCAATTTATCTTACGTTTAAGATTGGGGTCCCCCAAATCGTCAAAATACTTCTGTATCTGCATCTTGGTTCCAGGCGTAATATCGCAAAACTCGTAAGGGGCCCCGAGACAATCCCCCATAAGGGAACCCAACATTGCGCCCCTAAATTTACTTCTCATCGTTATTTGGTCCATCATGACGATTTTTCTTAAAATAGACATTTTATTTACAATCCATAAAAATAGGTGGTCGAAAACATAACCTCAATAAATATATTTGGAATACAACGTTATATTAAGGCATACAAGTAGTACGATACAACATGCGTTTAGTATAATTAAATGGTGTATTTTCATCCTTGTTAAGAAGTAATAAACAACAAAAAACTCACCAAAATAACAACAAATAAACAAACAACAAAACCGGGCTACAAATTTATTCGGTGAGAATTTTAGCTAAAGAAACCAAAACTTGCTTAGCAATCGTTCGGAAAGTAGTTTTAAGACAAAAGAAGTAACGTAGTTCTAGTGTTGCCCCCAAGTAGTTCAGGTATAAGCAATGTTGCCATGTCTTCACCGGTTTAAATAAAACTCAAAATGTACAGTTAATTTTTTTTTATCTGGACTTTTTTTTTGTTAGGTTGGTGGCTTATGCCAGTTTGACTTGGTATTTTTAGTATTTAAAAATGGTACTTCTGCTAAAGAATTTAATTAAATACTTTGACAGTGTCAAATTGACAATAACATTTATTATTGATTATTTCCCTCATTATAATATGAACCAATCAAAAGCCTTGAATTTTCGAATAAATTTCGTTTAAATAAGCTATTTAACAGCGATTAAATTTTAGCCTCCATATTGGATTTTTGTTTACGATTTTATGGTGTTATTTACAAGTTTTAACAAACATTTTTTAAAAAACAATAAAAAATGAGTTATCTAGTTTACGAAATATCAATTATTACTTATTACATACGGACATCATCCGGATGTCACTGTGTGAGAAATGAAAATCATGTCGTGATTTTTTATGCCATCGCTGTTTGCGATTGACCGATGGCACAAAAAATCATGTCGTGTTTGGATAATCATTTTTGCGCTACGTTCGTACACTAAGAGAAAAATTATGTTGAATCAACAGTTTTTGCGGTTAAATACATTCAATATTTTCTTGGATTTAAATTAACTAATTTAAATCCAAGAAAATATTGAATGTTAACTGTTGATTCAATTGTTAACATACTTTTTCTTTCAATGTACGAATGTGTCGCAAAAATGAATATCCAAACACCGATGGCATAAAAAATCATGTCGTGATTTTTTATGCCCAAACACCGATAGCATAAAAAATCATGTCTTGATTTTTTAGGCCATCGGTCAATCGCAAACAGTGATGGCATAAAAAATCACGACATGATTTTCATTTCTCACGCAGTGACATCCGGATGATGTCCGTATGAATAAAATTTGTGAAAATCACGACGTGACGTTCTTATGATTTTCATTTATCACGCGGTGACTTTCGTATGATATCAGTATGAATAAAATTTGTGAAAATCACGACGTGATGTTCGTATGAATATCAAGAATGTTGTCTGGGCTGTTACCAAAGCTTTATTAATGGGGGTTCCTTAAAGGTTTTTTAAGTAAGAGTTATGTTATCTTTTAATAATAATAAAATAAATAAATAAATAAAGTTTTTATTGCATATTCAGTACAATACAGAACATATAATACAAAACATACAAAAGGCCATCGACCGGGGTCCTTCAGCCTACTTTTAATAAAATTGATTAAGATGGATTTGTTTTTGATTTATTTCCACGCTTTATATCAGAAATAAAATGCATGCTGTATTATCAATTTATAATCGGGGTTGCCTGCCTAGGCAGTGCCTACATTTTAAAACACGGCTTTTCCAACAGCAGGGCTCCCACGGCTAAATTACAAATTTTATTTAGGAATTTAGGAGGTTTTTTGTAAAATTTTAGGTGAAATAAAGTAAGGAAATGAATTTCTTTAATTAAATAAAAACAACTCTTTACTACTTACTTAAAAAATAAGCAAAAATTACTACCTCTTACTTCTTTTGTAAAAATAATTTATATTGACTAGTTTTTTAGCCAAATCGCTCGACGAGTTTTGTTTTAAATAAAATTAAAAGTGAGATAAAATTACTACTTTTGTATAGGTATATCTGAGGAACATATATTATACAAGTATAAATTTCACCAAACTTTTAATTTTATTTAAAAAAATGCGTCGATAGATTTAGTTAAAAAACTATGCCAAAATCAAATAATGTTATATTTATATTTTAAGAAATAATATGTTAACAGTTTAGTTAATAACTAACAGTAATTAAATCGGTAAGATTAAGAATAGTACAAGTCCAAAAGTAAAATATTTCAAAAAATCAGTTTTATAGTTCTAAATGCATTTTTGTTAGAATAATTTAACTATTTTATGAAATATAATATTCATATTCTATAAAATAATTTATATTTTCTCTCAAAAATGTATTTTAAACTTTAAAATGGATTTTAGAAAATAAATTGTCAAAATTAAATTTTTGGACTTGTACTGTTCTTATTCTCACCGATTCAATTGTAATGTGGATCTTAATACTTAAATCTCATAACAAAATATATAAGTTTGCAAAATACAGCAAAACATTCTTTAGATTGTTTACTATTTTAACTGTCAATTACAAGAAAATTAAAAATCCTTTTGTTTGATATAATATATATATATATATATATATATATATATATATATATATATATATATATATTATACGGTATATTTTTGTCTAAAACAAACGAAATATGGCTAAAAATGACATTTTTGTAGAATTTTTTTTTGTTGTTTTTTAAGAAAAATTTTTTTTTTAAAGAATTTAATAAAATAAAATAGAACCTAAAAATATATATTTTTAAATTACTTTTTAAAAAAGATTTTTTTAGCACTACCTTAATTAAACGCAGTCAGGTTGGCCTATTTAAATTTAGGAGTTTTAGGAGATTGACTACAATTTTAGGAGAATTTTAGGAGTTTTCAAGATTTAAGCAAAATTTTAGGAATTTTATGAGTTTTAGGAGGTGTGGGAGCCCTGCAACAGAAAAATTTAAATTTGTGTTTTTGGGCGTTTTTCCACCCAAGCCTTAACATTCGGCACCGCCAAAACGTTCTCCTTAACCTTTTGCAGGTTGCGGTAATCTTCCAACAAGTCAATTTGGGTCATTCCGTTCATGTAGTCCAAAAGACTTACGAAGAAGAGGTCGGCCCAAGTGAGACGGTTGATGGCCAAAAATCCCCCATTGGTTAACCAATGGGGGATTTTTGGCCATCAACCGTCTCACTTGGGCCGACCTCTTCTTCGTAAGTCTTTTGGCTGCATCGTCCAGTTTGATCAGGTAGTGAGGGATTTGTTCTTCGAATAGGGGCACTTTAAGGCTCTCTTTAATGGCTGGGTCTGTCTCGTAGTGGTATCTGCCAATTTTAGCATGAAAATCGTATACTGTATCAACTGTGCTGTCAATTATCAAGTCTTCCCAGTCATCTTTACCAACGAGCCCAACTTTCTTGGCCAAAAATCTTGAAATAGCCACGCTTTGATGAGCCATTTTACCTTCATGCTCCAAAATTGGCATTTGCCCGTAAGGCATTTTTGGTTTTAATTCCTCCCACTGTTGACTGGGTACGCCGGGTTTGATGTACTCCACACGAAAATCTTCCCAGTCCAAATTGCCGTAACTGCAAAGGAACCTCAAAGGTTCTCCCAAAGCGGTCAGGTCGAAATACGTCACTTTGTATGCCCTTTTTGTAACACTGCGAAAGGTCGTTGATAACTGCAGGTTTGCACATTTTTTTAAAATTGTCGTTAAAGCCATTTGGGAAATTGTTTTAGTCAACATCACGGACCAAAACCGCGCTAAATTTTAAAGCACGAATTGTCCTCTATATACGCATTTAAACCGTAGACCACTGATGAGAATTATATTTAATTATAATATATGCTATAGCATAATAGGAAATTTTCGGAGATTCCCAGGGAAAGATAACCCGAAGGTTATCTTAGCAACGTGTTTGTTGCAAGTTTATTTTATATTATAAGGGTAATATTTGAAGTTTAATATTTAATATTTTCTTGGATTTAAATTAAGTATATATAGTTAATTTAAATCCAAGAAAATATTGAATGTTAAACTAGTTGATTCAATTGTTAACATACTTTTTCTTTCAATGTACGAATGTGTCGCAAAAATGAATATCCAAACACCGATGGCGTAAAAAATCATGACGTGATTTTTTATGACCAAACACCGATGGCATAAAAAATCATGTCGTGATTTTTTATGCCATCGCGATGTTTGGATATTTATTTTTGCGCCACATTCGTACATTAAAAGAAAAAGTATGTTAACAATTGAATTAACAGTTTTTTGCGGTTAAATACATTTAATATTTTCTTGGATGTAAACTAACTATTAATTTAAATCCAAGAAAATATTTAATGTATTTAACTATAAAAACTGTTGATTCAATATATATGTAGGTATACTTTTTCTCTCAATGTACGAATGTGGCGCAAAAATAAATATCCAAACACCGATGGCATAAAAAATCACGTCATGATTTTTTATGCCATCGGTGTTTGGATATTCATTTTTGCGACATATTCGTACATTAGAAGAAAAACTATGTTAACAATAATTGAATCAACAGTTTAAACTAACTAAATTAACATTCAATATTTTCTTGGATTTAAATTAACTATATATACACTCACAGGCAAAATAATCGATCCACACAAATTTTCGATGAATTTCAATCGCAAATAACTTTTTTATTTGATTTCGGATTTAAACAAAGATTAAAGAATATTGTAGATACATTAATGGAGAATCGCTCACATTTTAAAAATTACTTAAAAATACACGTACGTTTATAATATACAGGTTTAAGCAAAAATATGTTTTTTACCATAAGTTTAAGACACTCTGTGGAGTGGCAAAACCGTATATTGTTCTAAATTAAGTTTTAATTATCAAGTCACATCTATTTTTAACAGTTTTGTTTTTGGTTCACCTTGATATATTTATTTTTGTTGAAAATATGGATTTTTTTTTAAAAACATTGCAATTTCCAATATTTTTCCTGTATGAAGAACTAAGCTTGCCATCCATAGCCTACGGAGGATGACAGTGACAGTTTTGTCGAATCATCCCATACTTGGACATGTCATATACAGCTTTTAAAAGCTATCAAATTGTTTTTTGTAAATTAATGTGTTAATTTTGAAGTGTCTTCTTACTTTTAAAAATGTCTCCGACTGATGTTGCCCTTTGTACTTTACTTCTTGTGACGTTTAAAACACTTGCCACGTAATACTGTGACCGTCCATCCTGGATTAAATTAATGGCTCTGGCAACATCAGTCGGAGACATATCCATTTTTTAAAGTAAGAAGACACCTCAAAATTTAAACATTAATTTGTAAAAAACAATTTGATAGCTTTTGAAAGCCGTGTATGACATGTCCAAGTATGGGATGATTCAATAAAACTGTCACTGCAGTGACATGTCATTCTCCATAGCATATGGATGGACCATAGCAACCTTAGTTCTTCATACAGAAAAATATTAGAAATTGCAATGTTTTTTTAAAAAATCCATATTTTCCACAAAAATAAATATATCGAGGTGAACCAAAAACAAAACTGTTTAGAATAGATGTGACTTGATAAATAAAACTTAATTTAGAACAATATACAGTTTTGCCACTCTACAGAGTGTCTTAAACTTATGGTAAAAAACATCATTTTGTTTAAACCTGTATATTATAAACGTACGTCTATTTTTTAGTAATTTTTTAAAATGTGAGCGATTGTCCATTAATTTATCTACAATATTCTTTAATATTTGTTTAAATCCGACATCAAATAAAAAAGTTATTTGCGATTGAAATTCATCGAAAATTTGTGTGGATCGATTATTTTGCCTGTGAGTGTAGTTAATTTAAATCCATAAAAATAATAAATGTATTTAACCGCAAAAACTGTCGATTCAACATAATTTTTCTTAGTGTACGAACGTGGCGCAAAAATTATTATCCAAACACCGTTGGCATAAAAAATCACAACATGATGTTTTAGGCCATCGGTCAATCGCAAACAGCGATGGCTTAAAAAATTACGACATGATTTTCATTTCTCACGCAGTGACATCCGGATGATGTCCGTATGAAGAAAATTTGTGAAAATCACGACGTGACGTTCTTATGATTTTCATGATATCAGTATGAATAAAATTTGTGAAAATCACGACATGATGTTCGTATACGAATATCACGAATGTTGTCCGGGTACATATATGAAGGGAACGATTCATATTACTTCACGATATTGTTAAACTTGTGACAAATAATAATAACTGTATTTTTAAGTCACATTATTAATAACCATGTAATGATTTTTAGCACTTTATGTATTTATTATTTTTTGTAACATGTTAATAAATTATTAAAATTATTTATTTATTATTATGTTTGTTTTTTTCTTACTTTCGTAAAATTGTATGTTCTAGTTTTCATTCTTTTGAATCTTTGACTCGCGATAATCGAGAAAGGTTAATGATAGAAAACCCAGTATAAAATTAAATAGATTTACAAATTAAATAAGTTATTTATTTAACATTTTATGTACAAAAAGTTGCTCTTAAATCTACAATTGAATAATCTTAATTAATTTGCTAACAGTCTCACTTGAGAAGTTGCTGGACTGCAATTTGCTCATCACCTCCAAAAGTTCGCCATTCTTCAATTCAAAGTTGTAGGGTATATCATACAAAATCACATAGTTCGCCAACTTGTTTTGCATTTCCAAACTCTCACTGAAAACGTCACCACCTAACAAATAGGTGTTCAGTTGATGTCCCATTGTTTTTTCCCACTCTCCAAAAATATCAAAGATTTCCTGCTGAACCGAAATCAGAGCCTCTTTGGAAATTAAATTGCAAAGCATGGTCTTCATGAAAGTTTGTTTCCTGATTATTTTTAACTGCCAAATATTATTTGTGCTTGGATTTTTGGCGAGATCTTCCACCATCTAAAAATTAATTTTAATAAAATTTTAAATTCTTTACAATGAACATTACCTTAAAAAGTGTTGCAAAAACGTAGATAATAATTAGCTTATCCTTAATAACAGCATCATATGTGACTTTTATCAACTTCTGCTTCAATTTTTGCTCCTGCAAGTGGAAATTCTTCCTTTTCAGCTTGAGGAAATGATCGCAAAAATACTTTATCATTTTTTCAGACGTAAATGAACTAATTGAGTCTGGAGTGGGGTCCCAGGGCACAATTCCAGATTGCGTTAAAGTCCTGGCCAAATGACTTTGATAACCAAATCTGTCCATTATGTAGCTTAGGCAACCTGCTCTTTGTTTTACCTCCACATGGCCATCGGTAAAAAGTATTTTTCTAAAAGTGTCAATTGGATTAAAGCAGGGCGGGATCACGAAAACACAATTTAAAAAAATTGAGTAAATTAACATAGTTTTTTATATTTTTTTTGTATGTACTCGGTGGTCAAAACTTAAGTATAGGACGAACAAAAATACCAACCAAAACTGATAGCATATTTTGATTATAGACCCTTTTGGTAACACTAACATGTATTTATAAAAATCCCAGCTGATCCTATTTTAAAGTTTTGCATACTTTTTTGTTTTTCTATTTCTATATACATATTATTTTGCAATTATTGTACTAAAACTACCTGTACAATATTAATAAAATTAAGCAAAATAATAAACTTTGTATCATTTAAATTACTTTACTCCCCAGTATTAATTTATTGAGTAACCTATTATTTTTTACCACTCAAAACAAAACATAACAAAAAAAACGAAGATTTATATCTTAAATATTTTTTATAACAAAAAGTTTGTCTATGAAATAATTACAACTTGCAAATTTTGTAAAACAATAATTAAGGTGGTTATGAAAAAAAATGCTATACGTTATAACGCAAGTGACATTTTGCTTTACTTGTTTATTTAATGTATACTTTATTATTATTCAAGTTAAGCCATGAAGAAAATCGAAAGAAGGTATGTGCTGGCTGTGGAGACAAAATTGTTTTTGATAATCGAAAAATTCAGAGTTTAGGGTTTCTGAGAAAATATAAAAATTACTGCAGACTTTTTCAAACAAACACTTTAACTTAAGTGATTCAAAATTACCTACTTTAATATGGTAAAAACGGTATTTTTCCATAGCCAAATTTTTAAAATTTAGAAATTGCTATAGAATAGAGAATTTCGCGGCAGCCAAGCATGTTGGTACAGAGACTGAAGAATTTAAAAATATTGTTTCCATGTTAAAAACAAAATATGAAGTTTGCAAAATACAGCAAAACAGTCTTTAGATTGTTTACTATTTCAGCTATCGTTTAAAAGAAAATTAAAAATCCTTTTGTTTGATATATAACATTGTATATTTTTGTCTAAAAGAAACGAAATATGGCTAAAAATTACAAATTTGTGGTTTTTTTTTAAGAAAAATGTTGGTTGTGATATAATATCATTTTAAAAAGAATTTAATAATATAGAACCTAAAAATATATATTTTTAAATTACTTTTTACTATTTTTTTTTAGCATGACAACTACCTTAATTAAACGCAGTCAGGTTGACCTATTTAAATTTAATTTTTAGGAGTTTTAGGAGATTGAATGCAATTTGAAGAGAATTTTAGGAGTTTTCAAGATTTAAGCCAAATTTTAGGAGGTCACAGTGGTCTGAGAAGCAAATTTACGCGGCAAAAATCCAATTTTTAAAACACTTTAAAAAGGCATTTTGATGCATCTTTATTGTTCGTGACAGATTAATACCTAAGATTTTAAACTGCGAAGTAGAATTTACTGCGTATGCGTTGCGTTATACCAAATACATGAAAAGATTGTCAAAAATACTCTTACTTTCGGAATCTTGTCTTTTTCGTGTAAAAAAGGTGTTGCGTTAATATAATAGTGAAAATTAGTGTCAAAAATTTATAGTAGGGATAATGTTGAGTACAAATACAACTTTAAAATGTCTTTTTTGGATTTTTTGCCAAAAATATAGCGTTTTTTAACCTACAAATCCTCAAGTTTTGTAATTACAAATAATAAATGGAATATAAGTAAAAATTTATAATTACTTTCCCAGAACCACACAGTGCATTCGAAAATATGAACCTCCAGCTCCGACTTTATAAAAATTCATCTGCCTTTATGCGCCTATAAGAGAGTTATGCAAAAATGAAAAATGGCCGACAAATTACCGCTAACCTGGTCATAAAAGTAATATATTTTTTAAATTTGACAATAATATTGCATTTAAGAATGGTAATACAATTTTCTTTACTAATATTACATAATATTATTTTTTCAATATACTTTGTATATTATACAGTGTGCCCACTGATGGTAATGACAATAGAAAAAACTTTTTTATTACCTATATACCTATGATACGAAAAAAATATGTTTTTTAAAAACTCTTGCTTGTTTCAAAAATAAGATTCCTACACAAACATTTTGAATTAAATGTACAGGGTGCTCAGAAACTAAAAAAACCCAAAAAACTAGAAGTGCGTTTTATGGAAAAATGAATTCATTTTAAAAATATTTGATGGTTAAAAATTAAGACTTTCATAAAAAGATGAATTATATATACAGGGTGCTCAGAAATTAAAAAAAAATTATATATCAAAATAAGAGGAATGTGGTAAGATATTCGTAACGGAATCGCAAAAAATCATTGTTCATAAAAACTTCTGCTTGTATTTAAAAAATGAGATACCTAACAAACATTTTTAATTAAATGTCCAGGGTGCTTAGAAAATAAAAAAACCGCAAAGTGATTTAAGAGGGTAGTACAATAATTATTATTCCATAGGAATCTCATTTTTAAAACAAGCATGAGTATTTAACGCATAATAAAAATAAGTTTTCCTATTGTCAACCATCACGATATTGGCTAAAGGGTTGTTAAAAAGAAATATGGTGAAATGTAAAATGTTGATATAATAATATATTTTTGATACTTTGAAGGTAATGGTAAATTATGCTTGCGCCATGTTGCAATCGCCAACATTGGCGATCGCCGCCTGGTACGAACTATAAACATTTATTTATTTAATAAATAAATTATTAAATATAAAACATAAAAAAACAAAAAATACACAAATATTAAAAAAAATCATTTTATATCATTTGGCTAGACCCTCAATACCAAATATTTTTGAAAAAAATTAATATAAGAAGTAAATTTAGCACCCTAAAACATAAAAAACACACGTCTTGGGAAAAATATTTAAGTCGTTTTTTCGCGTAAATACCATGAAATACTATGGTTATTAAACTTAACCTTGGTTAATAGTTAAGGCTTTTTTACGTTTAGAGTGCGTTCAAAAATCCTAACTATGACGTCACAAATACCAGACCATAAAACTATATCGCTGAGCTAGTTATTCAACGTGGTTAATAGTCTTTCTCTTTTTAATATATATTTTTCTGTTACGATCTGTCAAAAAGTTGTTTACATTTGCCGTCAAAAAGTAATTTAGAATATTTTAAGTAGGTACAATCAAAGATATTATCTTTGGGTACAATTGCTCTTAAAACGAATTTAAACTTTGTATTAATAATAATAAATGATATATATCTTCAAAATATCTCATATAAACAGTTTGATCTTCATAATTTCTGTACGTTGAATAAATATTTTGGCAATTTAATATGTTTATGTAGGAATAATGTTGTGTGCTAAACATATCTTCTCCAAAACATACCGCCAACCTTCGTCTTTTTCTTTGGAGTTCCATTCTAAATTTTCACAATAATAATTTTCGTATAAACGTTAAACACTACATGGATTTTAGTTATGGTAAACCAAGATACATACACCTTAAGATAGGATGGTACGCATGTTGGCCGGGGCTTAATTACGTCACTTGATGAGTGTTTTTAAATCTTTAACGTGCTTTTTAATTATCTGCTGCTAAAATTCTTGTTTTTGCGATGCTTTTGGATGTTAACTTGCTCTACTTTTTGTTTAACTTGTCGTTTTTGTGTTCGGTAAGGTTCGAATTAATTTTCAGCGTTCAAATTATTGTTATTGTGTTAGGTTTGTTTATTATTGTTTTTGTGTTGCGTTAACTTATTTTGTTTGTGTTTTAGATTGTATAGTGCCATTTGCATTTATTAAAATGCGGTGGCATATTTGGATGCAATTCGGACAACCAGTCCAAGAAAAACCCTTTAAATAAAAACATTAAATTTAATCGATTCCCGAAAAAGTTTGATTTGTGGAAACAGTGTTTAAATGCCAAAAAAATAATAAACAATATTTACGTTAAGACCGCTTCTGTTTCCTATAAACATTTTCTGGACAGTGACTATAAGTTTAATTTAAAACACCAACGCTTAAACTACAGCCCTAAATGTTATCAAGGACTGAAAGCATCTATTATCCATATTATAACACTCTCTTCAATATAAAGCACTATGTCCAGAAATTTCTCTATTTTCTTTAATAATATTACTATTATTCGTGTATTCGCACGGCAACTACTTATCAAGTGACGTCATGCGCGGGACGAACCAAAGCTCGTACACGGGAGCATCCAGCCCTGTGGTAAACGACAGGGAAGAACTGTTTTTATAAAAAGAGGTATCGAAAAGGTAGGTATAAGAACTGGGGATCATAGAAAAAGAATATACAATTGTATATTCTTTTTCTATAATCCCTAGTTCTTAAGGTATAAGAAGAGGCAAAGAAATTTATTTACACCGGTAAAAGCATAGAAATTAAATATAAATAGGTAAAAAGACATTTCAAAAATTATAGGTTATGAACAAGTAAACAAATGTCAAATGTTAGAAACCTAACCATGGTTATAAGAATTAACTGTAGTATTGCATAGTATTTACACGAAAAAAAGACTTTAAAGAATAATTTTTGCCGCGTAAATTTACCTCTCAGACCACTGTGGAGGTGTGGGAGCCCTGCTTGTTTTCTTGTACCATGGAAAGAATGAGCTTTACTTACATTAACAGATCCCAGTTGCGTCCCCGTTCGAACACCACCGGCCAGTAGCGGTCGTCCTCGAGGGAAACCTTGGTCAGCGTGCTTAGATCGGGCAGAATGCCGGGACCTTTGACGCGCAACTCCGAGCCTTCCAAAGTGACGACGCGCAGGTTCGCGTAGCAAGTTTTACCCAAATGCACGTCCCTGGGTATGACGACGCGAGGCTCCACCGCCAAAACGTACAGGTGCCGGAAAGCTTGCAGGTGATACCTGAAAATGAAGCCGCGCCGTTAGTTAGTAGTATAGGACGAACAAAAATGCCAACGAAAACTGAGAGCATATTTTGATTATAGACCCTTTTGGTAACACTAACCTGTGTTTATCAAAATCCCAGCTGATCCTATTTTAAAGTTTTGCAAACTTTTTTGTTTTTCTATTTCTATATATTATTTTGCAATTATTGTACTAAAACTACCTGTACAACTTTAATAAAATTAAGCAAAATAATAAACTTTGTATCATTTAAATTACTTTACTACCCAGTATTAATTTATTGAGTCACCTATTATTTTTTACCACTCAAAACAAAACATAACAAAAAAAACGAAGATTTATATCTTAAATTTTTTTATAACAAAAAATATTGGGAGTTTGTCTATGAAATAATTACAACTTGCAAATTTTGTAAAACAATAATTAAGGTGGTTATGAAAAAAATTGCTATATGTTATAACAAGTGAAATTTTGCTTTAGTTGATTATTAATAATGTATACTTTATAAAGTTAAAAATAGTATTTTAAAATGAAAATTAAACCGAAATTCAAGTTAAGCCATGAAGAAAATCGAAACAAGGTATGTGCTGGCTGTGGAGACAAAATTGTTTTTGGTAACTGAAAAATTCAGAGTTTAGGGTTTCTGAGAAAATATAAAAATTACTGCAGACTTTTTCAAACGAACACTTTAACTTAAGTGATTCAAAATTACCTACTTCCATATGGTAAAAAAAAAGAGAATTTCGCGGCAGCCAAGAATGTATGTGCTTTATCTGCAAAATGGCAAGATATAAAGGGCATACAAAATTATTAAGGGAAGAGGACGGACGAACGAACTAAAGTTTTGATATGCTCTTCCTTTCTAGGGGATATCGCTAGATGTAAGAAGCATTTTTGTACAGAGACTGAAGAATTTAAAAATACTGTTTCCATGTTTCCATAAAAACAATTTCATGTAAAACCCAAGAAAAAGTTTTACTGAAAATTTAAGGCAAGCAGTAATCGATTTTGCTTCAAAGAATCTTTAGTTATTTATTAGTTTTGTATAAGGTACCTTAAAACAATAAATAAGATATTGCAAACTGTATTTTACATTATTTTGTATTTATAATGTAATTTATCCATATTTCAGTCATGTATCTGCCAAATTTTTAAAAACATTTGATAATGGTACTAGAGTATTTTATCGAAATGACATAAACAATTTTAAAATACTAAGAAATATGCAAAACTTTAATAAAGGATCAGCTGGGATTTTGATAAATACATTTTTGTGTTACCAAAAGAGTCTATAATCAGATTATGCTATCAGTTTTGGTTGGCATTTTTGTTCGTCCTATACTTTAGTTTTGACCACCGTGTGTAGAGATGTAAAAAACGGTTTTTTCATGTGAAAAAAACAAGAAAAAAAACTAGAAAAAAAAGAATTTTTTGTTTTTTTTTTAATCCGCTACAATAAAGCATTTTCTGTCAATAAATAACATCAATCTTAAAAAATGGAGTAATTTTTCAAAATGAAATTTTGAGTAAAATTTATATTAATAATAAAGTGAAATGTAGATTATATTACATTTTTCATTATTGAAAATATTGACCGAGACTAAAAAATCTGATTTTATTATTTGGTAGTTTCCACCTAAGAAACCAATAGCAATGTAAAACTTCTACACTAATAGTGAAAAAAATTAAAGGATAAAAAATTTTTTGCGATTTTTCGGATAGCTGTATCTTCGTTAAAAATGGTCGTATTGGAGCCGTAAAAAAAGCAATTTAAAGCTTGAAGTTTCTAGTTTTGAGATTTTTAGATGAAAAACGTGCAACGCTCAATCCTAACGAATAGCGTAATAAAAAAATTCGAAATTTTATGGCTTTCTTTTTTGGTCCACGGAATGTTCTGACTTAACCACCAATGAATAAATGTTGTACAAGAATTTGCTATTTTGAAAAACAAAAATTTCCATACTCTAGGAACATGAATTTGAAAAATCATGAAAAAAAGTGCTTTTGGTAGCTTTTTGAAAAATCAAGCGTTGAATCAAAAATATTATAGGTAGTTACTTTTTTTAGGACCATATCAAAACAAGCGCGGCCCTTATTGGTCAATTCGGTGGTGGTGGCGCGTGCAAAGCGCGAGACTGTATTTACATTTACTAAATATTATTTAGTGGCTAATTTTAGTCCATGAACTGGACTGGAAACATAAAAAATTAGACAAATGGGACTAATCCTAAAAAAAACTTAAATATGTGGAAAAAAAAATTAATAATAAAGTGAAATGTAGAATATATTACACTTTTCATTATTGAAAATTTTGACCGATACTAAAAAATCTGATTTTTTATTATTTGGTAGTTTCCACATAAGAAACCAATAGCAATGTAAAACTTCTACACTAATAGAAAAAATTAAAGAATAAAAAAATTCCAAATTTTTTGCGATTTTTCGTATAGCTGTATCTTCGTTAAAAATGGTCGTATTGGAGCCGTAAAAAAGCAATTTGAAGCTTGAAGTTTCTAGTTTTGAGATTTTTAGATGAAAAACGTGCAACGCTCAATCCTAACGAATACAATAAAAAAAATCGAAATTTTATGCCTTTCTTTTTTGGTCCACGGAATGTTCTGACTTAACCACCAATGAAAAATGTTCTAAAAAAATTTGCTATTGTTTATCTGAAGAAAAAAAATTTCCATACTCTACATGAATTTGAAAAATCATGAAAAAAGTGCTTTGGGTAGCTTTTTGAAAAATCAAGCGCTGAATCAAAAATATTATATGTACCTATAGTTACTATAGTTACTTTTTTAGGACCAAATCAAAACAAGCGCGGTCCTTATTGGTCAATTCGGTGGTGGTGGCGCGTGCAAAGCGCGAGACTGTATTTACCTCGGTAATTACATTTACTAATTGTCATTTAGTGGCTAATTTTAGTCCATGAACTGGACTGGAAACATAAAAAATTAGGCAAATGGGACTAATCTTGAAAAAAACTAAAATATGTTTTGTATTTTTTTTCAAATCTGCTACAATAAAGCATATTCTGTCAATAACATCAATCTTAAAAAATGGAGTAATTTTTCAAAATGAAATTTTAATAAGTGAAATGTAGAATTTATTACATTTTTCATTATTGAAAATTTTGACAGAGACTAAAAAATCGGATTTCTTATTATTTGGTATTTTCCAATTTTTTTCGATTTTTCGTTAAAAATGATTGTATTGGAGCCGTAAAAAAAGCAATTTGAAGCTTGAAGTTTCTAGTTTTGATATTTTTAGATGAAAAACGTGCAACGCTCAATCCTAACGAATACCGTAATAATGTTCTACAAAAATTATGTTCTACAAAAATTTGCTATTGTTCTTTTGAGGAAAAAAAATTTCCATACTCTACATGAATTTGAAAAATAGCTTTTTGAAAAATCAAGCGCTGAATCAAAAATATTATAGGTAGTTACTTTTTTTAGGACCAAATCAAAACAAGCGCGGCCCTTATTGGTCAATTCGGTGGTGGTGGCGCGTGCAAAGCGCGAGACTGTATTTACATTAACTAAATGTCATTTAGTAGCTAATTTTAGTCCATGAACTGGACTGGAAACATAAAAAATTAGGCAAATGAGACTAATCTTGAAAAAAACCTAAAATATGAAGAAAAACCATTTGAAAAAAAAACAATGAAAAGAACCCTGAAAAAAAAACAAAAAAACGTTTTTTTTTCAAGTCGCATCTCTACTTGCCTGTTATCGTTGCTGTGCGTGGGAAACTTGGGGTACAAGGCGCAGATGAGCGCGGCAACGCTGGCCGGCGAGTTCGACAGCGTGTACCGACCGCCCCCCAAGTACAGCAGACCCAAGGCCATGTGAGTGGCCAGGTGGGAGCCGTAGGTGACGACGGCGCTCGAAGAGGCTCCGACGCGCTTGCGCAGATGTCTCACCAGACGCATTATTTCCAGGTTTCCGGTACCAGCCATCACCTAAAACGATTGACACCTTCAGAAACAGTTTTGTAGGGGTTTTTCCATTTCAAAGCGACCAGGCAAAAAGGGGTAGCTGGCAGTGTTGCCAAGCGTACGATAATTATCGTACCTGTACGTAATTTATTTAAAAATACAAAAAACGTGCTCTTTTAGTTCCACCCTTACTTCTTAAGAAGTCCCATAAGCCAACTAAATGGCTTGTGCGGGTTAGGGGTAGGAACGGACCGCGAGCTTAAAGTCCCCTCCGAAGGACTAATACACAATTATTGTGTTTATTTGTGTTTGTCCTATTATAGGACAAACACAAATAAACAGCCATACCCCTGGTGGGATTCGAACCCACGACCTCCGGCTTGTAGTCAGCAGCACTAACCACTCGTCCACCGTCGGCGATGAAATATATCTATATTTAGAATTTATCACCTGCTCGTATTTAATTAATTATTTTGGGTGTATTTCATATTTAACCGTATTTTTAATAAATCTTTCATTTTTTGAAATATTTTTTTATAGTTTTATAAAATTTATACATTTATTCTATGAAAAACTTTTAAAAACAACTTTTTAGGCTAAAAATAATATTATTAAGTTGTAGTTTCTTTAAACTTACTTACATTTTTGAGAACTAGCAATACAATATTCCACCTCATAGAAATAAAAAACACATTTTTTAACTTGTTGCACGTTTATGTGTTAAAATTAAAAAATATATTTAGAATTTTTATATTTTATATATTTTTAAATTAAATTTACTAGGATTTATCAAAAAACGTTTGATATAATTATAATAAAAAAGTTAACATACATATAAAACTATAAAACATATAAATATACATAGGTATGTATAAAACAATAAAATATATATTATATATTTTCTTATAATTATTTATGTTTTAAAATTAAAAAAATATAGGTATTTATTTAGAATTTTTTTATTTGGTATATTTTTAAATGAAATTTGATTGATCAAAAACCGTTTGATATAATTATAATAAACAAACATACCTATGAAACTATCTAAAAAAATGAGCCTGTTAAAATCTAAGCTCTTAATATTAAATTTACAGATCCCTCATCATTTAAATATATTATTTTATTAATAACAACTAATTAAATGTAGTTTATTAAATAAATTTTAGAACATATATTATATTAAAATTATTTCAAAATCAATTTTATTCCTTAAATATTTAAAAGGTTTAGATTTTTGTATAAAAGCTAAAAGTCAAATGAAATGTGAGTATACTCACCTGCTATTTATATTTAGTAAAGTTTAAAATTAAATATGTTAATTATATTACCAAAACCCAAACAATAATTATTACGATGAAGCATTCAAATGGACATTACTATTTTCCTTAACTGTACTATCGTACGCAAAAATACGATAATTTTGAAATTATTTCAGCATTTAATATAAATATTCCTTAAAAGAACTAAATTAACTAATAAATAAAAGTTAAATTTATTTTGTATACTTTCAGAGGGTATATATGTATATATATAACTTAAAATTGTGAATAAAAAAATATTTGTTGTAATAAATTAACTATTTTTATACTTTTATAGGGTATATATTATATACCCTCTGAAAGTATAAAAAATAGTTAATTTATTACAAAAAATATTTTTTATTCACAATGTTAAACAGAGTTTAAGTTATTTTTACGTCCTTGTATATATACAACCAGCCAAATGTGATATTCATTATTACATATTTTTTGTGTAACTACGATAATTTATTTGAAAATACGATAAATTTATGAGGTTGGTACGATAAATCAGTTTTCAAGACTTGACAACAACCACCTACTACTCACCCGTAGGAAATTTTTGAAAATGCGATAACATGGCCAAAAATGTTTCGATCGTTACATTTTTTTTTTAAATTGTAGGTAAATGTTTACTACAGGGTATTTCCATTGTAACGGGTACGACACTAAAACTGCGTTTTTTCAAGATACGTTAATATAAAAAAATAGTATAAAAAATTAGTTATTTAACTCAAACAAAATGTCAATAAAAACTTGTATAGAAAACCTTTTATAACGTCATGAATAGCGTAACGGGCGCGACCTTAGAAAATCGGCAAATGCGACCAAGTTGGCTTCTAAAGTTGATACTGTAAAATTTTGTATGAAAGCATATAGTAATAATTTTTTGTGTAAAACTTTAATAGTAACCTTAAACAAGCACGTATTTTAAATGCACAAAAATTGCATACTTTATTTTCTAAAATTTTCTCAAAATGTAACGGGTGCGACATTTAAATATTTTATCGAGCATTGAAACTCTTCCGTATTTATTCTTAATGTATTAATAATATTTTAAGTTTATAAATTACGTCGCAATTAAACTATTTGACTTCAGATATAGTGGTTATTTTGTTAAATAACACATCTGATTTTTTGTCAAGGTGGGGTAAGGTTTCGTGGAAATACCGTTCATACAAAAAAATATATAAAAAATTGTGAATTCACTCAATTTTTTTAAATTATTTTTGGTAAAAAAGGCAAAATTTTGACATTGCCACATTTTTTTTACTTCATATTTTTTTCGTTGTCACTTCTGGTTTCACCGAAAATGGTTTTAAGAAAGTAAATTAAATTATTAAAGATTTTAGAGTAAAATGGAAATTCTTAATATTTTTCCAATTTGAGATGAAAAGGCCCATAGATCAAGGGGTGTTAATTGTATTTCATAGATAATATTAGGTATACTTACCATTGATGCTGAAAGTAAAACAGCATTTAAACACGTTTCAATCGTTGCTCTGCCGGCCAATTCCGCAATTGATTTGTTGGTAAGTTTGGTAAATAAATGGCAAAAATAAATAAGGGTATCGAAAGCGTCTTTATCTGAAGAACCGGCGAATTTTAAACCCAATGCGAAACACGCTCCGGCAATAATGTTACAGTAGGCTTGACTGAAAAAACGAAAATAAAACTTGGATACTTTTACTAAAACAATGCTAAAAACGTACTTCATTGCTTCATAATCCACATCTAAAGTGGGGTTAGGTTTAACCATACAGTAAGGCCTTATGGTTGATGGTACTTGACCCTCTACCCACTCTTTAGAGGGTTCGATGTCATCCCATAGAATAAGAGCTAAAATTTAATTTAAGGTATAAACATGAATAAACCATGGCCATTTTAAAGTTATTTTATCTTAAACTATTTAAAAAATAACGAAAATAATTAATATTTTGCTATTTTTTGCAATGAGTTTAATTACACTGGTTTACAGCCCAAATGTAGATTCGATGCCAATATTTTTTTCTCGCCAAGAACGAATGAAAATCATCGAAATACGACCATTTTTGAATTGGTTACAAGTCTACACTTGTGCGAAGAAAACAAGGTCTTTACGAAAAAAATCTATGGAAAAATGACAAAGTTATGACCGTTTAAAATTCAATTTTTGTTTATTTTTGTACTTGGCGCTCGATAGAATTGTGGGAATTCAAGAATTTTCAACAATACCTTTAAAGCATACAAACTGCACATCATTTTTAAACAAATAAGTAGATTTTCACAAAAGAGAGGATATTTTATTGGCAAAGTTTCAATTGCACAGCTAAATCGCGCTATTTGTGTTTTACGTTGCAAGGAAAAAACTTTTTTAGTACTCGATTTCGATTGATTATTCCTTATATCATTGATAAAGAAACTCAACGCTTAAATGCTTACATAGTTACGTTAGTGTGTGTATTTTATCAAAGGGATCATGGTGAATTATTGTTTTTAATTGTAAATAAAATTCAAGAACTAAATCGTTGCATTTTCATGTTTTGCCAAAGGATCCAATTCGGTAAGTACATTTGTTGGTGCAGAATTAACTAATGATAACTTTACCTCATATAATTCATATTTAAGTTTGGACATTTTTAAGAAATTAGAAAAAACTAATTTTTACACAAACATAACCTTAAAACCATTTTTATATTTGAGTTCTCTAAAAAACGCCGACAACTGCATTTTAAACAACAAAATATACCTACGAATTCATGGCAACATAATATTATATATAATACATAATATAATGGTATTTACCGTTGAGTGAAGACTTTCTTAATCAACGCTTTTAATAATGCTAAATGCTGTTTAAATTTAGACGACTTATTTGTTTGACGATTTTTACTGAATTGAAATGTTTACACTTTTCACGTTAATCACTACTAAAATGTGTATTTATTGTATCTAATAGGTACAATGTATATTTACAGAGACTGTATGCAATTTATTTCTTCATTCAGATTAACACTGTTTATTGGAAAACCGGTAAAATCTCAACCCAGGATTTCCTCTCGAAATACACCCAACAACACAACAAATCGACCCACGTTTTTTTTTTCGATATTTTTTAACATTTTCCGGCTTTATTCTCAAAACATTCTTGTAACATAAGCGTCTGACAGCTGATTATTAAAAGTTATACTTTTGTTACGATGATAACAACCGAGTGGTGGCGCTACTAGCGATACTTTTTTAGAGCATAAGGCGATGTACGTTTTCTGCCATTGAGGCATTTTCATCAAAATGAAGTTCTTTTCTTTAGAATCTGATATTATTTTTGGCATAGTTATCTTTTTATATTGATATTATATAAATTGTCATTGACAAGTAAGTATTCATGTCAATTTGACAGTGTCAGAGTATTTAATTAAGGTCTTCAGCAAAAGTACCATTTTTTAAAATACTAAAAGTACTAAATCAAACTGGCATTAGCTACCAACTTAATAAAAAACACGAGTCCAAATAAAAAAAATGAACTGTATTACTAATAGTAATTTACCATAGTATAGACAGCTAATAAGTTTTTTTAATTAAAAAAAAACTATATTATACAAAGAGTTTAAAAATTAACAAAACATGAAAATTGATAAAATTCATGTTTTAATTAAAAAAAAATATTAATGAAAAATTTTAGTTATCAATAAAATTAATTAATTTCAATGTTCTTTAAAAAAATGATAAATTGCTGGATCCAGCTGGATTGATATTAAATGTTTTCGCGGTGCTAATCCAGAACTAGTTCGGACATCCTAGGCATGCGCATTTTAATATTTGTCATGCGCACTTTACATTTTGAATCCCAAATTTTAAAAAGCGCATGCCTAGGATGTCCGGAATTAGTTCGGGATTAGCTTCGCAAAAATAACCATTGATTCAGCAAAAATCCAGCTGAATTAAAAACCCAAACATTGGTATTTGTTTTATTTTTTTTACATTGCATTATTTGGTTAAATTGTTTTATTAACATGCCTCAATATATCCCTGATAATTTAAAAAAACGTCAGTAATTAATTAATAAACATCAATGTCAAAATGTATTGTACATTAATTTAATGTTAGTCAAAAAAATAAACAGAAGGTTGAATTTTTTTACTTGTACATAAACTGTCATAACTTTGTAATTTACTCATAGATTTTATGATGATTTTCGATGATTTTTATTTATTATTGGCGAAAAGGTAGTTGTGGCATTCCTATTTTTGCTCAAAAATATTTTAAATATTCGAACCCATCGTACTCAATTGATTGAGCATTAAGAGAGCGAAAAATTGGCGGAAAATTTTAACTCAAGATATAAACAATGAAAAAAAATCATATCCTTAAAACCACAATACGTAAAATGTGTGGAGCAAAAGGTGTAAAGTCTCATTTTTTTTTATTTTCCATGTTACTCTGTCGATATCACTGATATTTCAAAAAGTGGACACCCTGAAAGAGCGCAAATTTAATAGTAGTTTCATTACTTACATCTGGACAAAATCCTGAGCAGCAAAAAATCGGGACGGACAAAATCGAGCAGGTACTGCGTTTCCGGTGGCGCCATCCAATCGGCTACCGCCCTGTTGCCAGTTCCCAAGTACATCAAACCCAGGGCCATGGTCGCTCCCGGAGCGGTTACGTCCAAGTTAACGCACGAACCCTCTTTGACTTGGAACGATGGCACCTTGTACTTGTCCTTTTGCGAACCTAATGGTGTTTATCAAATTGATTTGTGTAGATTATTTATAAGCTAGGATAACCACAAATCTCAATTTTGAAGGTTCTACGATGATTACACAGCAAACGGAAAAATATAGAAGTTTATTGGATGACGCCACATTTTAATACAGTTTTCTAAACCCTTGCCACGGTATAGAGTTCCCAAGCAACAATTTATGTATTTGTTATGTATATGGAACTATTGAAGAAACTTAAAAGTGTTTTGCGACAGTCGCCGGTCTCTTTATATTACTCTTACGACTAAAGTGGGGAACAATTATTGAGTTCCAAAAAGGTAACAAATATGTCACTAGCTATAAACCCTGCTACTATTTGGAACGTACTATCGCTAACAAAAAAAACTCATACAGCTTAAAAATCTAGTGTTCCTGATTTTCTATCATTTCGTTGGAGTAATTATGGCTTTTAACATGATACGTCACATTTGAAAGGTCTAAAATTAAATACAAAGTTAGGTTGAAGTTTGAAAAAAAAATATTTCGTCATCCCTCTGTTTTTGTCAATTACTGCCCGCAAACGGCAAAGCATGGAAGTCGCCGTCTTGCTTTATCTAGTTCCAAATGGCTTCAATGGCTTGCCAGAGTTCGTCTGCATTGTTTGGTTGAAAATGTTGTTAAAAAAGTCATAATGGATGTGACAAAGCTCGATGTCAGCTTGACATTGACGGAAAAGTTTTATTCACACAGCCACAATATTATATGAGTTTTTTTTGTTAGCGATAGTAGCTGCTACGTTACTAGAACGTTTCAATATCATTGCTAGAGCGTTAAAATTACTTTTATTTATTTGTTTTTACTTCTATATTAACTGTCTTTGTCAAACTTATATTAGATTATTATAATCTAGGGATAGTATAATACTATCCCTCCTTTTTTAAATGGAACCACTACGGACTTGGCTTTTCAATGTCGTCGTTTATTAAATATGTACTGGTAGTTTATAACTTCCAGAATAACAATATAATGTTTAATTAGGCAGGTAAATTTATAAACCCCTTAAATTTTACTGTTGAACTTATGAATTTAATTTTGTAAAATAAATGCGCTTCATCAATATTTAAGTATAAACAAATTATTTATTTAATAATGTTTATAAATAAAAAAATCTTAATATGTATTATAAATTTTTTATTTCATTATTAATACCGTCTATTACCAACAAAATTACTATTTATTAAAAAGTAAACAACCATTTACAAACAATTAAAATAATTTATTATTTACATTACCACGTGGTACTGTACAGTAAAAAATGGCCGATAAGAAGCATTTTCCTTTAAAGTAGTTTTCGCTACTTTAAAGTTTTTTCCACCTTAATTTACTTTACGGTAGTTTTGGTTAGTACCATAAACGTTCCAAATACTAAAACTTTGTAGTTTTTAACTCATGTTCCAGTTTCGAGATTTTAACTTGCAAAGGGACTACAAAATATAAATAATTATAATGTAATCTTTAGGTAGCAACCGAAAGTAACTGCTACAAATTAAATTTAATTTAATTTTTTTTTTTAAGTTTTTTTTACTTAACACTTTTTTTAAAGTTGCAAAGTCTTCTTGGGGGCAATCAAGTTTTACTTAAATGTTTATTATTTTATAGTAACCATTTAAGAAAGAATGAAGTTTCTGTTACAAAATATTGCTATTTAAAACTTAGAATTACTTTTAAGTAAAAATTAAAGTAGCTGTTTAGTACCCATACTTAACTAATTTAAAGTTATCACCACTTTGGTAATGGTTTTTGGAACCAAAAATGCTGCTTGAGTTGTATTCGTCAGTCGAGCGTTTCAATACTCTCCACAGTATAGAGGTCGTAATTTGACTTTTGAACTAGTATTAACATGAAAATTATTTTATGCTTGAAAAAAAAACTATATACGACATTATTGTGATTTTTTTAATTTTATTAATTAAGTTGAATATTTTTCCCAAAGGAATAATTGCCAATGGGCCATTAATTCATTTGTTCGTAGATGCTACTATAACCTGCACTGGTGTGTACTTTTTGATCAACCAGATTTAAATATTGCTGTACTAACATATACCAGTGGAGATAGTGCAGGGTCTACCAACAGACCTCATTACTAAATTATTAAAGATTAATAGCATATCGATCGGGTTTTCAACATAACCTCTCAAATTTTTAATACAAATAGGTATAGGTACTTTATATAATACATAAATATACTTTACATCATATCCTGTGTGCTTTACATACCTGAGTTGTTACGGTAAATAAAAATCAGACAAAGGAACCAAAGAAAGGAACTGTTTTCAACAAAATCATATGCAGAAATGAGAATATTCAAAATACTTGCATCCATCAAAAGATCAAAACTTCTTGCGATATTGAATTACACCCTCTTTTTATGCTCTCAGAAATATTGACTAGAACAGTATTAGAGAGACTCCAGTTTCTATAACTTGGTAGAGTAAAGAGAAGTCGAAACCGTTGCGATATTGCATTGCGCTATTTTTTATAATTCTCGGGGACATTAACGAAAGTCGTTGCCAGTAAAATTCGAAAAGCTTCAGTTTCTATGTCTTTGAAGAGAATAAGAATCCGAAGTTTTTCAATAATTTCTAGAGACATAAATGATTGCAGCATTCGACAGGTTCGAGTTTCTACCTCTCTGTTGATCATAGAAAATCAAAATAATGTATCTTGTAAGACACCATTGAGTTTGACTTTAACTATAGTCGTGCATAGGTATATAGGCGAAAAATATAAAAACAAAGCAAGATTCAATACAGTTCTGATAAAACTTTAAGATTTAGTATTCAAATGGGGAGTCATCCTATACACTTCTATATTTTTCCGTTGCTGTGTAATTACCGAGAAATGAATTACCTATTGTAATATTTTAACTTTTCGTAAGATGCGTCATATTTTTATTTGTTTTTAAAGGTGGTATATACCACTACTTCCATAAAAAAAATCATCTTCGCTTCTTGCCTTGATTCTGGGGAAAAAATTCCTAAACAAACCAAGATGGTCCTGATCAAACATGCCAAAAAAATTAATTTGATTTTTTTTAGCAAATGCAACGATCATACAAATGAATGAATTTATGAAAAAAAACAGACAGTGCCTCAGCACGCAAAGTCAAACGACCTGCAAAAAATTTAAAAATTACAAAAAATAATTTCTCGGTAAAACCTTCAAAATCAAGAATTTCTGTTATCCCAGCCTATACAGGCTGTTTCACATTCGTAATTTATTAGAAGTTTCTGACATCAACTTTGTTATTTCAAATAGACCACTCCATATATTTTTACATTTTTAAATTCTACATAAAATTCTGAGTAAATCAATCATAGCCTATAACTTTTTTGTTATTAGGTTTGCAAATATGGGGATGGAATTTTTGGTTTCACGGAATTTGAGGAAAATCTATGTTGTGTATATAGAATTGAATACCTGTCAATGTTCTTTTGTTTCCGCCAACCATGTAGTAATGCAAAGTATCGGGCACATTTAAATCCGACAATCCTATTGGTCGACCGCCGTGTTTTAACGTGACCATACCCAAAGCCAGGCCCGCCGCCAACGAGTAGGATTCTCTATCGACGCAGTTTTCCATTTCCGGACCTGGAGGTCTTCCTACATAAAATAAAATTACATTTGCTATTTGCTAAATACACTGCGCGTCAAAATTAACGCATAATAAGTAAAAAAATGCTAACTCTAAAACGTCTTTAACAATATTTTTGAAATTTTGTATAGGAATACTTTAACTTTTATCTCAGTTTACATGTTCGAGGGTTTTTCGATAAAATATTTTTAAAGTCCTTTTATTTAATAATAAAAATAACTTTTAGGGAATTTTTTTATAAGTAAATAAAAAATATGCTATTAAAGACCGTATGTTTGTTAGTACACCCTGAAAATTTTGTACAAATCAAACGAACAGTAACAAAGATACAGCGCTTCAAAGTCGGTAAAAATGACCCCTTTTTGATTATTTTGCTGAAAAGTGGTCATTTTTGACGACTGAAGCGCTGTTTTTTTTTTCGTTACTGTTCGTTTGATTTGTACACCAAAATACGGTATTTCCCAGCATATTTTTTATTTACTTAAAAAAAATCCCTATAAGTTTTTTTCGAGCGTTTTTTTATTATTAAATAAAAGGGCTTTAAGGATATTTTTCGAAAAACCCTTGAACACGTAAGCTAAGATATAAATTAAAGTATTTTTATCCAAAATTTTATAAAGATTAGTAAAGGCGTTTTAGAATTAGAATTTTTTTTACTTATTATGCGTTAATTTTGACGCGCAGAGTAATATTAATTTACCTATTTCAGATAGGAGCACCTCTGTTATATGACGATGAGCGGTTCTCTGATACACAAGTCCTACGCCGAGCAAAGCGGCAACCTGGAGATTTTGCGGAACATCTAGTTCCATTGAAGTAGGCGGTAATAGAGCCTCTATATGGATGCTGAGCGTTTTAGTTAGGCTCATATTCGATGTGCCTCTATACGCCGCCGACAAACCTAAAAAAATGTTTTGATTTGATCGAAGAAACGGTTTATTAACTTTAATATCATTACTAAAAAGGAGAATTTCAAAACACAATAAGGTGATTATTTTTAAAATCGGCGACTCAGATACAATATTAAATATTATAAAAAGTTTTTATTAAATCTCTAGATTGGCTCAAAAATCTCTAAAACTAGTTAAACTTCACTGGATCTGGTAAATATTTTAAAATTTGAATATTTAAAAATTGGATTAGGTATTTGAATATTCCAGTATGTACTCGATATTCGAAATAATTTTCACTAGTAATACCACTAGAGGTCAAATTATTTCCGGAAATTTTTTCGAGCTCATGAATATTTTGAAAATTATCTAAAAATATTCATGAGGGAGAAAAAATTTCCGGATTTAATTTGACCTCGTGTGGTATTCGGTAAGAAAATTCCACACCAAATTGCGTTTAAATAATTAAAATTTATTTTTTGATTTAACTTGACCTCGACTTGATTATTTAGTTACCATGGCAACTAAGTCAACCCCAACCTAAAAGTTATTTCAGTTTTGAAGCTGTCAAGCGGCACGACGTAAAAAAATGTGAAATTGTCTGCTGTAATTGTTCACGAATATTTGCATCTTAACTATTCAAAACTCAAAGTGCTAAATGGAAAAAAAGGTGAATAGAATAGTGTCTAAATATTATATATATTTCATTAGACATAGACATTTAATTTATTTCAAGTCCTGGGTCATTCCACGTTACTCGGGGATTTTTGTCCCGCCCGTCACAATTAAAAATTGTGAGTAAAAACTACACGTTATAAAATTTATTTAAAAATATTGTTTTATTATGCTTTTAATAAGTTAAAAGCACAATAAAAATAATATTATAAAATATTAATTTTATAACTTGTAGTTTTTACTCACAATTTTTAATTGTGACGGGCGGGACAAAAATTACCGAGTAACGTGGAATGCCCCTCCTGCATTTTCGCCATTAAGAAGAAAGGAGGTGTCCAACGAATATAGAAAACATCGTAACTTTGTAATGGAAATGTATTAAAATTATCATGTAAACAAATAAAAACCAGATTGTCAAAAAAATATTCTGTCATTATAAACGTCAAAAAAATTTCCAGTATAATTCGCTGTTGGGTACCCACGAGGAAAAAATGTCCACTAAAATTCAACCGTTGCCATGGTGATCTATCAAAAATACACGTTTTGATTGGTTAAAAATTACAGGTGTGGAATTTTCACTTATAATACCACAAGAGCTTCAAAATTATCGGGTATTTTTCCCGATAGGTTCGTTGCAAACAAATGAAGGAGTCAAGTTTTTCAGGTTAAAAAATCACGAGCGCGAAGCGCGAGTGATTTTTCCTGAAAAACTTGACGACTTTATTTGTTTGCAGGGAACCTTGAGGGAAATGCCAGATAATTTTGAAGCTCGTGTGGTATTCGGGGGATTATTTTTCCGTCCCAAATGTCGGCCAATAGAATTGCACCATGAGACGAAATGTACAGTTAACAAATAAGAATTTCATAATGAATAAAACAACATTTAATTAAGATTTAATTTGTTTTTTATATATAGCAACTACCAGAGAAAATTTTCAAAAAATTATCGCTGTAATTCGCTGTAGGTTCCCTCAACAACAATGCCTCAACAATGTCCCAACAATACAGAGAACTGTCAAAAAAAATAATCAAACGAGTATTTGAATTTCTAAAACTAAAAAATCCCAGCACTAGTAGAAACCCACCTAGCAAAACTCCCATGCTCGTCATTTCGTGCAGCTTGGCGAGGTAATCGTAGATCCTGAGCACGTCCAGGTTCCTCAGATGGCCGTTCAAACCGAGCGCCATCAGGAACCCGGCGTGTTCCATCTCGTGGTCGGAACTTTCCTTGGGCTTGTTGAAAATGATCCAGGTGGTGTCGACGCACCGCGCCTCCAGCGATATGCGCAGGCCGTTGGCGACGCCGTTGTGGAACAACGGCCAGAGACTCATGTTGGCGGGCGTGTCGATGTGGCTGAGGTCCACGGTGGTGCCTCGAGGTGGCGCTTTTCCCGTCAAGCACAGCGGCGGGCACGGCATCGGCTCGGTGATCACAGGAGTGGAAGTGCGCATGGTAAACATGCCTCTACAAATTTAACCAAATGATTTTTTTATACCTAATATATATTTTTTTTTAGTTCAATTATAAATCCTTGTTTTTCTATATACGGGGTGTTATACTAATATTTGATTTTTTTTAAATTTTTAAAACACCCTGTGGATAAAAGTGGCAGTAATAGCAAATCCTACATTAGTAGCAATTCCGGAAAAGTCTTGGCCCAGCATGGGTCAAGATACTTTGGACAGATTTTTGCTCAAGAATTGTACAAGAATTGTTCCAGATTCTTGGCCAAGATTATTGGGCAAGACTTGAGCCAGACTGTGGCCAGAATTTGACAAGAATTTGACCAGAAATCTGAGGCCATCTATCATTCACAATAATGTATACTAGTCGAGAAGTGAGTTCTCTGTAGGAAATGAGTATAGTTTTTTTGTTTATGTGAAAATACGAATAAGAGCTTATTGGATTCGTCTTCTAGCTGAGAAAAAAATTGATTTTTTGAAAAATAAAAATTGTTATTTCTAAAAATCAAAAATAAAAAAAAAGTGTGTGTCAGCTCTGACGCATAACTAGAGTTTACTCTTTATGAACATGAAAGATTATAAAATACATGTTTATTTTTACGGGCACCTGGTTTTTTTTAACATAGAAAATTAAAAACTTAAACTCTTTCAAAATTTGTTTCGTTTTTAATTCTATTGTTTACCAGATTTATGGATAAAAACCGAATTTACTGGAAAGAAATCGTGGAAAATTAATGTTTTTAGTAACATTCTTAACTTTTGAAGTTCAACAAAATTTTGTATTGACCAAAAATCTTGAATTGAAAGTTCCTATTTAACGTGTAATCGTGTAAAAATTCTTGGCCAAGAATCTGGTCAAATTCTGGTCACAGACTTGTCCAAGTCTGCCACCAGTCTGGATAAAGAATTTTGATCTAGAGTCTTGGTCAAAAATTGTCCAATTCTTTACAAAGTGCTTCTCCAAGTATCTTGACAAAGAATCTTGTCCAATTCCATTGCTACTAGGGTAAAAAGAATTAAACTATGGCCTTATCTATCCTTACCATTCTCTTTTTTGATTCACCTTTTTATCTCTTTGATTAAAGGAGATACACATTTTAATAACACTGCATGTGTTATTTACCTTTTTATACACATTAAAGAAAACAGGCTGTTGCGTCTTGTTAAAATTATTTATATTATTATTATTATTGCTAAAGAAGTATCGGGTTTTCGCAACGCGCGCGCCATCTGGTGGACAAAAGCATTGCGTGAATTTAAGAATTGTCAACAATACATTTAAAGCATACAAACTGCACATCATTTTTAAATAAATAGGTAGTTTTTTCAGAAAATAGAGGAAGGCAGAAGTTTTACTCGACAAATTTTGTTCAATTGCACAGCTAAATCGCGCACGTTATTTGTGTTTTACGTTGCAAGGAAAAAATTAAAAAACTTTTTAAGTACTCGATTTCGATTAATTATTCCTTATATCATTGATTAAGAAACTCAACGCTTAAATGCTTATATAGTTACGTTAGTGTGTGTATTTTGTCAAAGGGATCCTGGTGAATTATTGTGTTTTTAATTGTAAATAAAATTCAAGAACTAAATCGTTGCATTTTCATGTTTTGCCAAAGGATCCAATTCGGTAAGTACATTTGTTGGTGCAGAATTAACTAATGATAACTTTACCTAATATAATTTATATTTAATTTTGGACATTTTTAAGAAATTAGTAAAAAATAATTATTGCACAAACTGAATCTTAAAATCAATCATTTTATATTTGAGTTCTTAAAAAAAATTTCATGGCAACATAGTATAATGGTATTTTACCGTTGAGTGGAATTCTCAATCAACGCTTTTAATAATGCTAAATGCTGTTTAAATTTAGACGACTTATTTCTTTGACGATTTTTACTAAATTAAAATGTTTACACTTTTCAAGTTAATTATTACTAAAATGTGTATTTATTGTATCTAATAGGTACAATTTATATTTACAGAGACTGTATGCAATTTATTTCTTCATTCAGATTAATACTGTTTATTGGAAAACCGGTAAAAACTCAACCCAGGATTTCCTCTCGAAATACACCCAACAACACAACAAATCGAGCCACGGTTTATTTTTATATTTTTTTAACATTTTTCGGCTTTATTCTCAAAAACACTCGTTTGTAACCTAAGCGTTTGATTTTATGTGTAGACATAAAATTAATTATATAATTTTATCTGTACACATAAAATTATTTCTAAATTTTTTATTTTATAGTCAAAATTTTAATTACAAAATAAAAATTCAGTGCACGCCGTTTTACTTTTTAATTGTATAAGAAATATTAAGTTAAATATTAATGTGTCACAAAAATATTGCACAAAAAAATTACATTAAGGAAATAAATAATTCAACATCTTATATAAACATTTAAAAAAAAGAATAACTTCTTTGACATGTATAATTATAATTTATGTATTATTTTGGAGATATTATTTTCCAGTGCAATTTATTTTTTAAAGTCTTAATATTTCTTATCCGTTTAAAAAGTGAAACGGCATGCCCAAGTTTAGATTGGATTAATTATATTTTAATGAGGTGATTATAAGAGCAAATCCGAAGAAATTGTTAATAACAAATGTATTTACTTTCATCGTCTCAGATAGCCGTGATCGTCTAGTGGTTAGGACCCTACGTTGTGGCCGTAGTAACCCAGGTTCGAATCCTGGTCACGGCAATGCCATCAAGCATTGTCACGGGGAGACTTTTTTATTATAATAGTTAACTTGGTTGTAATAGTATTTTTCTTACGTGGCGACGTTAAATATACAAGGGTATCTGAAATGCCTGTACAAATAGATACCACATATTCCTAAGACCGAAATAATGCGTACAACTAAATTTACCTCAAGGTTGAAAGTTAGTTTTCGATTTTAACAATTATTTAAAAAAAAAATACGTTTTTGTATAAAATTTTAAATTCGGGTTGTTTTAGGCCGCGGAAATTAAATTCTTTAAAAAAATTAATGTAGGTAGTATGCGTTTAAATGATCACATCTTTTTTTCGCCTTGGTGTATTCAGAATTTATTACAAATATTTTTTTAACTTTGACACCCTGTAGTAATTTACTACTAGTAAATAATATTTTTTACCGCCTAGTACATAAATAACCTAACCCGATTGGTTTAAATAATTTTTAAGTGCCTAGGCCATAAGTAACAAGTGTTGAGAACAAAGGAGTTTAAATTATAGACTGATTGAAGAAAAAACATTTTTTTATACTCCCACCTTTAAAACGCCCTTTATCGTACATGTTTCTATGACACTAAGTGACCTTTTAAATACACATTGACAAGTTGTGGCTTTATGGCGCTTTACTCATGGGCTGAAGTTAGCAACAGGTTTTTAGTCACGGGCTGAAGTTAGTTTTAAGTTAGTTGACAGTTGTCAAGTGTCATACAACCGTTAAAATAAATTGCCTTTCTTGTAAAATAATACTAAATGTGAAAATTATTTTATTATCTCAATACAAAAATACAAAAGTATTAAATAGTTTCTCAACGCCAATATTTGAAAAGTTGACCTTTTAATTTCGCCGGCTTAAATTCGGGCACGGACTCCACTGTTAAGTGCTCATAAAACATTTTCTTTACTTTCACTGTGAAAAACTGTAAATTTTTAAGAAATACATTTCGATTTATAACCTTTATAATTGTGTTTATAAAATATAAAAATTTGACATTTGACGGTGACAAACAGATTCCCCCATTGTTTCATAGATGGCGCTCTATACAACTTTTTGATTTAAATCATTTTAAGATAATAATAAGTATTTGTCATAGAAAAAGTATAGAATGCACCTCGTTTATAAACTTTTCTATACACTCATTAATTTAAGCACTCGCTCGCAAGCTCGCTCGTGCCTAAATTAAATTCGTGTATAAAATGGCGTTTATCAAACTAGATACATAATATACTATTTTAATGATGTTTCAAAAATAATAGCATATTATGTATCAAACGCCATTTTAGACACGACTTTAATTTAGGCACGAGCGAGCTTGCGAGCGAGTGCTTAAAATAAGTGCCTAGAAAAGTTAACAAACTTTTTCTACGACAAATACTTAATATTATCTAAAAATTATTTAAATTAAATATTTTTATAAAACCACATCTATACGAAAATAAAGTAATGTTTACCAATAAACAGTTTTGTCGTAATTTTCACCATTAACATTGCCCTTTATTATTTTAATTAAACTTAACAATTATTGATACTTTAAAATGATTATGATGTAATATATGATTATGTTAAGAAAATATTTTATCCTTTGATTTTTTAGTTAGTATAATTGCAAAATATTATCAAAAATAATTAAAAATTCTTAAACGGGAAATGTAAAAAAGTTACAGTTGTACTTATTGGAATTCCCGTTATAACTTAAATGCTTGATGCTTAAAATCGAAATTATTTTATACTTATATAACCCCCTATAGAGTGGTATGGAGTTAGTGCGCCATTTTGGGGACACCCTGTATAGATTTAATTTCTCACAAAATATAATATATTATGAAAAATATTCCTGCTTATTTAAATCCTCTAAAACAACAAAAATATATAGAAATATCGAATTATAGAAACGTTTTTTTGATAATACTACAGTTTTAAATTTTTTATATTTTTAGTAATTAAAAAATTGTACTTCTGCTGAATACCTTAATTAAACACTCTGACACTGTCAAATTGACAGTAATATTTATTATTGATAATTTAATTGTTACTTTTTCCACAGAAAAGCATAAAAATATATTTTTTAATGCTAAAAAAGTCTTCCCGTGACAATGCTTGATGGCATTGCCGTGACCAGGATTCGAACCTGGGTTACTACGGCCACAACGTAGGGTCCTAACCACTAGACGATCACGGCTACCGGAGACGATGAAAGTTTACACATTTATTATCAACAATTTCTTCGGATATGCTCTAATAATCACATCATTAAAATATAATTAATCTTATTGCAATCACTTTCTTAAACACAAATTAATTAGAATTTGAAACGTTTCTACTATTTTTATAAACTTTTTGTTTCTTGAAACATAATCACTCTCGCCTCAAAATTTTAATACACTGCCCGTCAAAATTAACGTTTAATAAGTAAAAAACTCTAAAACGCCTTTACCAATCTTTATGAAATTTTGTACAAAAATACTTATATCTCAGTTTACGTGTAATGTAAAGCTTTTATTTAATAATTAAAAAAACGTTCGAAAAATAACTTTAAGGGAATTTTTTTTAAGTAAATAAAAAATATGCTGTTAAAGACCGTATTTTTGTTAGTATACCCTGAAAATTTTGTACAAATCAAACGAACAGTAACGAAGATACAGCGCTTCAAAGTCGGTAAAAAAAATATATTTTTTTTTATTATTATGCTGAAAAGTAGTCATTTTTGACGACTTTTAAGCGCTGTATTTTCGTTACTGTTCGTTTGATTTGTACAAAATTTTCAGGGTATGCTAACAAAAATACGGTCTTTCACAACATATTTTTTATTTAATAAAATAAAATTTCCCTATAAAAGTTTGTTTTCAAGCTTTTTTATTATTAAATAAAAGGGCTTTAAGGATATTTTCTCGAAAAACCCTTGAACACGTAAACTGAGATATAAGTTAAAGTATTTTTATCCAAAAATGATTGGTAAAGGCGTTTTAGAGTCATTTTTTTACTTGTTATGCGTTAATTTTGACGCGCAGTGTATAACAATAAAAAAAATATTCCCTGTAAGTTTCAGCTCTTAATATTATTAATTACTTACCCTTGGCGTCTAAAGATATTCAATTGAAAATACTGTACCTTGGATTTTTTTATAACTTAATTTTTGTATACAATTTTTGTTTTTTGCTGTTATTTTATAAAGGACTAGAATTATGGGAAAAATTTAAATGACAAATTTATTAGAAATTAAGAGATACCTATTGAGCTTTGACTTATTTAAGATTGCACCTTCAGATGACTAGATAATTCGTTACCTTGGAGTGACAAGCTTTTAAATGCAGCTGCACCGTTTAGCGAAAGTAACTTATCTAACAGGGTAGCTGCACTACCGAATTATCTACACTGAGAAAAAAGTTTAATGCTCCCAAATAAAAAAAATATGTAAATATGGGACAAGGGAACAGTTTATTTATCCTAAATATATTTTTATTCCCGACACATAAAGTTTTACTAAAGTATATTTATCGTTATTATTTCGACTATTTAGAGGTAATAAACAATATATTCACTATTAATAAAAGTATTAGCTACACAGTTTATTTGTCCCATTTTTTTCTCAGTCTAGGGTTATAATCTGTACAAATTTCATATCACAAATAAGTGAAATCTCAATATCTCGAGAAGTTTAAATCTTAGAGATTCAGCTACTAATTCTTTATTTTTTTTTTTGGGTAAGTCTAGTCTTTTATAAAATAACAGCAAAAAAAACAAAAAATGTATACAAAAAATAGGTTAAGGGGTTCACCAATGTAAGTTACAGTTTCTCTGCAATGCTTTTGGATCGTTTAGGTCTAACAAATTTAATAAAAACAAATCCAAAAGTATGTGTATTTTCAATTGTAAATTTTAATATTCAGAGCTGAAACTTACAGGGTATTACTTTTTTTATTGTTACAACAAAATTTTGAAGAGGGAGTGAAAACAAAATACTTTGTTCGAAAAAAATTATAATTATACAGTGTGGCCCATTTGTTTGCGACTCACACGTGTAAAATCTCTTTATTGATATTGACGAAAATCTAATTGTAGAGAATTTTTTGTTTTATTGTTGTTTTAAGATTCTATTGCGTTTTTTATTTGTCAAAACTAAGCATAGGAATATTTAGTACTAGGACTCAAACATTCACAATAATTTATTTTTGTTACCCCAAACAATATTTTCGATATACTTTACAAAAGTCGATTTTTTTGGTCCAGTCTGTGCTGGTAAAAGGGTATACCCGCTAACCATAAATGTATTTCCTAAATTAATGCGAACACGTTTAAAATTGATTTTTTTGACTTATCCCCTACACAGCAAACGGAAAAATATAGAACTGTATAGGATGACTCCGCGTTTGAATACTAAATCTTAAAGTTTTATCAGAACTGTATTAAATCGTGCTTTGTTTTTATATTTTTCGGCTCTATACCTATGCCCGACTATATTTAAAGTCAAACTCAATGGTGTCTTACAAGATACATTATTTTGATTTTCTATATTCAACAGAGAGGTAGAAACTCGACCTTGTCGAATGGTGCAGTCATTTATTTCTCTAGAAATTATTGAAAAAGGGTTCAGTCCAATGGTGTGGATTCCTATTCTCTTCAGAGACATAGAAACTCAAGCTTTTCGAATTTTACTGGCAATGATTTTCGTTAATGTCCCCGAGAATTATACAAAAACAGCGCAATGCAATATCGCAACGGTTTCGACATCTCTTTACTCTACCAAGTTATAGAAACTGGAGTCTCTCTAATACTGTTCTAGTCAATATTTCTGAGAGTATAAAAAGAGGGTGTAACATTGCAAAAAGTGTTGATCTTTTGATGGATGCAAGTAGTTTGAATTTTCTCATTTCTGCATATGATTTTGTTGAAAATAGTTCCTTTCTTTGGTTCCTTTGTCTGATTTTTATTTACCGTAACAACTCAGGTATGTAAAGCACAGAGGATATGATGTAAAGTATATATATGTATTTTATAAAGTACCTATATTTGTATTAAAAATTTCAGAGGTTATGTTGAAAAAATGATCGATATGCTATTAAACTTTAATAATTTAGTAATGAGGTCTGTTGGTAGACCCTGCACTATCTCCACTGGTATATGTCAGTACAGCAATATTTAAATCTGGTTGATGAAAAAGTACACACCAGTGCAGGTTATTGTAGCATCTACGAACAAATGAATTAATGGCCCATTGGCAATTATTCCTTTAGTAAAAATATTCAACACAGCTTAATTAATTAATAAAATGAAAAAAATCACAATCATGTCGTATATAGTTTTTTTTTAAGCATAAAATAGTTTTCATATTAATACTACACCTTTTCCAGTTGATATTCAGAAAGTAGGAATTGTAATTCAGTTATTCCAGTTGATATTCAGATAGTAGGAATTGTAATTCAGCTATTCCAATTGATTTTAAGAGAGTAGCATATGTAATTCAGATAACACAATTGATTTTAAGAAAGTAGCAATTGTAATTCAGATAACACAATTGATTTTCAGAAACTTGCAATTGTAATTCAGAAAGTAGCAAATGTTTTTCAGATTAAATCAAATGTACTTCAGCCGCAGCAATTTTTTCAGGAACAGTGGGTTGCATACAGTAAATCGATGATGAATGAAGTACACGTTTTCTTTATTAACTAAGTAAATGAAATTTATATAAAGCACAAATGAACAAAATTCGGTCCTTACTTGCAATAAGTTGACAATTATGACAAATATACCTACTTAAATGGTGATAAATTTGTTTATTATTGTCAATTCCATGGAAACAAAGAAATACATTAAATTGAGATTTTAGAAAATAAGGAAAATGAAGTATGAAAATGTTATCATTTGTTAATTTCTGAATTTCAATTGACATATTCTGAATTACAATTGTTACTGTCTGAATACTATTTGTAATTTCTGAATATCAATTGCTCGTGTCTGAATATCATTTGCAATATCTGAATTACATCAGCTACTTTCTGAATATCATTTGAAATATCTGAATTACATTTGTTATTTTCTGAATTTCATTTGCAATATCTAAAAATCAATTGCTGCTTTCTGAATATCAATTGCTACTTTCTGAATATCAACTGGAAAAGGTGTAGTTCAAAAGTGAAATTACGACCTCTATACTGTGGAGAGTATTGAAACGCTCGACTGACGAATACAACTCTATACCCTGGCGAGATTTATAAAACTGTATTCAAACGTGGCGTCAGCCAATACACTTCTATATTTTTTCTAGGGATAGAACGATACCGATATTGATATCGGTATATCGGCATATCGGCAATTGTTTCCGATTATCGGTATCGTATCATATCGGCAAGATAATTGCCGATATATCGGCAAAAAAAAATTGCGCTTTTCACTCTTCAGTGCATAAATGAAATACTTTATTAAACAAAATAAAAAAATTTATTCTAAAGGTAACATTTTTACTAAAAAAGTAAAACAAATCCTAACACCACTTACAACAAATATACCTAATGTAGCAGGTACTAAATACAGGTATACTTAAAATTTAATTTCTTGATATTATAATGCAAAAACACCAACATTTCAGCCCTATCTGCATTTAGTCTATTTCTTTTAGGCTCGTAAATATTAAATATTATATTGTTTTAATGCATTTCTGCCAGAAATGCATTAAAACAAAACAAACGAATTCGATAAAAATAAAACCTATAAATTCTCAATCCCTACCACAGTGGGCGGGGTTTGGCACTTGTTTTATTTAAGTGTATCTATTCGTTTTAATACACACTGTATAAGCTGCTTCCCAGAAATCCGAAATGTCACTCACTACCAATCACAAACGTTTCCTCGCAACGGAATTAAAACGGGACTTCCCTGATTTTTCCTTCGGTCGTGTATAAATAGATGGCATTATGTTTGCCGATACGATATATCGGTATATCGGCACGTAAATATCGGTATCGGCCGATATATCGTATCGGCAAAAAAAGTGATATCGTTCTATCCCTAATTTTTTCGTTTGCTGTGCAATGCCTTTTACCCACAGAAATACCCCTCCACCGTTCGACTTACCTTCCGATCGGCAGCGCCATGGTCCTGGTGCACACGGCAAACAAATGCTTCTCCTGCTCCTCGATGAAATCGTGATCGGAGACGTCGGGACGCTGCACGAGCGCGACGCCGACGGGACGCGAGCTGCGCAGCATCTTGCGCGTCTCGCGCACGCGCAGGTCCCGCGCGAAGCGCAGCTTCAGCAGCGGCGACTCGGTGTCCTCCATGCCGTCCGGTTGCTCGGTGTCCGCCGGCGGAACGATGTACTTCAACAGGTCTTCGTCGAGCATTCGGTACTTTTCCGTTACGGTCTCGACTACCTCCTGTAACGCGGTACGACAAAATTTGATTTTTTCCCTTCCATGAAAAAATCCTATAGATTTTGCCGGTTTGACCGGAAGTGACATCAACTTTGTTATTTCAATATTTTTACATTTTTAAATTCTACTTAAAATTGACGACCTTGCTGCAAGAAGGATGCAGTTCCAATTTTTGCATAAATTAAGCTTGTGGACCCATTCTAGGCTACAAATCCAAATAACAGTTATCCCTAAACAAGCAAAATACGCAACTTGGCGATTGTAGCAAGAAAGACGTAGGTCCAGGAGCTACATCTGTCTTGCCCCAAACGAGTATCAGTGGCGGATTGTGGATTTTGGGTAGGTATACGGATATCTCAGTTAGTAGACATGGGACCCACACCAAACTTATTATTTTATAATGACATAAAATAGAAAAGTTTTGCGCAAGCAGAATTTAAATTGAAGTTTGCGAAAAAAAGTTAGTTTTTCAGCGCGCCTCACCGCTAATTAAGATTATTCAAATTAAAAATTATCGTCAAATTTCAAAATTTATTTAAAAATCTAAGAATTACAGATTTAATATCATTAAATTTTTATTATTACTTTAACTAAAATTTAAGAATATATAAACAAAAGTTACAATTACAAAAATTGAAATATGACAACGTAATGCTATTGGCAAGACCAAGAATGATTTACCTTTTTATGAAAATCTAACATTCTACCAAGCTGATGATAACGGTGGAGTCGAATGTACTGACGATGATGAAAATGAATAAATATATTCATATTACTAAAAAATATATGTAATACATCAACTGAAAAATGTTTCTAGAAAGACTTATTTTTTTATATTTTTATAAAAATTGTAATAAATAAAATTTTAGAATGTTTGTTATTTTTGAAATTAAGTTTAAATTATAATTTATTATTTATTATATTTCTCTTAAAGTAAGTACTTTTGTTAGGTAAAACTAAAAATTGCATATCCAATGAAACAAAAAATATTTTTGATTGACGCGCATTTGTCAAAAAAAATTAATAACTAGAAAACTATTTACTTTAGGTATAGGACATGGTAAAGTTATTTTACTCAGAATTTTATGTAGAATTTAAAAATGTAAAAATATATGGGGTGTTCTATTTAAAATAACAAAGTTGATGTCACTTCCGGTCAAACCAGAAGTAGCATCTTTTTCCGTTCCCCAGAAACTTTAAGTATAATTTTTGAATTATGTAAAAACATACAATATTTGAAGAAAAAAAAAATATTTATAACAAAATAGGGAATTAAAAAGGTGTAGGTATAGGTTAAAATAATAAGAATGTATAAAAAATTGAAATGACCTGATTTCTTTATTTATAAAATCTGTTAAAATTTTTCATTGCAGAAAAAACGTGTTAAACTGTGTTATATAACGAAAACTATGTCGAGGGTACTTGAAAAAGGACAACTTTGGTAATATGTTTAACAAATATTAGAAATATTACCCAACACCTAAACAAAACACAAAGACGACTTCTGGAAGGGATTTTTCGAAAACTGGACTTCAAAATTGCTTTTAGTTCAAGCAGTAACACACTTCAGACCCTTTTAAGCCTAAATTATAGATTGCCTTCCTTCCTCCCGTAAAAGATGAAAATCGTAGTGCCATTTATAGATTTCCGTACGGAACAACAGGTTTTTGTATTGTTCTTTTGCTACGGGAGGGAGGAAGGAAGGAAGGAAGGAAGGCAATCTATAAGTCAGGCTTTAGGCAACTCCAAAAATAAGGTTACTAAAATTGAAAAGTCGGGAAATAGTAGTATTTAGCAGAAGTACCATTTTTTAAATAGTAAAAATACTAAATCAAACTGGCATAAGCTACCAATTTAATAAAAAAAAATGAACTGTATATTTTTTATTTGACTGAAAAACCATATAAAATAGTTTATTTCATTAATAAAATTTTCTTGAAATTGAAAAGCAGTAACTTTTGAAAAAAGTCTAGTACCTCAAAAAAATCGCCCATTCGGTTTTAATTACCGTAAGGTTTGGGATCGATTGCTTTTAAAATAGGGCTATAATAAAAAAAAACAAAAAGTGATTTTGAAAGCAACGCTCAACTTTGCACAATGCGCATAGCAAAAGGGCACATCATATAGGTCCGCAATGGGGTACATAAAAAAAATAAAACCCGACTTCCATCGAGTTTTCCTTCTACAATCTTTGTTTCCTGGACTAAGGGGCCATAAAAATGTCAAACGTAAAAAGAGCGAACAAGTAGAGTAAAACGCACCTTTTTCAATTTGAGCGCCTGCGCGGCCAGATCCTCCCTCCACAAGAGCCTGTACGCCTCGGCCGGCCAATCGGACGGCGGGTTCTCCCTGCACATCCAGAGGGCGCTGTACAACAACAGGTAAATCCCGACCGGTAGGGTGTCGAGGTAACTTAGAGTGATGCCCATGTCTACCATGAGCAAGATGGCGAGTTCCACCGAAGACATCTCGGCGGTTTTTCTCACTCTAGTGTGACAATGCGGCGGTTCTTGGGCGTTCGGGGTTACGTCCCTTACGAAGCTGTCCAGTTGATTTTCGGCGGGTAGATTTTTATGGCGGCCAGACAGAATGCCGCACAACTAAAAAAATGTGTCTTGGTTCAAGTTGTATTTATTGGATTTTCTGTTAGAATTTCTAACTTGGGAACTTGTAAATTAAAATTTATGCGTTGAAAATAGACTAACAATCGTTATAAAAGCAGTTTTTCTCAGTAAAAGAGATGAGAATGTTTTATGGGACCAACAATATATTATGACACATTAGGGTGTTTCATTTAAAACGAACATTTTTTTTTCTTGCTGACACATAAAAATTTTGTTTATTAGGCTGAAAAAAAATTCCCTGAAAATTTAAGCCCTTAATTTTGATTCTAAGTACTTCCTTTTTAATTTTGTAGTTTTTCCATATAAAAAGCATGTATTTTTAATCATTTTTACTTTAAATTTCTATATTTTGGCCGGGTTTTGAATTATAATTTGTATCACCATAATTTCCTGTATAGTATTCACGGTTTTAAAAGGTTCTGCATCAATTTTGTTTTTGATTTATTTACGTTGATTGTAGTAGCTCCAAAAGTCGTTTTTTCACTTTTTCTCACATATTTTTGAGAAAATCGAGCGAATGACTGGTTTTACCGAAAAAGTTCAAATGAAAAAGTGGTAGGGAATTTAATTTTTGACAAAAAAGGTTTTTACGTTCATATCACTAATGTGCTTTGTTTAAGAGATATAAGCAAAAATAGGTTTTATTGAAATTTATATAAATTTATATGTACTCGTATATTTAATTTGATTCAACAACTATATATAGTTATGATAAAAAAATACCCAAAATACTTATGTTTTGTTATAAAATTAATAGTTTTTACAAAAACAACTATTTGGATATCGATAAAATGCACTATTTTCGAATATGAATTAAATAACAAATTAAAAAATATATATATTTCTTTTCCAATTTAATATACATATTTAATTAGGAATATTAATATAAAAACATATGGGGTAAAGTAGACAGTTATCGGACACTTTATAGTTATTGGACAATTAACATTAATACTGTTAAAACTACAGTTCACAATCGGTAATAATATAGAACTAATTTATTTTGGCTCCAATATAGGACAAAAAAGTTCGCACGTTACTTTGGTGGTAAGATTTTTGTTTTTTTGTTAAGAGCAGGGCTGTTTAAATTGCAATAAAAAATATTTCTAAAAAGTGTACAGATCAGTGTGTGGTATAAATGTGTTCCTCATGGTTTAAACATTGTCACTTTAATGCGTTTTAATTTTAATTATGAAAACAAACAGTAAAATGGCCAGTGGCCAATTACTGGTTGGTAAAAAATGTAAATTTATATTATTGGACATAGGTATGTCCAATATCATACTCTATTTGTATCCCGGACATTTACCCGCCAATTCTTATGTAAAATTGTCCCCTGAATCCGAAAAGACCGTCAAAAACTATAAAAGTTAAGCAGTTTTTGAGATATAGTCAATTCCATCTAATTTTATAACTTTTGACGACATTTTCGGATTCAGCGAATAATATTTCATAGGAATTGACTGCTAAATGTCCTGGATACAAATTGATTTTGACGAGAATTATTAGTGGCTGCTTTTTCGCTATGACATTTTTGACTAATTCATTTTTAGAAAGTAAGTAATATGATTTCTTCGTCACAGGACATCTTGCAGAATAACAGTGATTTAAATACAGTCCATGATAGAGAACATAAAAAACTAATGGCAACAAAATTAATAAATTCTGAAAATACTTTTAACATACCACCAGAAAAAATATTAGATATATATATATATATAAATCATCCTGTTCCGGCCTACACATTATAAATGCTTCACAAACTAGAGATACCACACTTAATGATATTTGCAACAAACTATTTCAGAAGTCAGACCAAGGAATTAGTAGTTACCTTCAGAATCCAGAAAAGGGATGAGGAATCCGAGAAAAAAATATATGAATTATATGATATTTACAAAAACGAAATAAAAAAAATTACCTAAAACAGCAATTTATCTTTAAAAAATATTTAACAATTTATTGTCCAATAACTATGGTCCATGTGTCCAATTACTATATAAAATGTCCAATTACTATACTTTTTTGCATGTTTTTATAAAACTATTATTAAAAATTCAAATATTCCTAGTTTTAGGTAAACGTAAATAAATTTTAAACAAACAAACTATTCTTTTTATATATTTATAAGAAAAAATCTAAAATCTTTCAAACAACGGCATATATAAATTTTAAATAAATAATATTCCTAAAGTGTCCAATAACTATGTGGTTTACCCTATCATAATAAGTACTATAACATAAGTATCACTTAAAGTGACTTTTTTAATGTCAATTTTATGGTAAAATGTCCTAAAAAGCGTTTTAAAATCACTTATGTAGTTCTAAAATGCATTTTTGTAATGAGATTGACTAGAAAATTTGTGAGCGTCTAATAAATTGGTCAGGGGTTGAAATTTTAATTAAATATACTATATAAAATCTTACTTGAACAATATCCCTGGATCTGATGTTGACATTCGATAGAAACGGATACTCCGGCACATCTCCATCGCCCAACAAGTTCAAAACATGTTGCATGACGCTGATTGGCTGACCATTGAACCCGGCAAAAAAGTTGACGCTTTTAAGATCGTTTTGCGAAATGACGCCGCTATTTTTGACCACTCCGTGTCCGGGGAAATCCTTCCAGTACAGCAGGGAATAATCCATCAGGCCCAAATCGTTCGACAATTTATTCAAGACCTTCATCAGAGGCAAGAGGTCGCTCGATCTGAGAGCGTTTAGTTTCAGATCTTCATACAGCAAATGCAAGGTGAAATGCACGATTCTAATGTACGGAAATAAAACCGATTTGACGTTTATCGTCACAGGTAGAGTTTCGTCTTCGCATTGCGAACCTTGCGCAAGATTGAGGTACAGTTGATTTCCTAGGTGTTGGTTTAGTTTTTGATTGTGATCCGAGTTAATCATGAAATTCCAATCGTCATCGCAACCCTCGCAATTTTGTTTTACACGCTTTATTCCGCTAGATGGGGTCACTGGCACTTCCTTTGATATTTCGCTCGGGTGGTCTTCATCATAACCGAGAAGCTCTAAATCATACAAAAACGTTTTATAAAGTTCATTTTTTTTTATCTGGAGTGCGGCAACGTTGCAAATTTAGGGTTTTGGTTGGTAAATACAGTTGTCAAGTTGGTCGCATTGATTAAAACAAACTAAGCTAGTTATAAATCTAATTGTGGTTATGTATAAATTATTGTAGGATACATTGTGCAGTTGTCAAGTTGAGTTTTCGAAATTCGTAGTTAAAAATGCAATTAATTTGGCTTTGGTGGTGCTTGGCTGGGTAAAATCATATAAAAAAAGTAGTTAAATATAGTTTGCTTTACGGCCAAGAAGAGAAAGTATTTCTAGCGGATAATAATCTACGCTTTGAAAAGAATTTATATAAAAGAAATAAAAATTTTTTGTGAACGTAAATGTTGTCAATTGTGTCAAATGTGTTGAATAAAATAACAATAATTGTAATAATTGGATGAAGTAAAAAAGACCTTACTATGGACACACATGAATTCTTTTTTTTTGTTTAAAAGTACCATATTTTCCCTTCATTTCCTCAAAAAATTAGAATTGTTCATTAATTACACAACCACAGCCATTTTTTTTTTGTTTTGATCTGGGGGTCTGACCATATTTCTTTTATGTTTTTGGGGTCGCTGAATCCGAATCCAAGGTCTATTTAACCCCATCACATCAGGATTTTGACATAACCTCAAAAAATCTATAATTTAAGCTATTAAACGCATATAACCCTAAACATTAAGTTGTTGTCTAAAAACCCAAGCTCCTAAACCCTATAAGCCTAAAACTCACTTAACTCCATAACCCCATGACCCACTTAACCCCATCATCTATTTAAACATATAATCCTTAGGATGAAATTGTGATCTGAAAACCCAAGCTATTAAACCCAATAACCATTTTAACCCCATCCCATAAACCACTTAAACCCATAACCTTGTAACCCATTTAACCCCATCAACATCAATTCCATCTCAGACATTTAGCTTTGAAGAGACTAAAGTTATGCGGTTATTAAAATAACGTACATATTAAGTTAAATATCTGACAAACGTGGTTGATGTACATTGAGTTATGAGGTTAAATATGTTATGGGGTTATGGAGTTATGTGAGTTATGAAGTTGTGATATTTAAGAGCTTTGATTTTTATATGAAAACCACATTCTCAGGGTTATATATAGTAATAGCTTATATGATGGGTTTTTTAAGGTTATGGCAAAATCCTGATGTGGTGGGGTTAAATAGACCTGGGATTCGGATTCAGCGACCCCAAAAATATATAGAAAATATGGCCAGGCCCCCAGATCAAAACACAAAATTTTTTTTGTGTTTTGATCTGGGGGTCTGACCATATTTCTTTTATGTTTTTGGGGTCGCTGAATCCGAATCCAAGGTCTATTTAATCCCATCACATTAGGATTTTGACATAACCTCAAAAAATCTATAATTTAAGCTATTAAACGCATATAACCCTAAATATTAAGTTGTTGTCTAAAAACCCAAGCTCCTAAACACTATAAGCCTAAAACTCACTTAACCCCATAACCCCATGACCCACTTAACCCCATCATCTATTTAAACATATAATCCTTAGGATGAAATTTTAACCCCATCCCATAAACCACTTAATCCCATAACCTTGTAACCCATTTAACCCCATCAACATCAATTCCAACAGTTACGTATGTCAGACATTTAGCTTTGAAGAGAATAAAGTTATGCGGTTATTAAAATAACGTACATATTAAGTTAAATATCTGACAAACGTGGTTGATGTACATTGAGTTATGAGGTTAAATGGGTTATGGGGTTATGCAGTTATGTGAGTTATAAAGTTGTGATATTTAAGAGCTTGGATTTTTATATTAAAACCACATTCTCAGGGTTATATATAGTAATAGCTTATATGATGGGTTTTTTAAGGTTATGTCAAAATCCTGATGTGATGGGGTTAAATAGACCTTGGATTCGGATTCAGCGACCCCAAAAATATATAGAAAATATGGTCAGGCCCCCAGATCAGAACACAATTATTTTTTTGTGTGGCTGCGATTATAATTATTATTACTTACAGTTTTTCATATAGGGGATTTTTGCTTTAAAACGCAATAATTTTATAAAATCATTAATAATTATTAATAATTTTATAAAATTATTGCGTTTTAAAGCAAAAATCCCCTATATGAAAAACTGTAAGTAAAAAAGACCTTAGGATACAAATACATGAATTCTTTTTTTTTTTGTTTTAACTAACTTATATCCTCTACATTTTCTTAAAAAATTATACTTTTTCATAGATTTATAGTAATTTTAAAAAATTAATACAATAAAGGCAAAAATCCTCTATCTGGAAAACTTCTTGTTGTTACAGGCAATAGAAGGAAATAAGTTAGGACATTCAAATTTGGCATACATTTTTTTTATATTTTTTAAAAACAAATGAGGGGGCGGCACGATTAAAATTTCGACATCGGTCAAATACCCTGATAGCACAGTTTATTCTAAGAATGTTTTTTAAACCTTCCAGTGGGAATATTCTTAGGATCATGCTATATTTCTTCTAGTCATTTTCTAAGAATGTTTTTTAAACCTTCCAGTGAGAATATTCTTAGGATCATGCTATATTTCTTCTAAAGATCATGCTTAAAAGAAATATAGCATAATCCTAAGAATATTCTCACTGGCCTATAGGCAGGTTCTTAGAAGGTGCAAAGTTTAGTGGTAAAAATTAATCCACTCTAAACATATGCTTAAAATGTTGAGAAAGTAATTGCTATAGAAAGTTAATTTAGGAATATTCCTGGAACATTCTGTTAAGCATATTCAGTTCAGTTAGGTACCTATATAATAGTAAAATATACCATATCTACGTATAAAGGTACCTATACTTAGTATTAAATACTAAGTAAAAAACACAACCCAAAATATTTTTTATAGTTATTTGTCAAATTAAAACAATATTCGATAACAAAAATTCTTTTACTATAGGTATCTAAATTATCCGGCTTTTACATAAAATCTCCTATTCAACTTAAATACAATGAAAAATGTTTTTTTTATGAAGAACTATTTGGTTTTTTTCTTTTATGAAGAATTATTTTATAAGGAAATATTTTGTTTTTTTATATTTTATTTTATGTTAAAAATAAATATTTATTAATTTGTATACCGATTTTTTATTTCTGAATTAACATTTTTATGTATAATAATCATAACTATCTTCAACTTCAATCTAATTTGACTTATCCCACAAAATTATCCAATTTTACTTTTTATGAAATAATGTCATACAACTTATGGTTTAGAGGTCAAATTGTTTATTTAATATTTTTAAATAAATATACTTATATTAATATGTCGCAAAATTTTTTAAGGGGACGACAAATACATTTCACTGTCATATTATGACAGTGAGGCGTATTTGTCGCCTCCTGAAGAATTTTACGAATGTAGAATCCAACATATTAGAACGTGGGTATCTGACATATTTGGAAATATTCTCAAAAGCTTCCTAGAAGCTCCATAAGAAACCTTCTAAGAACATTCCAAAAACGTATTCTTAAAATGTTCTTAGAATGCTTTTTAAGAAGGTTTTAAGAAGCTTCTAAGAATCTAATTGCATAATTAAAAGGGTATCTATTGAATGTTTTAAAAGTTAGCAATAAGGGAAGGTTCTAAGAATATTCCATTATTCCGGGTGATATCTTCTTAGAAGATTCTTAGAATCAAATTTTGCCATCAGGGTACGAACCACCTTAATGCGCACATTATTTTTGCGTAAATGACTTTCTTTCTAAATTGACAGAACTCACCGAATAGAAGCAGGGAGAACATGTTCCACTCTTGGTCGACCGTGACTTCCTGGCTGCCGAGAAGGTTTCTTGTGGCGTACCAGCGCGCCAAGAAGGTGATGGAGGCGTCGCGTTGCAAGGCCTGTCTGATGACGACGAGACAGCTTTCCACCAATGGGGAAGAGGCGAGATTAGGCAACGCTATGCGATAGTACGTGCCGTCGGAATACTTCAGAGTCAGCCGGTTCTCGATCGCGTCCGTCAAGCTGACCAACGTCGTTTTCGACGAAGGAACTGTGAAGGATTTCGTTTTTAATGTCGTTTCAATTTTTCATTAGGAACGGGGGTTTAAAATTACATGGTTGTATTGCATGGTTCTAACGAAAAATCAGTTTTATTTGACGTTCACTCTCAGTCATTTGGAACTTATACTATCTCTTGACACTCGTTTTTATTTTAAACACTCGAATATTTGAATACTTGAATATTAAAAAACTTTAAATCAGTATACGAGGTGTGTTCAGAAAATATCGGAAATTTTCGTTTTTTGAAATTTTTTTTTATTTATTCGTCTACATTAATGTTGTCGCCTTCAAAATAGTCCCCATTGGATATTATGCATGCACATGTGCCAGCTCTTCTTTCAATCCTTGAAACACTTCTAAAACTCGATCTTTGGGATAGCCTTTAGTTCTTTCAGCGATGCGCTTTTAATGTCATTTATGCTTGCAAAACGACGGCCCTTTAAGGTTCTCTTTATTTTTGCGAATAGGAAAAAGTAAGACAGAGGCATGTCTGGCGAATATGGAGGCTGGGGCATCATTACAGTATTGTTTTTGGCCAACAATTTTGTTCAACATTTAACAATTTTGGAACAAATTTTGCTGCAACGCGTTTTATACCCAAAACATTCGAAAAAATTTCATGGGATGAGCCAATCGATATAACTTCATCATCAGCGACTTCTCTGAGGTTTAAAACCATTTCTTCCACTTTTTCCATGTTTTTATCGGTTTTTAATGTGCTTGTGCGTTCGGGGCGTTCGTCATCTTCAACGTCTTGGAAACTCTTATACCACTTGTAAACTCTTGTTTTACTTATAGACTCACAAAGGCCTTTGTTTTGTTCACAGAATTTATTTCATTTATTAAGCAAAATTGGATACAAATTCTTTGATCCATTTCTTTTAACGAACGAAAAATCGCCGAGCTCATAAAACATGTCTAACCTTAGCGGCTGCCATAGACAAAGTAAACAATGAAAACAGCTAAAGTTTTTATCATACTTCGGGGGCATGTATACCAACATAATAAAGAAAATTTTATGACAACCGGACCCTCCGAACCAGCGAAATTTAACAATTCCCGTTATTTTCTGAACACACCTCATAATATGTAAAAGTGGCGCAAAAAAACTTTTTTTCGAATATGTTAATTTGTTATTTTTATTTTAAAAAATTAAGAGCTTTCATCAAAAATTACAATTTTCACGTAAATCATTACTAAAATGTGTATTTATTGTATAATAATTTATTATTTATATTTACAGGGACTATTGGGAAATCTGTAAAAACACCCAACAACAAAACAAATCGTTCCACGTTTTTTCTCTCGATATTTTTAAAATTTTCCGACCTTATTCTCAAAATCACTCGTTTGTTACATTAGACTGGGCCAAAAACATCAACAATTTTTTTTTTAAAGTATATCGAAAATATGGTTTGGGGTTATTGTGAAAGTTAGAGTTCATAATATTAATATCTATTATCGCAATTTTAATTTTTTTTCCTGAGCGAGTTTTTGTCTCAGAACTCCCTAACCATTGAGTTTAACAAAATTGACTCAGATATATTTTTTTAAGGAAATTAAATGCTCTACAAAAAAGGTTATAATGAAATTTTGCGTCAGATGAACCGTTTCCTTAAAATTATGCCTTAAAAATTGGTAGTTTTACATTTTGATCTTTTAACTTTGGAATTTTGTAATTCATGTAAAAATCAGTACCCACAAAAAAACCGATGAATATTCTTATGGGAAAAAAGTCTCCTAACATTTTTGGCTAAATTCACTCAATCAAAAGTTATTCAAGGTTAAAGTTGAAGTCGAAACGAAATTCTTGTGAATTTAGCCAAAAATGTTAGGACTTTTTTTGTGGAGCATTAAGAATATCTAACGGTTTTTTTTCGGGTACTGAATTTTACATGAATTACAAACTTCCTAAGTTAAAAGATCAAATTGTAAAACTATAGCAATTTTAAGGCATGATTGTAAGAAAACGGTTCATCTGACGGGAAATTCCAATCAAACCTTTTTCGTAGAGCATTCAATTTTCTCTAAAAAATATTCTAAAGTAAATTTTGTTAAACTCAATGGCTTGCGAGTTCTGAGACAAAAACTCGCTCAGGAAAAAAAAATCTAAAATTGCGATGATAGACCTCTTAATATTAATATTATGGATTCCAACTTTCAGCATAATTTTTTTTGTCACCCCAAACAATATTGGTGGCGCTACTAGCGATGCTTTTTTATCGAGTGATTATTAAATGCTAAAAATTAGCAGATGAAACCCTGTAATTTTAGAACTGTGTACCAACCGTCAAAATTAAATTTAATGGTAGTTCTGGGGGCAGAAGTAGGTGGCAACACTGGAGAAAATAGGTGTTCATCAAATTGCGGGTCCACCTGGCTGCAATGAGGTAACAAACTGCTACGTCTGAAATAATTAAAAAATAAAAGAGGCGGTATTTATATTATTATTCGTAAAACTGTATGATGGTTATTTTATGGTTAGAACTTTTTATGGTTAATTTTCTTTAAATTTTATCACCAACCAAAAGTTAATAATGAATTATTATTATTAATAATTTATTATTAATAATTTATTAATTAATTTTTTTAAACTTATATTAAATATACAGATAAATACATTTATAACTGACTAAACCTTATTAATAATAATATTATTGACAAAAATTATATTAAATAATATTATTGACAAAAACTTGGTTTAGAGAGAATTGCTGAAATATAAAACATGTTCTTGGTTTGCAATGTGTGGTATAAGTAAATTTGCATTAGAAGGTATAAAAAACGAAAATTACGGCTTAAAGCCTCTGAAGGGTTAAATTAAACCCAATGAAAAAAATTATGCATGCCTTATACACTTTGTTTTTTAAATAATTTATTTTCCGTTTTGGAAAGTTTTCAATTGGGAATTTATTTTCATTTTGAAAGTTTCTTTTAAGCTACCGGAAACATTCCTTGAAAACATTCCTTGGAAACTTTCCTTGTTTTTTTCATTCAAATGTCAATTGTTTAACCGCTGATTTTCGTTAAGGCCATAATACAAGGCCAAGAAACTTAATAATAATAATAATAATAAATCATTTATTGACCAAAAACAAACCAGAAAATAACAAATTTTAGTTACATTTTATTGGACAAAAGGGATATTGCTCAGATTTCCGTAAACAGAATCTGTTCTTCCGCAATTACCAAAATAAAATAAATTTAATTCTATTAAATAGTAGATGACAACATTTTCTTAATTTAACAAATTATTTTAAACAATTTTTCAAATTCAAATTTAATTATATTATTAGTAGATGACAACACTTTCTTATTTTAAAATTTTCTTTGTAACAATTTTCTAACGATTTTTTATGTATTAATAACATTTACTTTTTAATAATTCATTATACTTCTAACAATTTTTTTTTAATGTATTGATGCAAGGAGCGAACGGAAATGCTGGTATCAGTTATGTTGAACCTATTTAGAAGTTGTGGCAGATTATAGGACATGGACCTTTTGAATATTTCTTTTTTGTGGCGTGGTATATCTATTGTTTTACGTCTAATATTTATACAAAGTATATCACCACGGTATTTAATTTTTTTCGCTAAATAAACTGGTTTATTCCATTTGATTATTTTATAAAAAAAACAGCACATATGAAGCGTTCTTCTGGAGGCCATATTTAACCACCCTGCATCTTTGAGCTTGTGCGAGATATGAAATCTCCTATTAATTCCATAAATCAGTCGCAAGCAAGCATTCTGTAAGGTTTGAAGGCGTCTAACATCGGTGTTATTCAGACAGGGACCGTAAACAGTGTCACAAAAATTTGCATGACTTAGTACTAGAGTTTCACATAATAATTTTTTAGGGTTTCTATCTAGATATTGCCGATGTGGATATATTTGTTTTAACCCATAGTAACTTTTCTTAAGAAATCGCAATTGATTATCAAAGATAACACCAAGATTCCTAACTTGATCCACCACTTTAATAGGCCCACCATCCAACTTAATACGAAGCCGAGCCTTTACCACCCCTTTAATATTTTCTTTTGCAAATATGATTACTGAGGATTTATCAGGGTTTATCCGCAACAGATGATCATGAGATTTATGAAGTAATATTTCTAGATCTTTATTTATTAATTCACGTGCATCATCTATCTTAGATAATTTAAAAGAATGGTACACTTGCGTATCATCTGCATATGTGTGGTATTGGCACGTTCGAAAACTATCGTAAAAGCCGGAGGTGTAAACCGTATAAAGCAGAGGACCTAAAATGCTGCCCTGTGGAACCCCATTAAGTGATAAGAAAGGCTCAGATAGGACATCTTCAATTTTAACCCACTGCACCCTGTCTTTTAAAAAGGATCCAATAAACTCTATTGAAGATTCGTGAAGCCCTATATAATGCATAATTGTCAACAATATTTCATGGTTAATCATATCAAAGGCCTTAGAATAATCAATCAATACCAAAACACTAACTTTACTATCATCAAATCCTTTTAAAAGATCATCAGTAATACAAGACAGAGCCGTAGCACAACTATATTGAGGCCGAAAGCCAGATTGCCTTTCCGGTAAAATATTATAGTTCTCTAAAAAAGCTCTGAGTTGCATTTCCATAACTTTCTCTAGAACTTTAGATAGTATCGGAAGAATGCTAATAGACCGAAATTCATTCAAAGATGCAGGTTGGCTATTTTTAGGCAGTGGTATTAACAGAGCCTCCTTCCATGCCTTGGGGAAGTATGAATATTGAATTCAACAATTTATCATATGTGTTATAACAGGTAATATTATTGGGCAACACATTAATATCAAAGTTATGTTCAATTTGTCCACTCCAAAGGCTGTTGTCTTAATAGAAAACAATAATTTATTGATTTCCTCTTCACTAGTCAAATTGAATTTAAATAGTTCAGCAAAATCAAATTTAGTGTGTTCCTGATAAAATTTCAGAACCTCTTGTCTTGGATGAGATGGAACTTGCATTTGAGCAAAATGATTTTTAAATATTTCTACGTTTTTCAGAGGCTCTGGAATCTTAGCAGGTTTTTTTGAGCCAATATTTAGTCTATTTAGCTCCCGCCAACGTTCGCGTACATTTGAGTTTTCGAATTTGTGTTTTAAGTAAGCTCTCTTTTTGTTATTAATAGCTGTTGTTGTAAAATTTCTCAACAGTTTGTAATAATTCCAGTGCCCAGGGTTTTTCGATGTTTTAAATTTACTTAAAGCTTTATCACGTAACTTTTGCATTAACTTTATATTATCAGTTATAAAAATAAGAATTTAATTTGTGTTAATTTAAAGCAGAAGAAGAAGTATAAATAATGTAAGTTATGTTACATAACCTCAATGAAGCCGGATTATTCAGCATCAACACAAAAAACTTTTTTAAAAAAATAAACAAATTTAAAATCATTCTTACATTTTTGTTGTTTATTTATAGGCATAACACAATGCCAAGAGAAAAATCTAGTGTTTGGAATTATTACAAAATAGTGCAAAAAAACAAAAAAAGAACATGCTCTCAAGCAAGTTCTGTAAGAAAATCTATGTCGTTAATGCAACCAAAAATTTGACAAAAAGTTAATGTGTTATATATTTTTGCAAATCCCTGGCATAAAAAAAATATTTTCGCAATAAAAATTTTTTTTTTGAAATTTCGGGAATTTTCGATGGAAAGTTTCCGGGAATTTTCGTCAAATGGGAATTTTCCCATCTCTAATAATTTATATTGAAAAATATAGGTAAACAAATTTTAAAAACTGTTGCAGATCTACACTCACGTGCAAAATAATCGATCCACACAAATTTTCGATGAATTTCAATCGCAAATAACTTTTTTATTTGATGTAGGATTTTAACGAATATTAAAGAATATTGTAGATAAATTAATGGACAATCGCTCACATTTTAAAAAAATACTAAAAAATAGACGTACGTTCATAATATACAGGTTTAAACAAAAAGATGTTTTTTTACCATAAGTTTAAGACACTCTGTAGAGTGGCAAAACCGTATATTGTTCTAAATTAAGTTTTATTTATCAAGTCACATCTATTCTTAACAGTTTTGTTTTTGGTTCACCTCGATATATTTATTTTTGTGGAAAATATGGATTTTTTTAAAAAAACATTGCAATTTCCAATATTTTTCTGTATGAAGAACTAAGGTTGCATGGTCCATCCATAGGCTATTGAGAATGACAGTGACAGTTTTGTTGAATCATCCCATACTTGGACATGTCATACACGGCTTTCAAAAGCTATCAAATTGTTTTTTGCAAATAATGTTTAAATTTTGAGGTGTCTTCTTACTTTAAAAAATGGATATGTCTCCCACTGATGTTGCCAGAGCCATTACCCTGCTGAAAATCCCGCATAAAAACTTATAAAAAAAAACTTATAAAAACTTATAAAAGTTGATGAGATTTTATAGGGCCTATGAAACAGCAATTTCTGATACAAACTTTTCAAATTCTATAGGTTTTTAAGAGAAACTACTTTTCAACTCTGGTCAATACTAATTAAACTTTATGAGTATTTACGCATCAAGGTATATAATATTTTATGAGTATTTATGAGTTTTTAAGAGAAATTACTTTTCAACTCTGGTCAAAACTTATTAAACTATCAGTATTTACGCATCAAGTTATATAATATTTTATGAGTATTTATGAGTTTTTAAGAGACATTACTTTTTAACTCTAGTCAGTAGAATAGTAGTTATAATATTAAATATAATATACATATTTTATGAGTATGTATACGTTTTTAAGAGACACTACCCAGCTGACAGTATGACGTTCTTTTAACGTATTTATTTCGTCACCCATTACGTCGTTTTGACCTGTTGGATGACGTCGAATCGATCAAAATATTACGTGAAGTAGTAAATTGTGGGGGTTCGCGGCTTTGGCCTTGCAAAGCAGGCACTGTTTAAGCAGAGGACCACGGAAATTCCATGACGATCTAGACGGAACAATCCTGGCTCCAACAAAGAATTTCAGTGAAAAAGCTAAATTGTCGTAGGCCACAATTCGTGACTCGTTTATTTGCCGAGGTTCGTATTCCTAAATCTTAAATTGCAATGCAGCCAGTGTCAACTTATATACTTAACGAATAGTGCCACATAAGCGAGATGTATTATGCAATAATGGTTGCCCATGATAAGTAGATTTCTACTATATTATAGTAGATGCCTACTTATCATAGGCAACCTTACTCTGGTCAATACTAATTAAACTTTATGAGTATTTACGCATCAAGGTATATAATATTTTATGAGTATTTATGAGTTTTTAAGAGAAATTACTTTTCAACTCTGGTCGAAACTTATTAAACTATCAGTATTTACGCATCAAGTTATATAATATTTTATGAGTATTTATGAGTTTTTAAGAGACATTACTTTTTAACTCTAGTCAGTAGAATAGTAGTTATAATATTAAATATAATATACATATTTTATGAGTATGTATACGTTTTTAAGAGACACTATATATGGTGTCTTACTTTTAAGCTCTAGTGAAAACTTATTAAACTTTATCAGTAGGTATTTACCGATCATGTTATATAATATTTTATGAGAATTAAAAAAGTTTTAATAAGACACTATATAATCATAAAACTTTATAATCACTTATCCGATAAATACTCGTACGCAGCTGTTACGTGTAAGAGTGTTACACTGTAACTCCAATAGAATATTGATAACATAATGCGTAAATACGCATTATACGCGTATACGCATCATGTTATCAATATTTTATAGGTGTTACATGTAACAGCTGGGTATTATTATTTATTGGATAAGTGAATGAAGGGTATATATTATGTTTTATAAAAGTTGGATGTAAAAAACCAATAAAAACCGATAAAATTAATTTCTTATAAATACTTGTGGCTTCTTATAGACATATAATAGGTAAGGCCTTATACAAACCAATAAACTTACATCCCTTATATAGTCTCATAAACACTCATAAACAATGATCAAATCGGGACCATACTGAAACTGATAAAAGCCATGTGCACATAAAATCTTATAAGTACTGTACCACATAAAGTCTTATAAAAACTTATATAGATGTAAAAAAACAATAAAATCCGATAAAATTATTTTCTTATAATTACTTATACCTTTTTATAGACATATAATAGGTAAGGCCTTATACAAACCAATAAACTTACATCCCTCATAGAGTCTCATAAACACTCATAAACAATGATCAAATAGGGACCATACTGAAACTGATAAAAGCCATGTGCACATAAAGTCTTATAAGTACTCTTTAACATTTTAGCTGGAATTCCTTATAGACATTTGCACCTACCATATAAAGTCTTATAAAAACTTATAAAAGTTAGATATAAAAAAACAATAAAATCCGATAAAATTCATTTCGCATATATGCTTATAGCTTCTTATAGACATTTAATAGTTAAGGCCTTATACAAACCAATAAACTTACATCCCTCATAGAGTCACATAAAATCTCATAAAAAATTATCAAATAGGAACCACATTAAAACTGATAAAAGTCTTGTGCACATAAAATCTTATAAATTCACTTCAAAATTTTAGTTGGAATTTCTTATAGAAATTTGTACCTCGTAAAGTCTTATAAAAACTAATAAAAGTTTTATAAGTCACGGCTCATAAAACTATTTCTTATAAAAACTGATAGAATTCTGATAAAACCCTTATGAGCAATTAGACAAAACCTTATAGAAACTAAGAAACCGCATACATCCTTATTAAATATTATAGAACTTTTATAAGTTTTTATGCGGGTTTTTCAACAGGGTAATGTAATCCAGGATGGACGGTCACAGTATAACTTGGCAAGTGTTTTAAACGTCACAAGAAGTAAAGTACAAAGGGCAACATCAGTCAGAGACATTTTTAAAAGTAAGAAGACACCTCAACACATTAATTTACAAAAAACGATTTGATAGCTTTTGAAAGCTATATATGACATGTCCAAGTATGGGATGATTTAACAAAACTGTCACTGTCATTCTCCATAGGCTATGGATGGACCATAGCAACCTTAGTTCTTCATACAGGAAAAATATTGGAAATTGCAATGTTTTTTAAAAAAATCCATATTTTCCACAAAAATAAATATATCGAGGTGAACCAAAAACAAAACTGTTAAGATGTGACTTGATAAATAAAACTTAATTTAGAACAATATACGGTTTTGCCACTCTACAGAGTGTCTTAAACTTATGGTAAAAAAACATCTTTTTGTTTAAACCTGTATATTATGAACGTACGTCTATTTTTTAGTATTTTTTTAAAATGTGAGCGATTGTCCATTAATTTATCTACAATATTCTTTAATATTTGTTTAAATCCGATATCAAATAAAAGTTATTTGCGATTGAAATTCATCGAAAATTCGTGTGGATCGATTATTTTGCACGTGAGTGTATTTACAAACAAAAATACTGACTATTTTTATACTATAAGTCGTTAACGATTTTATCACCCAATTTACATTTTAGATGATTTTATTATCCTAAAAACAAATCCAGTAAACCATGACTTACATTAGCGAAATTATTTTCTATGGTTAAAAGCAAATGTCAGAAATATCAAATAAATCTTGATGTTAAATGTCATTGTTTTATGTCTAATTTAAAATGTATAGAAATCGACTTTTTAAGGGAAAATATAAACGTTGAAAGATAATTACCCAATTTATTTTATAAAACAACAGTTTTTAAAGAAAATTACGTTGCCATGTCGATATGCTTAATCAGTTGATATAAATAAATCAAGGTTTTTGCATACGGCCCTTGGACTATTGAAATATTATTTAAGTATTTACTAGAAGTAGTAAGTTTTCCATAATTTTCGTTAAAAACCTTATTTACGGAAAATTTAATTACAATGATTGTTCTTACTTTGGAAATTGGTCGAGGTTCTTCCTTATATAGGGCGAAGGAGTGTGTTCCACCAAAGTTCCTCCCAAATGTAGTTTACCTACTGCTGTTAGGCCGGAATATAACGTAACGTTGCCGGTGTGTTCCAAAATGGCCAGCATGTGTAAATGCTTGAAATAAAATTAAATAAATTTTCGACACAAAAATTAGATTTTGATACCATACCGGAATCGGAACCGCATCCTTCGCACTAATACTGGTCAACATGCCAAATGACATTTGCGAAGAATTCGAGGTGAAGTCCACCTTAACGATGGACAGTTGGTAACGCGCTAATAATATGTAGCAAAGGTACCACTGACCAGTGTAATCCTCGCTAAAGAACACCTTAGTGGCCGGACCTGCGAGCGCCCCATCCCTAAGCGACAAAAAAAAAATTTCAAAGCCGGACATGTTAAATTTTTTCTGACCTATACTTTTTATGGTTTTATTCAAGGCGTTTTGTAATTTTAAACATTTCTGTGAAATCGGAATTTCAATTGAGTTTACCGTTTTCGAGATATTTACAAAAAAAATCTCCTAATTACGTCACTAGGCTATTGACAACGTTGCCAGCTTTTTCTATGGTTGCCAGTGTGTTTAGTTTAAGATTCTTACGATAGATGGCGCCACGTTATAATATTTTAGTTTTAAAACCACTTGATCTATAATTTTAGTTGAGAAGAAGAAGAAGAATTGATTTTTTGACGTTTATTTTTTTCGGGTTATGTTTTTTTTTAAATTTAGATTATTGAAAATCAATGTTATTGTTATGTTATTTGTAATTGATATTAGATAAGTGATTCCAAAGCAGAGGAATCTTGTGGAATGGTTGGTTACATTGAACATTGGAGCTTTTAAACAAATAAAGTAAGTACCTATAATTATAATCATATTTTGTCGTAAATGCATTTTATTAGTATAATGCCTAGTTCTTTATATTCTTTTAGATATATCTTGGACTCTAAAATATCAAACAGTAATATGATACCTCGTAATAAGGAAGATAGGTACTTAATGAATTTGGTGACCATCTTTTACTCAACTGACAGTGACAGTATTTGTACATAACCTCTTCGGGTATTTTCTGACATAACCGAATGAAATCATTAACAAGACAACTTGACAACAGGGTAATTTTCAACCAATAGAAATCTTAGAATGTTGGTCACATGGCGAGGTTTGTGACGTCATAAAAATTTATATTTTTTGTAAATATCTCGAAAACGGTAAACTCAATTGAAATTCTGATTTCACAGAAATGTTTAATATTACAAAACGCCTTGAATAAAACCATAAAAAGTATAGGTCAGAAAAAATTTAACTACCCCATTGTGGAGAAATAAGCGGTCAAATGTACTGAGCTTTGCCGGGAAGCAAAACGCCAATAGAATGGGGTTCTATCGGTTATTAGACAATAAGAGCACGGCATCCCCCGCGCACTAGATTGCTTATTGAGCTCTGATAGAAACCAGGGCTGGATGCTCCCGTGTACGAGTTTTGGTTCGTGCCGCGCATGACGTCACTTGATGAGTAGTTGCCGTGCGAATACACGAATAATAGTAATATTATCAAAGAAAATAGGAAAATATCTGGACAAAGTGCGTTTTTATTAAACATAATATTGAAGAAAGTGTTATAATATGGATAATAGAGGCTTTCAGTCCTTGATAACATTTAGGGCTGTAGTTTAAGCGTTGGAGTTTTAAATTAAATTTATAGTCACTGTCCAGAAAATGTTTATAGAAAACAGAACCGGTCTTAACGTTAATATTGTCTATTTTTTTGTGGCATTTAACCACTGTTTGCACAAATCAAAGTTTTTCGGCAATCGATGAAATTTAATGTTTTTATTTAAAGGGTTTTTCTTGGACTGGTTGTCCGAATTGCATCCAAATATGCCACACCGCATTTTAATAAATGCAAATGGCACGACACAAACTAAAACACAAACAAAACTACTTAACGCAACACAAAAACAATAATAAACAAACAGAACAGGTTAACACAACGCAATAACAATAATTTGAACACTGAAAAGTAGTTCGAACCTTACCGAACGCAAAAACAAAAAGTTAAACAAAAAAATGGAGCAAGTTAACATCCAACAGCATCGCAAAAACAAGAATTTTAGCAGCAGATACTTAATTAAAACGCACGTTAAAGATTTAAAAACACTCATCAAGTGACGTATTTAAGCCCCGCCCAACATGCGCACCATCCTATCTTAAGGTGTATGTATCTTGGATAGAAACCACCTTAAAAATAATAGCCATCAAGAAAATAAAGTATATTCTTGCGCATATGTTTCCACCACTCCATCAGTATTTATTAATTACATTATTATTATCAGTATGTAATTTTGCCGCGCAGTGTATATATATATACAGGGTGTTTCATAATATATGCGCAGGACTTCAGGATGTGATAGCTCATCCAAAAAGATGAAAAAAGTCGCTATTAACTTACCCTCTAAAATGCACAATTTTCGAGATACAGGGTGTTGACATTTTAGGAAAAAAATCGTTTTTTTCGATTATCTCTGAAACCGTTTGTCGTACAAAAAACAGCTTTTGTAAGCATTTTCTACTCATAATAAGCTATGTTTTGTGCCAGAAAAAATTTTTTTTACTCATAATTGGTGGAGATTTTGAAGGGGTAGCGGGTGTTTTTCTCCTCAACTTCAACGCCCCTGAAAAAAGTACGGTTTTGAGAGGCCCATTCGAACCGCCAATGTTTTCTACACAAAAAAGGTACTCTTGGTCATAAGCTCTAAAGTTGACCGTTTTCGAGAAAAATCAACTTTTATATTTAAAAACATGTTCAATTTTTTGAAAAAAAAATTTTATTACCAATTAAACAAAATTTATTTTAACGTTAGAAAAAGTAACAAAACCAAACGATAATTGCAAAATTAAAAAAAAAATAAAAATGATTTTTTACACAAATGCTGAAATGTTCGAAATGTGTTACCTTTACGGTTTGGAGAATTTAGCAAAGACAACTTTTGAATCATTTTTTATTTTGCAATTATGGTTTGGTTTTGTTACTTGTTCTAACGTTAAAATAAATTTTGTTTAATTAGTAAAAAAAAATTATTTTTTTTTAAATTGACTATGTTTTTAAACATAAAAGTTGATTTTTCTCGAAAACGGTCAACTTTAGAGCTTATGACCAAGAGTACCTTTTTTGTGTGGAAAACTTTGGCGGTTCGAATAGGCCTCTCAAAACCGTACATTTTTCAGGGGCGTAGAAGTTGAGGGGAAAACACCCGCTACCCCTTCAAAATCCCCACCAATTATGAGTAAAAAAAAATTTTTTTCTGGCACAAAACATATCTTATTTTGAGTAGAAAATGCTTACAAAAGCTGTTTTTTATACGATAAACAGTTCCGGAGATATTCGAAAAAAAGTTGTTTTTTTTCTAAAATTTCAACACCCTGTATCTCGAAAATTGTGCATTTTAGAGGGTAAGTTAATAGCGACTTTTTTTATCTTTTTGGATGAGCTATCACATCCTGAAGTCCTGCGCATATATTATGAAACACCCTGTATATATATTAAAATATAATTTTTATATAAGTTGATACAATTCGAAAATAGTATATTAAAGAAAAAATTTCATAAGACGTCATTTTGTCGCACGCGGACAATTTATAAAACGAGCGACGAAGGAGCGAGTTTTGTAATCGACGAGTGCGACAAAAGGTTTTATGACATGAATTCTTTATGCTATTTTATTTATTTTGCAAAAATTCTATAAAAAAATTTAATTGTATACTTTTTTTTTAATTTGGTCGAATTTTGCTTTAGATAGTTGGTATCACAGTCATTGGTTTGACAGTTTATGTCAAAATCGATTCGCCATACCGTCCTTAATTTACTTATTTACAATAAAAGGCTGTTAATGTTAAAGAAGAAAAAAAGGATTTTCTTTGGTGTTAATAAAAATTTATTGCCAGAAAAGTCTCGCGTATTAGAAAAATCATAAAAATATTTTAACCAATATGCAAAATATTACGCTGTATAGCCAACCTATAAAATCAAAATTTTGGGTGGCATAAAGTATCTCATTACAGCACCGAAAGTGGTGTTATAATGCAAAGTTCGATATAAAAATGTTTTAGTTTAAAAAATCCCCGAGCGATGGCGCTACCTCTTCATGAATTTTGTTTTTGTATGTATAGTTACTTTAAATACCTATATATCATTAATAATATCGATGAACCACCGTAATTACGGCCGTATAATTAACAAATTAACCGCCGTTATCTAAAAAATACGTGTGCAAATGCAAATGATGATTTTTTCAATTTGAATACTTTATTAATGCAACACACCAAAAATCAAGAACAGGTAGCGCCATCACTCAGGGACTTTTTAAACTAAAATTTTTTTTATATCGAACTATACATGGTGCTAAATTCAATATATATATTTAAGTATATATTTTCAAATCGTATCCAACTTATATAAAACTTGAAATTTTAATATACATAGGTATTATACATGTATATATATATATGCAAAATTGAAGTAAATTTTACTTATACATATATTGTTTTCTCTGCAAAACCTTTTATGTATCAAATGTGAAATAATTATGGAACATATGGCGCCTCATAAAAAACAATATATTTTATTTGATTGAAAAACCATATAAAATAGGTTTTTTTTCATTAATATTTTCTTGAAATGTTAATTTTGTGACTGATCTTCAAATTATTCGACTATTTAATCTAAAAATCGAATAATTTCGTCCTACTGAAGAACATAACTTGTTTTCTTGTATCAGAGAAACCACATTATAAAGAAAGTAAAATCGCAAATTTCAAAACTCTGGGTAAACCGCAAGAAAATAAAAACTGCAAAAACTATTGTACTTACTGGGTGGAATAGTTGTCGGTCCACAAATAATCTAGACAAATCGTCGGGTTTGAACGTAAATGCGACATGGTTTTCGACGAGTCGAAAAACGAATTATTGTTCGGCAAAATTTGACATTTTTCCAATAGTGCACTAGTGCTTATTCGCGACCTTTGCGGCATCCAGGGGCTTCCCACAGAAGACGCAGCTGGCGACTGACACCGACTAAAAAGTTTAATTTAGAATGAGACTCATATCATAAAATTTTGTCCCATATTTTACTGTTTTTTTTATTTTGGAATATTTAGTGCTAGGATGTTACAAAACAAATTAACTATGGGCTAAAAACTAAGTAAAATATGTGTAATACTTAATATTTATGTGTCCTTGAATTACCTTATGGTAGCCATAGAACTGAGTGATCTAGACTGAGGACAAGGGCTGCTTGGTTTAGTACTGCTTGGACTAGAGAGTATATTTTGGCTATTGACAATGTCCCACATTGAATATCTATGTTTTAATTGCTAAAATATAAAATAAGCATATCATTTTTGCCCTTTCATTTAATATTTTTCCAAATTATTTCTCTACAGATAGTTTTTGATTTAAAAGAGCAAAAATTAAACTTTTGAAAGTTTTTTAAGACAATAAAAAGAAAACAATATTTTTTTGACGTTTATTTTAGTTAATTATATTAATTTAATTTTGAATTATAAATCATTACTAATCTGAGAACAAAATATTCTTAAATTTTTCCTGCTTATTTAAAAACTTGAAAAATACACTGCGCGTCAAAATTAACGCATAATCATATATTATATCATGAGAACTATGAATTAAATCGGTTAAACTAGGCTCAGTACACTGAAAGAAAAAGGCTGTTAATAGTTAACTCTTGATTAGTTTTGGGTAATTTACTGATATTTAGCTCACGATTTTTTGTTTACAAGCATAGGTATTAATATTCATAGATGCTAATTTCGGAGAAAATAATGAACAATTTTAAAATTAAATGACCCTATGTTTGAAGATTTTATTTTAATATAAACAAACTGCTTTAATTATTAAATTACTTTATTATATTTTATCTAATCTGTAACATACTCATAATTGTTAGCGAAAGGTATTTTACCAGTCACCGGGGTGTTAGTTAATTAGGAAGCAATGGAAAGAATTATAGCAAAATAATCATTTTCTAATAGTTAAATTCTATATTTAAGTATTAACTCGTGAGTTAATAATTAACTTTCGCAGTGTAAATACTTATTTATTGTTTATTATGGCGCGCGCATCCCCCCTCTTCCCAAACTAACTCCACTGTGCGTTTGCCTGTGATACATGCTGATGGATGATGCATCGATAGTTTTTGGTTAAAAGTTACCTAATAAGTGAATAAGTGATTTTAAAACGTGATCTTATATAATACATATTATTATATTAAATTATAAGCTTTATTTATAATGACCGAAGAAGAGGACTGCACAAAATTTCTGGAATGTTGTGGCTTAGGTCATCTTGCCGCCAAATTCGAAGGTACGTAATATTAATATATATTTTCCCCCCTTTACCACTGGTAACCAGGCAGATTAATAAATCTGTTGTAGTTTCTATAATAATAATAAAGCAATATCGGCTTTAACATTGCCTTCTTTAATAATTAGAGAAGGCAATGCCTTAACAGAGTATTAGCAGCCATTTCTTGTCGTCGTAAGTAAGAATTGACTGTGATTTAATATTTACGAATCGGGCAAACGAGTGTAAATTTAAATGACGTAAGTTAAATATAAACTAAACCCTTAATAGGGAGCTAGCCAGAAAAGTATATTTCTTCAGTTTTAAATTTACTCTTTTGTAACAAACATCTGTGTTTTATGGAAAAGCATTAAAACTTTAATAAATTCTTTATCATAAACTAATTTGTACTAAACAATTTGTCTTTTAGATGCAGAGGAAGCCATTTCAATGAAAGTATTGTGCACACTAACACCGGAGAATTTTAAGGAGCTAGTTCCAAAATTAGGAGAGAGATGTATCCTTATTAACCAAATATCATATATGATCATACGTACACATTACCCGAACGAATTCGTTTGCAACTGTTCTTTCGCCTTTTAGAATAATATTTAGTTTTTATGAAGTTACAGAATGTGCAATGTTTTTTTATATTTTTATAAAATATTTAAATAAATCAATATTATTTACATTAACTGTTTTATTGCCAACATTTGATAAGTTAATATTAAAATTGCATTAGTTTATAATTAAGTCAACACCAGAACTACCATAGATTTAAGAATCTAATATTAATAGAAAGTAAGTGATATAAAGATTTATAAGATTTCTATTAAAACTAAACACTAATTCATAAGTTGTTATTAAGCGCCGCTAGATTTATATTACCAAGTTATTAGTTAACATTTAACTCAATAAAACTACACACTAATACATAAGTTGTTATTAAGCGCCGCTAGTTAACAATTACTACAACCACGGTTAAGATTAATATCGTGCATTTAATAATTACCTACGATTTAGTGCAACAGTTAAATGATTTAGTTTAAAAATAATACATGATGAATTAGAATTTCTCCAACGAACCATATTTTAGAATCAAACTCACATTATGTGCGCCCTATTCTAAGTTGTAGCTCGTTAAAAATTAACCAGTTACTTTAACAGTTAACGACCATTTTTCTCAGTGTAGTTTTTTGTTTGGTTTTTGTGGGAAAATGTTGAATGCAAAATAATTTAATAAAATTTTTATTTTTAATTATTTTCCATGAAACTATTTTCCAAAAAGAAAAATCAAATAAAAAACTTACTGAGCATAGTTTGACAGATTAAATTTATAGGTTGAGTGATATACGTCTAGATTATTTCTCGAATTAAAGGAAACTATTTGACAATTCATAAAATCTGACGTATGTGTCAAAATTTATAAATATTTTTTTAAAGAAAATTCCAATAATTTAAGGTATGTAATAAGTAATAATTGATATTTCGTAAACTAGATAACTTATAAAATCGTAAACAAAAATCCAATATGGAGGCTAAAATTTAATCGCTGTTAAATAGTTCTAGTGATTTATTCGCTTATTTAAAAAAAATTTATTCGAAAATTCAAGGCTTTTGATTGGTTCATATTATAATGAGGGAAATAATCAGTAAAAAAACACTTTTCAGCAAAATAATCAAAAAGGGGTCGTTTTTACCGACTTTGAAGCGCTGTATCTTCGTTACTGTTCGTTTGATTTGTACAAAATTTCAGGGTATACTAACAAAAATACGGTATTTAACAGCATATTTTTTATTTACTTAAAAAAAATCCCTAAAAGTTTTTCGAACGTTTTTTAATATTAAATAAAAGGGCTTTAAAAATATTTTTTTGAAAAACCCTTGAAGTATTTTTATACAAAATTTCATAAAGATTGGGAAAGGCGTTTTAGAGTTAGAATTTTTTTACTTATTATGCGTTAATTTTGATTCGCAGTGTATTTAACTGTTTATAAGAAAATAATTTTTTTTAAATGGATTTTTAAAAAATCGATTTGATTTTTTTTACTTCCTGTTACTATTATTTTTATCAATAAAAAAATAATTTCTCAGAAAAATTTAAAATACAAATAAAGTAAATTTTACAGAAAGGTTTCAAGTAATATTATTTTATGAAGAAATACATTTTGATCATACCTTACTGGATGTGGTTAAATTTCTGGAATGACTCATGCTGGAGGCTTTATCGGAAAAGTTTTTCTCCTCAGGTTTGAGGTGTCTTATCCTAAAAACGCTGTGTTGCCTAGTGGTGCTATCATAAATCATGCAAATGCTAGGTTTATCACATGTAAATACCACAGTCCAGTTGGGGTTATTTAAAATTTGCATGAGGCAGTTTTGATGCAATGTAACTTGACAAACATCATCTAAAGGGTAGGCTAGTGAATACAAATTTGCCTGGTTATCAAACTGGGTTTCTTTTGTGGTATTGAATGGTGTTTTTTCAACCAACAAACCAAACCTTGTAGTCCAGACTTTGTTTATTTTAAAGGGCACCGTAATAACAAAATCTTCCCCTTTTTCCGTGAAAATTCTTATGTTATGTTCATCTATGATGCAAATTGATGGTACAGGAATCCCACTAGGTTCATCAATTTTCATATAACGTTCTTCTAAATTTGTATCGTATATAGGACGTTCACAATAAAAGGTGCACCATAGAGCTTGTTTAACTGGAAGGGGTGAAGTATAGCAACAAAGTAAAACCCTACCATTATCCAATTCTTCCTCATTGGTTACCAAACCCCTAGACCAAATTGTTGTGTTACCTTTTACATACAACTCATCCTCCATAACCTCTGGGGATAACTTTGTATTCAATGTACTTTCGGTTTTTTTACTCTCAGCGTTATTTTTTGGCTCATCAACTGACAATCTCTTATTACCCAACCTCGAACCACTTGCATCAGAAAAATGCTTTGATTCATCAAAATAAGAACTGTACGACTTACTTGTAGTGTTACTGTAACTTTTGTTGTTGTGCGATTTTACAGATTCAAAAAAACTTTCGTTATTCGAGCGAGGAGTTTTTCTGAGTATCCACCATTCATCCTGATTTGTGTCGGCTAGCGATATATTTTCTAGTTGCTTAAGCACAAGATCCTCTGGTCTTAGTAACACTTCTAAGTCAGCATCTTCTGCTAAAGCATGCTGAGTTGCTTGCTGCCTTCCACTTGGAACAAACTCCTAAAAAAGGTTTTAAAAATGGTTTAACGAAACGTTACAACGTTACGTTAGAAATGTTACAAAGACAACAAATACCTGTGGTTCTGAGGCAGCAATCATTATTTCTGCTTTCTCATCCAGATTTGCAAGTTAAAATTGACGAACTTAATTTATTAACTTTTAATGTAGAGGTTTTTTAAAAACGGGCATTTTTTAACCTGTCATTTTCATAAGTTCAAAAATTTAAAACGTTTTCACTGGATCAAAACAACAAAAATAATTTTAGTTCGCAACCTCCAATAATAAATTAACACTGCCGATAAAATTATGTTTTTTACTATAAATTAAAAAAAATTGCTGTTAAAAAATAAATAATAACAGAAAAGAGTGAAGAAAATATATATTGTAGCAAAAACTGTTAACAATCTTCTCTCGTACTTTAATGTGGTCTACCAATGAAAGTGCACAGTTTTTACTTTCAGGAGTTTTGATAATTCCCATTATATAAATTTTACGAGTTTACCCGAAGAGTAACTAAAATTATGGATTTTTCACTCTAATTTAAAAAATAAGAAGTAATTTGTAAACAGTATGTTTTCTTCTTGTTTATTAAAAAAATCATTTATAGATATTCCCCAAAAACAAGGATAAAAGGATTATAATAGCCACTCGTAAATGTTCGGAATAGGTGGTGGGAGCGTCAGTGCTGCCAACAAAAAGTTACTAGTTCCAGGGAAATTTCGTGAAACCTCGTGGCCGTGTCTTTCTCTCGTAGACTCCATTGAAAATGGCCACTATTTCAAAGAAACGTAAGTTCGTTGGAGACGGTGTCTTCAAGGCAGAATTGAACGAGTTTTTGACCCGTGAATTGTCTGAAGATGGTTATTCCGGTGTGGAAGTACGCGTCACCCCAACGCGTACCGAAATTATTATTATGGCCACGCGTACCGACCGTGTTTTGGGCGAAAAGAACAGACGTATCAGGGAATTGACTTCCGTGGTACAAAAGAGATTCAACTTCCCCGAAAACTCCGTAGTCTTGTACGGAGAAAAGGTCGCCAACAGGGGTTTGTGCGCCATCGCCCAGGCCGAATCTCTGAGATTCAAACTTATCGGAGGTTTGGCTGTACGTCGTGCGTGCTACGGTGTTTTGAGATACATCATGGAATGTGGAGCTAAAGGTAAGTCCTAAACACCTATTTATTCCCATTAAAAGTCCACATTTCACGATTTTTGAGGTTAAATGTCAAGTAAACATCAGAAGTGTGCGCTGGAGAATGACATGCTCTCATTGGTTAATTGTTCTCAAACTTGAGAATTAACCAATCAAAGCACAGTATGTTCCTAGGCACGCTAATTGGAAAAAATGCAAATCTACTCGAATGCCCAAGTAATCTCTAAAGCCAATTTTGTCTTATTTCAGGTTGCGAAGTGGTCGTTTCCGGCAAACTCCGTGGTCAAAGAGCCAAATCCATGAAGTTCGTGGATGGTTTGATGATCCACTCTGGTGACCCGTGCAATGACTACGTCGACACAGCCACTCGTCACGTGTTGCTCAGACAAGGAGTGTTGGGAATCAAGGTGAAAATTATGTTGCCTTGGGACCCCACCGGCAAAACTGGACCCAAGAAACCACTTCCAGACAACGTTTCTGTGGTTGAACCTAAAGAAGAAATTTTGCCTACTGCTCCCAGCAGTGAGATCAAGCCTGTCAAGCCTGACGCTCCTTTGGCCATGCCTGTTGTAGGGTAATTTTAAGGTGTAACCGTGTTTATAATAAAAAAAAACGTAAAACTCGGTTGAGGTTTTATTTTTTGAACATTTTTTTCAGTTACAGGAACATTAGCACAAGATTTAAACTTTTAATATAAGAATAGTCTTGTAGTCTGCTGTATTTTATCATTAAAATAACTTAAAACTAATTTTTAAATTTATTTAAGAAAAAATCACAAAGTCGATTTTTTCAATCAGCAATTTTTTTATTGGTAAAAATTATTTGGTGTATAATTTTTTTCCAACCTCTACTCAACAACCTTTAAAGGTTCTAAATATGTAGGGCCCAAATATCTACCATACTATGGTAACCATAGATAACAAAGCCTTTGATATCTACCAAGTGATAGATATATACACTGAGAAAAAAGTTTATTGCTCCCAAATAAAAAAAATATTTAAATATGGGACAAGGGTACAGTTTATTTATCCTAAATATATTTTTATTCCCGACACATAAAGTTTTACTAAAGTATATTTATCGTTATTATTTCGACTTTTTAGAGGTAATAAACAATATATTCACTACTAATAAAAGTATTAGGTACACAGTTTATTTGTCCCATTTTTTTCTCAGTGTATATGGTGGGGCGATATATCGCGTATATACAAGGTGTCCCGTATCGTTATGTTCAAATTTTGAGAGCATAAAGTAGACTTATTTTCAGTAAGAAAACCCGCAAAACTTGTATATCAATTTTTATTTGTTTCAAAGTTACAGGCCTTTGAATTACACAGGTCCACAAAAAAAAGTGGTCTGTGCTGGGTGTTGGACAAAGATTTTCCGACGTATTTTTTACCGCTGAACACGAATCTGAAGATAAATTCGGGGTCAAACTGCAAAAAACGAAGAAAAATTAAAAAAAAAACGATAAAATCCATTATACTAATATCGGTTATTTTAATTTTTCTCCGTTTTTTGCAGTTTGACCCCCAATTTTGACTTAAGATTCGTGTTCAGCGGTAAAAAATACGTCGGAAAATCTTTGTCGAACACCCAGCACAGACCACTTTTTTTTTTGTGGACCTGTGTAATTCAAAGGCCTGTAACTTTGAAACAAATAAAAATTGATATACAAGTTTTGCGCGTTTTCCTCCTGAAAATAAGTCTACTTTATGCTCTCAAAATTTGAACATAACGATACGGGACACCTTGTATACAGTTCATTTTTTGGACTCGTGTTTTTTTGTTAGGTTGGTGGCTTATGCCAGTTAGACAGTTGTCAAGTTGGTCGCATTGATTAAAACAAACTAAGCTAGTTATAAATCTAATTGTGGTTATGTATAAATTATTGTAGGTTACATTGTGCAGTTGTCAAGTTGAGTTGTCGAAATTCGTAGTTAAAAATGCAATTAATTTGGCCTTGGTGGTGCTTGGATGAGTAAAATCATATAAAAAAGTAGTTAAATATAGGTTGCTTTACGGCCCAGAAGAGAAAGTATTCCTAGCGGATAATAATCTTCGCTTTGAAAAGAATTTAGGTACCTATATAAAAGAAATTAAAATTTTTTGTGAACGTTAATGTTGTCCAATGGTGGATAATGTGAAAATATTGTGTGATGTAATATTTATAAAACCAAATTCGTTACTTTTTTGCTCCAAAAATGTCCATAAGGCGATGTACTTTTTCTTCTATTGTGGCATTTGGCATAATTTCATCAATATGAAGTTTTGCCCTCAAAAGGGCTTTTACATTCGAATTCGTTGCTATTATTTTTGGCATAATTATCTTTTTATTTATAATTGAAATAGTAAATATTATTGTCAATTGGACAGTGTCAAAGTATTTAACACAGATTATAAAGGTATTTAATTAAATTCTTTAGCAGAAGTACCATTTTTAAATACTAAAAATACCAAGTCAAACTGGCATAAGCCACCAACCTAACAAAAAAACACGAGTCACGAAACACATGAACTGTATGTTCTGCTTTAGGTTTCCACGGGCATTATACTATAGTATAATATATAATTATAATATAATCAGAGCTGCAACAAGTCAGTTTTAAAAAGACTTAAATCTTAAGTCTTAAGTCAATTCTAAAATCAAAATGATTTAAATCTTAAGTCAATTCTAAGATAAAGTTCAAATGATTTAAGTATTAAGTCTTTGAATTAAATCATTTTCTTTCAAGTCAAGTCATTTTCGCAAATTCTTAAATCAATATAAAGTGATTTAAGTCATCTTATGACTTAATTCCTTTAGTAAGTCTATATTTTTTATTTAAATCGTGATCTAAGAGTTAAGTCAATAAAATGACTTGAATCAAAAATTGTGATTTAAATCAAAATAATTACAATACAACGATTTTTTAAATGTTAATAATAATTTTATGGTATTAATGATACTAATATTATTAATCTATTGTAGATACAGATGATAATAAACCACTATGTTAAGAATTTAAAACGATTTATTTTCAGAACACTTACAAACAAAATAAAAACTTTATACACATTTTTGAGTATATAGTAGACAATAAAAATAAAAACTTAAACCACCTTTTTTAGTAGAGTAGACATACAGGGATGCTACTTTTTTATATACATAAATGGGTAACTTCTAAACGGTCATAGATTCAAACTCTGTTAAAATAGATAAAAGTTGAAGCATTTTTCTTAAAATCGCTGTATTTCAAAAACTGATAACTTGTTGTTTTGTTAACTTTTGTTAAGTAGCTGGTTCAACATCCATCTAGAAAAAAAATATTCCTCCCTTAAGGGAGTAATGATGGGAAGTTCCAAACTCTCGATTCACGACCGCTCAGATTGTTTTCACTTTGCACTAATAATCACAAATTAGACATAACTACGCACGAACATGACGAATGTTGGCAAACAAAATAACAAAATTATAAATCCCCACTTTTTTTAATTCATTTTAGACAGGACATTTTTTAATGTAGCCGTCAAACGGTTCCAAAAGGCTAACTTTAACGCGGCGGTTTTTTTATCCTCTAGCGGTAAAAATTGTAGGTAGGAAATTAAAGGAGTTTTTGATCTGCTGCCGCGTGAACCCCTTGCAGTTCAAAAGAAAATGCCGCTGTTAAAAATTTATAAAAAATATATGAAAAATCTGACTTAAATATTTTCTAAAAAGACTTAAATCTTTTTCAAAAAGACTTAAATCTTTTTTTGACTTAAATCGTATGTACTGATTTATAAATGACTTAAGTTTTTTTTATTTTGAAAAAAATATTTAAGTCACAAATCATTTTGAAAATTACTTAAATTTTAAGTCTTAAGTCAGTTTTAGAGAAATGACTTATTACCAAATGACTTAAGTCATTAAAACGATTTAAGTTTTCTGAGAGCTTGCAGCTCTGAATATAATATATAATTATATAATATAATATATATAATTATAATTATATGCCTTATTTATAGATTGCCTTCCTTTCTCCCCTAAAAGATGAACAATACGAAAATCGTAGTGCCATTTATAGACTCCCGTACGGGAATTTTTAAACAGCACAACGCTTTTTGTATTGTTCATCTTTTACGGGAGGAAGGAATGCAATCTATAAATCAGGCTTTAATGGTTTTCCGGGATCTGCTCCGTGTTGTCGGTTTTTGGTTCTTAAAAGAACCATATGTCTGACGACGTTTCGGTACAATCTCATGTACCATCTTCAGGTCTTATCTGCTAACAGAATACTGTTTTTAAATAATCACTTTAGGGTGAATTGCCCAGTTAGCCGGCCACCATGGTGCTCCAGTTCTCGGCCGTTTTTTAAGTATATATTGAATAAATTATAAGCTTTTGACGGTTTTTAAATATACTCCTAACTTCAGACTTCTTATCCCCACCACTCTGTACTAAGCGCCATTTTTCAAGCTTTGGTAAAAAAAGAAACGTCAGTTAAAATTTGTCGCTGATGGAAGATTTGATAATGGCTGTTTACTAAAAGTTTCGTAGTGTGCATCCCATAGTGAAATAGTGAATATTTTGTAAAATACTGGTTTTAAAGGTAAGTTTTTATTGTTTTAGATAAGTAATATGTTAAACTATTCTTATTAAATTAAGAAAAAATGATAAATTATGGATTTTAGGTGTTTTTTTTGGGTGGCCGAGAACCAGTCGAAAGTAAAAGTAATATATTGTCCATCTTTTTTCAATATACTGTTTTGTAATTGTGGGTATCTCGTTTTCTGGTGTATTTAAAACATGTTGATTGTTTCGACCTTTACTTGATGAAACTCCATATTATTAATATATGAATGAAAACAACACTGTTTTAAAGTTTCACTAATTTATTTATGTTTTTAATAATTAACAATTGTTTCGCTACACTGTAGCTTCTTCAGAATTAGTACTTATTTTAACAAGTGGCGGTATTTATTAAACAACAAGCAGGTAATTTGAGAAGATAAATGTTATATAAACATTATACCTGAAGGTAAAATTTATATAATTACATAATTTTGGAAAAACTGAGGGTTTGGGAAATCCTATCTAATATAATATTATAATATTAATAAATATTACTTTTTAGTACTACAAGTACACACTCTAAAATAAATTTAGCAAAGGAGAGCTGTTAGTTTCAATTTGGTCATTAAGAACAATATCAGATTTTTTCTTTAATTTATTAATTTCCAAAGACTCTAAAAGATTTAAAAAAAAAAAAAATCTTTTAGAGTCTTTGGAAATTAATAAATTAAAGAAAAAATCTGATATTGTTCTTAATGACCAAATTGAAACTAACAGCTCTCCTTTGCTAAATTTATTTTAGAGTGTGTACTTGTAGTACTAAAAAGTAATATTTATTAATATTATAATATTATATTAGATAGGATTTCCCAAACCCTCAGTTTTTCCAAAATTATGTAATTATATAAATTTTACCTTCAGGTATAATGTTTATATAACATTTATCTTCTCAAATTACCTGCTTGTTGTTTAATAAATACCGCCACTTGTTAAAATAAGTACTAATTCTGAAGAAGCTACAGTGTAGCGAAACAATTGTTAATTATTAAAAACATAAATAAATTAGTGAAACTTTAAAACAGTGTTGTTTTCATTCATATATTAAGTATTTAAAACAGTTACTACTATAGCCAGTTTTCGGCCGGGCCATCTACAAAAACGCTACATGTAAAAAGGCCGAGAAAAACATGGTACTATTACTATAAGTTTAATTTTATTTCAATGTTGTTTTCATGGATAACTTGACAGAATAAATTTTTGTAGTTATTATTGTACATTTTTCTACTTAAAATTTTTCAATAAAATTTAGTACCTATAGGGTCGTTTTGAGGGGTGGTGAATCCAATGCCGTGCAGAGATTTTGTTTAAAAAAATCGCTAATATGAATTCTTAAAAATTTACTCTTAAAAACTAACATAGTAGGCCTTGTATTTTATAAAATTATGGCGTTTTTTGTTTTAAAAATACAGTTTATCAAGATCTACACTTTAAAATAAATCCGGTTAAAATCGCACAATAAATAAGATTTTACATGCATTAATTACGTCTTATAGATACCTACGTATTCTACATTTATTGGCAAAACTTTTCCAAAGGTGAAAGGGCAATTCTTGGCCAAGTTTTGACCTGTTATGGCTCTCTGGGTACCGTCACAAAAAAAATAATTACCATTAAAAGATCTTGTAAATGACCAATAGAATCCAATAAAAAATAAGAAATTGGTTTAAAATGTGTTTTGGCGCTATGAATTGCCAATTCATTCCAGTTGAATTCCTATTGGTAATTTGAAATTACTAATTTCCAATGAAGTCAGCGGCGTGAATTGCCATGCCTATGCTTGTCTCTATTGGCTAAATCCAATAGAAATGCACATGGAATGAATTGGTAATGCATAGCGCCAAACCCATTCCAACCAATTAAAACCAATTAATTTTTTTAAATTTGGATTAGAAAATAACTACCAGTTTATTTTTCATTCAAAAATAATTTTAGATCCCAGAAGGATAACCGGGTAAAAACCAGAATTCATTTTTCACAGAAGAGACAAAAAATTTATTGTTACCGAGTAATTTTATTTCTTTATTATTTTTTTGTGATATATGTATGTATTGATACATATAACTTACTATCACAAAAAAGTAATACAAAATAAATAAAATTACTCGGTTATAATCATTTTTTTTGTCTTTCTTGCAAAGGATGTTTGTAGGCATGGTCGAAGTCGATATTTTTTATGTCAATTTTTTTTATTTTGTCCGCTGTGACATTCTTACGCCATCGTCCCTAAACCTTACACATATAAACATTTTTTTAATAAATAAGTTCACTACTAACACTAGGCACAACACTGAAATCGACTAATAAAAAAACCGCTAATAAATGGCGTCTCAACCTCGTTGATTTTGCGCAGCTACACGAGAGCCCTCTTGCGATATTTGTATTGTATTGGGAATAATCAATTAGCAGATTTTTCGAATCTTACACTGGGAATGTTCAATTGAATTCAATTGGAAAGTACCTTTAGGTAGCTTTATCCAATCCAAACCAATAAAAACCATTAGAATCCTAATTGGACTTTTCCATCATGGAAAATACCAGTAAAAACCAATTCAGACCCATTGATACCAACCAATACTTCAATTGGTTTCTAGAGGAATTAATCGGTCATTTATAACAGGGGATTCTTGTTTGAGTAAAATTCAATTAAGTTAGCAAACTATCAACTAATAAATAGGATCTGTAACCGTAGTAAACAAATTTCTCCTAGATAAATAAATTGTCAATCTAAGAAAACCAGTCAAGATATTTTAATTTTCAATGAAAGGACTTGTGCTTTATCTAAAAGAATACACGAAAGTGTCGAGCATTCACGGGGTGCGTTATTTGGGCCAAAAACGCACCAAAGAGGAAAAAGTCGTGTGGACTGTATTTTTGTGCATAATGTTTGTGATAGGCCTATTTCTGCTGCTGTCCGTGTGGAAAAAATACGAACGCAACCCGACCGTTTTGGAGATGGATCAAACCAAAACCTCCATTTACAACATACCCTTTCCGGCCGTATCGATTTGTCCGTTGGTGCAGAATACATTCGACGATTACCAAAGGTACATAGAAATCAACGAAAGAGCTCAATTACACATAAATTTGACTAAAAAGGAATTGACGGAGTACTTGTATTGGTCCATACTATTGGAACACTCTGAAGCTTATATTGCAGCTAATGTTGAAGAACTTGCTGTAGATCTCATCGAGTTCATAAAATTCGCGCAAGAAAAACTTCCAAATCCATTTGAAAACATGTACTGCGTTCTCAACGACAAGGTTTACGATAACTGTTTCGACCTGTTCACCCCGATAATAACGGAGCTCGGTTTGTGCTACACCTTCAACATGCTCAACGTCAACGAGATATACAGACCGGAAGTGCTCACTTACGAGTTTAGCAACCATAGCATGCAATTTTTCGACGTGAACAAGTACGAGTACGTTAACAATTACGCGCAGACTTATCCCAGGAGGCCTCTCTACTCCAGCTCGCTCTATCCGCTAATGATCAATATGGTGAACGAACCCTACCCGGAGTTGGTGGAATACAAGCTTAACGGCTACAAATGCATCATCCACGATCCCACCGAACTGCCGCCGTTCCACTTCGACTACACGCTGCTGCCGTTCGAGCACGTGATCGAAATGATTGTGGAGCCGAGCGGAGAAAAAACCCCGGTGAATTTGGCGAAAATGCGGCCCAACAAGCGTCATTGCCAGTTCGCGAACGAAAGACAGCTCAAGTATTTTCAGTTTTATTCGGCGAAGGCTTGCCAGAGCGAGTGCCAGAAAAACTTGACGCTCCAAATGTGCAAATGCTCGCCGTTCTACATGCCGGCGTTGGCCGACGAGCCGATTTGCGGGCCCAGAGAACTTTCTTGCGTGAATAGCGTGAAAACCATCATGTTTGACATTTACGAGTCGTCGCGGAGAAATTTGACGTGCAACTGCCAATCGCGTTGCAACCACGTCGAGTACGCCGCGGATACGATAGAATACAAATGGAACGTAAGGAATGACAAGCATTTTCAAAGTTATTACCACACAAAAGTTGCAGTAAGTGTGACTTCAAAATCTTTTACGCGCGTGCACGTTTTCTTCCGCAGCAACTTGTTCATCTACTACAAACGCAACGATCTCTACGATCTGACCACCTTTTTGTCCAACTACGGAGGACTGTTCGGTTTGTTCTTCGGTATTTCCATCCTGTCGCTCGTGGAGTTGTTTTACTTTTTCTGCATTCGCTTTTTTTGCAACTTTCAATTGCACGGAAGAAATTGGTTATTCCCGAAAAAAGAAGTCGGCGTAATGAATAAGATGAATATCGCACAATTATTGTCGCAATATTTTAAGATTGAAGAGGAGAAAAAACAATCATCATAGTTTTTAAAAATGTTGTAATAGTTTAAGTAGGTATTTTTGTTTTATTATTGTATACAATAACAAAGTTTTTTCTGCCTTTATTTTTTTTATCCTTAAAATGAAACTTAATTCATTGTTTCCACACTAAATATCAAACAATACTTTCTGTATCAAAAAACGCCCAAGCTGGATCAAACCAAATCCTCCTTAACTAATATACCCCCCTCAACAGTCGATTTGACTTTAACTCAAAAGTCTCGAGTTAACTTTAACAAAGAAGAATTGGGGGGGCTTTAGGGACTATACCCAGACCGCTTCATTCTAGGAATATTAATTGGGAGTATTCCATAGAATCAGGGCCGTACCGAGGCACACTTTTTTGGGGGGGTGGAGACGATAAAAAAACCAAGTTATTTTTTACCGATAAATTAGTAAAAATTTTCAGTAGTTTTATCATGTATGTAAAGTGCTGAAAAGTGTAGATAAAGAATGTCTTTACCTACCATAAGCATGCTCTTTCGAAGTCGATGGGATTGATTCTCGTTCTCTATTTTTTTGACTTGCTGCCAATGTAAATGGATTATCCGGAACAGCAACAATTTTAATTTTAACCAAAATTCCACCGTGAATATTTTTCTCATGCATTTTTTTCTAGTCCTTCACAGTTCGGTTCCAGCGCTTCAGAAGACACGTCGCGTGCGGGTAAGCTCTTGAAACGTAAGAGTTTAAAGATAAAACCAACAATAATTATAAAAAGTGCAAACTAATAAGTGAAACAAACATTTTCATAGAGTGCAAAAATGGTGTAACGGTCATTGAGGAGTGAAGTGTTGAGTGATATGAATGAAGTGCCACCTGCCATTGGAGGCTTTTCACTGGACAGACAGGGGAGGTCAAACAAGAGGGGAGGTGGCCAAAAATCTGATAAGTTACTTTAAGAATTGCATGACCTGATACAAATCTGCAATTTAAATACGGCAGATCCCAGCAAACATTTTCCGTTATTTGTCACCATTAACATTGCCCGTTATTCATTTTATTAAACATAACATTTACTTGAAAATGTTAAAATAACTTTAAAATATGATTATGTTAGGAACATATTTTACTCTTTAAACAATTGTTTTGTTTTTAATTACTATCATTGCAAAATTGTATTAAAAAGTATCAAAAATTCTTACACGGGCAATGTTGGTGGTGATAGGTACCGTTAAAGTGTTTATTGGGATATCTTTGAAACCTACGAAAGGCACACGGAATGGGGCAATGAATCTGTCAACAACAAATGCGTAAGGCAATCCCAATCGAGACCGAAAATAAACACTAGACTCAGAATAAACTAGCACATTAATCATAATTCTAACATTAAGAAAAAAGCCTAATAGCCAAACTCGAGATTTGTAAACATTAGACAACAGAATAATCGCGCTTGTTTGACTAATAAATAAATGCAATGCTTAATTTTGGAAATTAATAAAAAAAAAGACAAAACTCTATCACAAAACGTGCTTGGGACAAAATTTATTAAAAACAACTGACACACTTTACCAAGTGCAGGAAATATCTGACCAGGACACGGACAATGACAATAACGAACAAGACAAAGACCTCGACTAGGAAACTACACCCCTTCAGCGAAATAACAATTCCCCAACTCCAAATAGTAGTCCCAAATGTTTGGAGTAATACTAATCGACTGGTCTAGGGGGATTCCGCGTCGTACTTAGTTTTAAGTCGGCGTAATTGTCCCCCAAAAACCAATACCTTCCCGTCCCTCCTCCATACCCCACTGAGCGTATAGCATAGGCCCGGCGAACCCGGGAACGGCTATTATAACTATTCGCCTCTCGCTCTCGAGCCCCAAATAGGGGACAGTACGAAACGCAATGGACATTCGCACCCAGCAAACACGGGTGAAGCCGTGCAGTTGCTGGGGAAGAACAAAAATCGGCGTAAGTAAACATAGGCCTGTACGGGGTTCGAGAGTCAAGAGGAAATGGGGCTGGTTATACGTCTCTTAAACTCATATACTCATACTCATGCATTTTTTTCTAGTCCTTCTTAAACACAGATCCACATAATGAGCATTTTACTAGAACTCGGCCCGGTCTAGCTTTCTTTTCCATATTAAAAAAAATAATTCCTATTTATTATTTATTATATTATTACATACAAAATGGCGTGGGCGAGTATGGATGCGCGCGATATACCGCCGGATTGTAATAAACATTTTTGTCATCCAAACAGAGAAATAAAAATCGTTAGTTGTATTATTTGTGAAGATGGATACTGCAAATCTGAATTCAAGAGAAAAGTGGAAGCTGGAAAAGGTTTTTACGTCTCCAGGCAACTAATAGTGTGCCCCAAGCATGCAAACCTAACCTTCAAAGATATGATTAAATATGATGCTAAATGTGGAAATGATATTGAAAAACTTGTGTTGAACAGAAAAAGTGTATTAATTGCAAAACAGTTACAAGACAGGGCTATAGGATTGGATACACCATCAATAGAAGAATTTACAGAAGAGGAAGTGGAAGACGATCAAATGTCTGTTGCGAGTGATACCAGCAAAAAACGTAAATTGAATCAAGAGGAAAAGGAATGTATCAACTGCCAAGAGATGATGAACGACTTAAACTATGAAAAAAAAATCAATAAGGAGTTGTCACAACACAATACTGAACTTAGAGAAAATAATAACTTTTTAAGAACATTAGCCATAGAAAAAAGCTCCCCTGTACAAAATAAGACCTATTCGAATGTTGTATCCAATAATATACCAAAAAAGCAAAATTATGTCCAACTGGTCATTAAACCTAAACCGAACTACAAGGGAGATGCATTAAACATAGTCCAAAAACAAGTGTACGAGAAAACAAAGGCCAGAGTGATCGAAATTAATAAAATTAATAATGGAACCATATATATCAAGTGTAATAGTGAACATGATGCGCAGGATATATCAAAAACGCTAAATAACGAAAATAGTGATATAATAACAGTATCATCGCGAACAAAAGATAATCCGCAACTTCGTATAACAAATATGGTATCAAATGCAGATAAACAGGAGCTAGAAGAAGATATTATACAAAGAAATCAACTGTTAGTAGGGAGTGTGAAAATATTACATATATATAAGCAAAAAAACGAAAAATATGGAGCAATAACAGAAGTATCAGCTGATGCATATGCAAAGATTATGAAAACAGAAACAGCGTTTGTAGGATATCAAAACTGCAAAGTATATGATGAATACAATATAAACAGGTGTAAAAAATGTTGTGGATATAATCATAGCTATAAAAAATGTCAAGAAAATCAAAATAGAAAAAAAGCATGCCTGAAATGTGGAGCTGAGCATACTCTAAAAGAATGTAAATCTGAAATCAAAAACTGTACAAATTGTGTAAATGCAAATCAATACCTAAAAAATAAAAGGCAAACAAATCATGCAGCGGATGATGTACATAAGTGTGAAACATTTAAAGTAAAGTTTGAACAACATGTTACAAACAGTGTTGCCAATGGTGTTGACATAATTTACACACAGATTCTGTCAAAATTCCACAATTTTGCCAACTATTCCACACATTTGGGATTTTGGTTTTGTTAGGTTTCTTTGGTGATTACCGCAGAAAGAGTTTCTGAGGTGAATCACAACAAAAACTCTGTCTGCGGTAATTACTGGTGATTAGACGTTTTCAAAAACTTACTAGATTACTTACTTTGTCAAAAAGTCTATTGTTATAACCGGTTTTAAATTACTCGATAACTTACGCTTGCAAGTTTCCAAGAACACCAGATTTTTTTAATTTGCTGTATATATAGAAATCTGCACAGAAATTCGTCCATAAAGATAAATAACTAAAATGCGCATTTGCAGATTATCTGCAATATCTTTTTAAATGCTTGTTATAAGCATTGTTAATTTAAAGATAAAGTTTACACGCAAATTCCACACATTTATGTATTACACACAAATTACACACAACAAAATAAATTCCACACAATGCGTGGATTTCCACGTACATTGGCAACACTGGTTACAAATACGAACTACCCATGGAGACCTGTCGCACCGTTTGAAAAACACACAGTAGTAAACCAAACTACATAAAAACAAACAAAAACAAATCAACAAAACAAAAAAAAAAGTAAATAAATAAATAAACATAATAGAACTTATAAAGCAAATAAATATAAACCAAGAAATTATAATAGAAGTAGTTGAAGATCTAAATAGCACAAAAGCCATTACACAGTCTGGAATGTATATATTACATGTAAATATACGTAGCATAAATAAAAACAAATCAAATCTTCTAGATATGATAGAACAAATGGACAAAAAACCAGAAATTATAGTCTGTACGGAAGCCTGGCTAAAAAAAGATATAACATTTATAGATTTTCCAGAATATACACAACTAGACAATGGCAGTATGATAAATCAAAACGATGGAGTAGTTATGTACATAAAATCTGGATTACAATATAACAGTATCAATGAACAATATGGTGAACTAAAAGTAGTAAGTGTGATTGTGCAATTAAAAGATGAAGAAAAAATAAAAATAACGGGTACGTATAGATGCCATGACTATGAGACACAGAACTATATTAATGATATAAAGTTACTTATACAAGATAATGTAAGAACAAAACATCATATTCTCATAGGTGATACAAACATAGATATATTAGAATTAAATGACAGAACTGAAGATTACTGGTATCAACTTCAAGAATATGGATACGAATCGCTGATTAACTCTATAACAAGACTGAGTAACAATAACCAAGGTGGAACATGTATAGACCATGTTTTTATAAAAAGTTCATTTAGAACAATGGCTGGAAAAATATTACAGTGTATTACAGATCATTATCCCATCTTTGTAACTCTAATGGAAAAGGATACAGCATGCAATACCAAAAATCAAACAGGACTAAATAAAAACAAATTTAATGACTTATGTAGCAAAGAGGAGTGGCTTGAAATTACCAATGGAAGAAGTATAGAAGAAGCAATAGATATATTAATAAACAAACTACAGAACATAACAAAACAAGCACTAAAAAATATACCAAAAAATCAAAAGCAAAGAAAAGATTGGATTACTCCAGCTATAGTCAATTCTGTAAATAGGAAAAAAAGATTATACAAAGTATGGAAAAAAGAAAAAACTAGTCAATCAAAAGAAGATTATCTAAGGTGCGAAAAAATTTTAAAAAATGTAATAAGGATAGCAAAATATAAGTATGAAACAAAAATACTACAAGACGCTGAACCCAAGGATATGTGGAAATATGTGAATACAAAACTAAAATCTAAACCAAAAAATATTAATGTTGATAATGTGTTAGTACAAAATAAAAAGATCGTAGAAGATATACGAATAGCAAACAGCTTCAATGAATATTTTAGCACAATAGGACAAAATATTAAAGATACGCTTGTTCCACCACAACAGAAACAAGAAATTCAAGAAATATTAATGAACGAAAAAAGCCTATTTCTACTACCGACAACTGAATTGGAAATAATAAGTATAATAAAAAACCTAAAAAATAAATCAGGTGGATATGATGGTATACATGCTAAAACGCTAAAACTGGCGGTAAACTTTATAGCTCCAGTATTAATGGTAATAATTAACAATGTTATGGTGCAAGGAGTGTGTCCGAAGCAGTTTAAATTAGCAGAAATATGCCCCATATACAAAAATGGACCAAGAAATTATATTGGAAACTATAGGCCAATTGCACTAATATCAAATTTATCGAAGGTATTTGAAAAAATAATACATAAAAGGATTTATGAGTTTTTGATAAACTGTAATATTATAAACAAAAAACAATATGGTTTTGTCAAATCAAAGAGCACGGAAGATGCGGTGGCACTTACAACAAATTTTATTTATTCAAACCTAGGGAAAAGTAAACCAACAGCTATGGTCTTCATGGATTACTCAAAAGCTTTTGATACCGTAGATCATAGCATATTATGTAATAAATTGTACAATGTAGGTGTAAGAGGAGTTTGCTTGAATTTAATTAAAACGTACTTGTATAACAGAAAACAATTAGTAAAAGTTAATGGTATCAAAAGTGACTCTGTTGTGGTAAATGTGGGTGTGCCGCAGGGCTCAATTTTGGGACCTCTACTTTTTATAGTGTATATCAACGATCTACTAAATCAACATACGGAAATGGTAGCATATGCAGATGATATTGCGGTCCCAATGACAGGTCAGAATTGGATCCAAATACAAAATGGTCTAAACACCAAACTTAACCAAGTATATAACTGGCTATATAATAATAAATTAGTCTTAAATTTTAAAAAACAGTATATATGACTTTTGCCAATTATATGGATTCTATACCAACCAATATACAGATATTCATAAATGGAAGTAATATCGAACATGTTAGTACCTGCAAATACCTTGGCCTAATGTATGATCAACATTTGAGATGGAAGACTCATACAAATTATATTACAAATAAGCTAAAGTATCTAGTTGTTGTATTTTATAAACTAAAGAAAATATTATCTATCAAACAGCTGCTCCAACTATATTATGGAATTTTCAACAGCATATCAACGTATGGTATCATAGGATGGGGAGGAGTTTTTGAAAACGCATACAAACAACTGGATACTTTACAAAAAAAATTACTCAAAATAATTGGTATAAAACAAGATGACATAATCAGGCCATTAGACATAAAACAAACTTTTGTTGTAAAGGCTATATTGAGGCAATATGAAACATTAAAAAGCAAATACGATGAACAAAGCACAAACACAAGAAACAAGAGTCTGCAACTACCAAGACACATATTATCAATAGTGCAAAGAGGCTATGAATACTATGCTATATATTATTACAACCAATTACCGAACAACATAAAAAATCTAAATGAAAGCAAGAAGTCCATAAAAAAGAAAATTAAGATGGTGATACAAAACTTAAATGTAAAGTAAAAATATGTTTTAATTAAGTTAGGGTTAATAATTTGTACAGCAAAAATATTTTATTTTTTTAATTAAGTTAGGGTTTAATAATTTGTCTAACCAAATAATTAGGTACATTAATTATAATTATGTTAAATTATGACATATTAAATTTAGTTTTAAGGGACCAACCTATGTACGGGCATTTGCAATGCCCCCTATAGGTCCTTGCAATGTAAGGAATTTGGTGATAATAAATAAATAAAAAATAAAAAAATATTGACACTAGTTTTACTTAGCTTAGATAAGCTTTAACTAAATAATAATCTAGAAAAATAAGACGCCGAAAATTGAGGTGCGTAAAAAGAGTCAAACGCCGCCAAAGCCAAAGACAAAGCCGCGAGGCTGTGCCGACTTTGTACATGCCGCTTGTGTGAAATATAATGTCCTTTAATAAAAATAGGGTTGACCAATACAATTTTCATGACGGTAACGATTATAGGAGGTTATTAAATAGAAAATTATAATTTTGTAATATGTAGGTATAGTTTAAAAATTATATTTAATTTTATTTATTGTGATGGGTTGGTTGGTAGGGTAGGTATACCCAACCAACCGACCCAAATACTAAAGATTTTGCCAACCGTGTATGGATTTGGAACCAACTGCCAAGACTTTGGGGGGGGTGACTCTCCCCCCTACACCCCCCTTAGGCCCGGCCCTGCATAGAATGGTCCTCTAAAACTTCCAAGCACCATCTAAGAACATTCCCAGTGAATATTTATTGGGAATATTTCATATAATGATCCTCTACAACTTCCAAGCAACATCTTGGAACATTCCCAGTGAATGTTTTTTGTATTCAAAAAACAATAAATAATTTTTTTTTTCTACAAATTGATTATATTCTAGGAATATGCGCTATCATCTAGGAGTAATCCGCTTCATTCTAGGAATATTCATTGGGAATATTCCATAGAATGAAGATGGTTGAATCGAAGCTTAACGGCTACAAATGCATTATCCACGAACCCACCGAACTGCCGCCGTTTCACTTTGACTACACACTGTTTAAAATATATGTGGTGTAAAAAGTAATCTTAAAATGGTGTCAAAATCCAACACCAAGTGGTGTTAATATAACACCATGAATTATGGTTGAAAATGTGTACCGATCGCGGCAAAGGCGGTGTGGATCACGTGATGTTCATAAATCTCGCCTCTGTTGACTTCCATGAAGAATATATAAACTTAGGTGATCCTTTGCTTTGGTGTGACACTACAAGTTGTTCGATACTATAGAGACCTTAAATAGGTGGAAACAGTTGTCAATACTTGAAGTATTTTAAGTTAGTGGAACGCACTAAAAGCATTATCTCTAGCGAGTTGAAGGTTCCTTTTTCTGGAATAATACCACTGGTAATATACTGGTAATGCGTCAAGGAACTTCCTGTTTCCTATTTTTTTCCTTTTTTCTGTGTAGTATGATTTAATTTGACTACAAACACATAATATTTAACACTGAAAAGGAGTTCAATTTACACCAGGTAAAATTTATTTTAATACTGTGTGAAAGTTAAATTTACACTATTTTAATATTTGAATTTACACTGGACCAACGAACCTTATTTAACACCATTTTGGTTTGTATCGATATAGACCATGTATGGTGTTAATTTGGTGTTAAAATGGTCATGAAATTTTGAACAGTTTAGATACGTATTGTACATTTAATGGCAAAACTTTTCCAAAGGTGAAAGGGCAATTCTTGGCCAAGTTTTGACCTGATATGGCTCTCTGGGTTGTGCTACTTGGGTACCGTCACAAAAAAAGAATTACCATGGTTTTAAAAGATTCTTGAACTGTTTGAGTAAAATTCAATTTAGTTAGCACACTATCAACTTATAAATAGGATCTGTAACCGTAGTAAACAAATTTCTCCTAGATAAATAAATTGTCAATCTAAGAAAACCTGTCAAGATTTTTTAATTTTCAATGAAAGGACTTGTGCTGTACCTAAAAGAGTACACCAAAGTGTCGAGCATTCACGGGGTGCGTTATTTGGGCCAAAAACGCACCAAAGAGGAAAAAGTCGTGTGGACTGTATTTTTGTGCATAATGTTTGTGATAGGCCTATTTCTGCTGCTGTCCGTGTGGAAAAAATACGAACGCAACCCGACCGTTTTGGAGATGGATCAAACCAAAACCTCCATTTACAACATACCCTTTCCGGCCGTATCGATTTGTCCGTTGGTGCAGAATACAATCGATGATTACCAAAGGTACATAGATATCAACGAAAGAGCTCAATTACACATAAATTTGACTAAAAAGGAATTGACGGAGTACTTGTATTGGTCCATACTATTGGAACACTCTGAAGCTTATATCGAAGCTAATGTTGAAGAACTTGCTGTAGATCTCATCGAGTTCATAAAATTCGCGCAAGAAAAACTTCCAAATCCATTTGAAAACATGTACTGCGTTCTCAACGACAAGGTTTACCATAACTGTTTCGACCTATTCACCCCGATAATAACGGAGCTCGGTTTGTGCTACACCTTCAACATGCTCAACGTCAACGAGATATACAGACCGGAAGTGCTCACTTACGAGTTTAGCAACCATAGCATGCAATTTTTCGACGTGAACAAGTACGAGTACGTTAACAATTACGCGCAGACTTATCCCAGGAGGCCTCTCTACTCCAGCTCGCTCTATCCGCTAATGA